CTTCTTCGTCGTTGTCCACGAGAGGAAGAATGGGTTTGTCACGCAACTGTTTCTCGAAGTTGTGAACGCATGCTTTCCTTGAGCATCTTCATGGTGAAGGAATAGGTTGGGGGTAGCTGAAGCTATTGTGTTTGTTAACAAAATGCACTACGCTAAAAGCTAGTGTAAAGATCTTTCGAGTGTTTTGAGTTTGAGAGAATGAAAGTTATGAGAGAGATTAGAAAAGCTATGAAAACTAATCCATGAGAGAGATCGTTGTGAAGCTCATTGAAGTTGGTCTCCCGCGGGGCCTCGAAGTGTGATATCGTAGATTATGATAATAACTCTACGTACTCCACGGTCCATTTCCGGAACGCGTGGAAACTTCAGCTAGTAGCTTGTCTAGTAGCGTGGAAGCTTTCCACGCTGCTAAATATCTAGAGCGATGTTTCATCGAACCTAGTATGATAGCAGTCATGAGAACCTCTGTCTCAATACTATTGGCAGAGACTAGTCATGAGTCGAACTCAAACCCTATCTAGGATCGAGTCGCGAATAAGGCTAAGAGCCGTGTATTGCACAGATGAGAAAAGGGAAACCAAACCCGTTACACTCCGTTGCTTACTGGATACAGGACATCCGGAACTTTGATTGCTCAAACTCATGCTAAGAAATTACGCATGAGGATCTTGGGGGCGTCCAAACCATGTGGATATACCCCTGCAGGAGAATTAAACACCAGCACGAGTGAAAGATGCATTTATGATTCCTGAATTCCATAGATAGAATTATCGAATGGATTTAACGTCAAAAAAGCTTGGGGCGTATGACATGACATAGGTCAAGACATTCTCTCTGACTTAGATTTAAGTTCGATTCACTACCATGTCAGTGGAGTGGGACGGCATATCTTTCCTATGAAAGATAGCGATACCAATGAAAAGAGAACTTCCTTCATCCTGATCCTACAGCTGTCGACGACAGTGCAGATCGTCTCAAGAAGATTCTGGATGCAAAATATGAAAAAGCTAACTTAAGGCAGGTTGCCAGAGTCAAGATCAGTAAATAAGGAAGAGGAGAACAGCCTCACCCGTACTGACTAATACTCCGACCTATTCGATGGTACTTTAGGAAGTGGCAGAATGGACGACTACGAAGTAGAACTTCTCCTGATGCTAAACCCTATTATGCTAGGGCTTATCCTATTCCAGGTGTCCATACCAACACTCTTAAGATGGAGGTTGAACGTCTCTGCGAGCAGGAGTACTCAAGAAGGTAAACCGTTCCGAGTGGGCGGCACCAACATTTATCATTCCCAAGAAGGATGGATCTGTACGATTCATCTCTGATTTCCGGGAACTGAACAAAAGGATTAAGCGAAAACCTTATCCGATCCAAAGATACAAACATGCTATGAATTAGACGATTCAAGTACGCTATAGTCTGACTTGAACATGGGATACATTCACATCGAGCTGTCACCTCACTCGAAACAACTCTGTACTATCGTTCTTCATGGGGAAAATACGAGTACCAGAGATGCCAATGGCCTATGCAATAGTCCCGCGACATCTCCAAGAGAAGATGGGACACTAATGCACGACTGGAATACGTCCGTGCAACATTGATGATCTACTCATCTAACTAACGGCGATCTAGCAGATCACGTTGAAAAATTAGATGAAGTTCTCCGAAGGCTTCGAGAAGCGGACTTAGATCAATGCTACCAAGTCCTTCTTCGCAAGAGGAGAATCGAGTACCTAGGCTACTGGATTACTCGAGAAGGTCCAACCCTTAACAAGAAAATAGATGCGATCCAGAATACGCTCTCCTACAAATAGGAAGGAACTCCGTAGATTCATTGACTAGTGAACTACTATCGAGACATTGGATCAGACGATCACATGTACTAGCACCACTCGCTACACTTACTTCCAAAACCAAGAAGTGGAAATGGGAAGCTGAACACGACAAGGCCTTTCGCAAGATGAAGAAATCATCAGCAAAGAAACTTGCTCACTTACCCTGACTTCAACGATACATTCGTTATCCACAGGATGCAAGTGATACGCAACTGGGTGCAGTGATTTCCCAGAAGGGAAAGCCTATCGGTTCTACAGCAGGAAACTAATCCCTGCTCAGAACACGCAACTTCTCAGTATCGTATGAGACTCAAGGAGTTCCGTAACATTCTTCTCGGGCAGAAGAAGATTGAGTACATACGGACCACAAGAATCTCACTTGCAAGAATTTCAATACTGATCGCGTATGCGATGGCGCCTTATTCTGGAAGATTACGGCCCTTAACTACGGTACATCAAGGCGAACACAACATCGTCGCTGATGCGTTGTCGAGACTTAACATCTCGAAAACGATGGTTCTTCAGAACAAATGGAAGCCAGCGAGATTGCTAAGCTCATGGCGCAGACGAAGAGGACTTCCCTAGTGACTTCCCCTCTCGTTCCCCAGATCGAACATCGCCAGAAGGACGATAACGATATCAAGAAACTCCTCAGGGACAGCCAAACGACTACAAGAAACAATCTTTTCCAGAGGGGACAAGTCCTATGAACTAGTATCAAGGACGACAAGATTGTTGTGCCAAGACCATGCAGAGAAGCTGGTCGATGGTATCATGTGCACATGGTGTACTGATGCATCCTGGGAGACTCGCACGAACTTACCATCAGTCAACACTACACCTGGAAAGGGTTGCGCAGACTGTGGCCGTATGTCAGCGTTGCCAAAGCTGCCACTGAACAAACCCAAGACGCGTAAGCTGGGATTGCTTTCTCCAAGACTTGCGAGGAGATCCCTTGGAAAGACTAGTGTATTACCTGATAGGTCCTTACAACGTCGGGGATCCTAAGAAAAAGAATTCCTGTACACTTCATTGCTTGACAATATTGATCCGTAACCGGATGTTCGAGATTGCGAGATCTGCTCCAAGGCAGCAGACAAGTAGCCATCGTTCTAGAACAGACGTGGCTTACTCGGTATCCATGGCCTGCTGAGGTTATCATGGATAGAGGACGTGAGTGCCGCGCAGAGGTCGAGAAGACTCTCCGGGATGAATATGGACTTTGCCGCAAGTTCATCACTACACTAACCCTCAAGCCAACTCGATATGTCGAGCGTGCTCATCAGACCTTCGTAACTTGATAGCTGCTCAAAATATCAAGTGTCAAGACGACCTCGTGAATGGATCCTGGGATGGAGTCCTCACGGCGGTTCGGTTCGCGATGAATGCCACGATTCATACCACCTTGCGTGCAACGCCTGCACAGCTCGTGTTCAATCGTGATGCGATTCACAACGTCCGTTTCGAAGCAAACTGAAATACATCAAGGAACGTCGCCAACGACTTATCCAACAAAACAATGACAGGGAAAACGCGACGCGTGTCCCTCATCAATACAATGTCAACGATACTGTGATGATTCACCAGTATCAACACCGCAAGTACGGTCAGACAAAGTACAAAGGTCCTTACAATATATACCGAGCAATGACAATGGACTGTAGGCTCCGACATGCTACCTAATGCGGCACAGTCTACCAGACTTGGAACATAAGGTATTACACCCATACAAGGCCTGATCCCTTGTAGATTGCCATGTGCGCGCACATGTCTACATCCAATCTCCGGAGAGTGCCCCGCACTTTAATTCATATTCCGACTGATGTCGTGCCTCTGTGACCCTTGTCAGGGGGCGAATGCAATACACGGCTCTTAGCCTATTCGCGACTCGATCCTAGATAGGGTTGAGTTCGACTCATGACGTAGTCCCTCGCGATTAGTCATTGAGACAGGTTCTCATGACTGCTAGCATACTAGGTTGTCGATGAACATCGCTCTAGATATTTAGCGCGTGGAAAGCTTCCACGCTACTAGACAGCAACTAGCTGAAGTTTCCACGGTTCGGAAATGGACCGTGGAGTACATAGAGTTATTGCCATAACCTACGATATCACACTCAAGGCCTCCCGCGGGAGACCAACTTCAATGAGCTTCACAACGATCTCTCTCATGGATTAGTTTTTCGTAGCTTTCTAATCTCTCTCATAACTTTCATTCTCTCAACTCAAAATCGAAAAATCTTTACACTACTAGCTTTTAGCGTAGTGCATATGCCTACCAGAAAGCCAAGAATGGTTCCAAGCTCATTTACCTGCAAAAGAAGAAATAGAATAGATTCTGTAAACTGATCAGCAAGCTAAGTAATACTACTACTGGGTTTATTCAAACTAGCAGCTAGCTGGATACCGGCACTATAGCATATAGATATATTATGAGTTAACTTGTGTGCACTCCTTGTCGATGAAGCTGTCGTTAGCCACAGTTTCGGGTACCGTACTGCAATACACGGCTCGTAGCCTTATTCGCGACTCGATCTAGATAGGGTTTGAGTTCGACTCGTGATGTAGTCTCTCGCGAATAGTCATTGAGATAGGGTTCTCAATGACCGCTCTAGTCAACTAGGTCGATGATGAACATCGATCTAGATATTTGGCCAGCGTGGAAGCTCTCCACGCTACTAGATCCATGCTAGACGAATCTTCCACACGTTCTGGTTTAGGATCGTGGAGTACGTAGGATTGCTACCACAACCTACGCTATCACACTTTACAGTCTCCCGCGGGAGATCAGATCTTCGATCTTCAGGACGATGATCTCTCTCGTTGATTAGTTTTTTCATAGCTTTCTAATCTCTCTTATAATTTACATTCTCTCAAACTCCAAAACACTCGAAAGATCTTAACACTAGCTTTTAGCGTAGTGCAGTACGGTACTGTCGGGTGCTAGTACGGTACCGGTGCCGGTACCACGCTGGAGAAGATCGATTGAATAATGGAACTCTCGAATAAAAAGACGATTGCAGCCAGTAGAGCTGTGAATTAAAATAAAAAGTGGTGCAGGTTATTTCTGACTTCCCAACCAGAACAAGACAACAACAACACAAGGGAAGACTCTCCCAAACTAAAATCACAACCCTGAGAGCAACAAAAGAGGCAAAATTGGAGTGTGGAAGAATCGAACTCCCGACCTACTGCATGCGAAGCAATCGCTCTACCAACTGAGCTAACACCCCTTGTCGATTTAGCGAGAGAAGAGGTAGAAGAAGGGACAGCTGCTTCAGACATTACATGTACTGGACCAAAAACTTTTTCCAGCTAGCTTTCAGGTACAGTCCAGCCAGTTGTCTCTCAACTATGACATTGGGGAGCTAGCTACTGGTACCGACTTGCTAGTGTGTAGACTGGAATCAATATGCTCTTGCTACGTCCATTAGCCAACCTCTTGCCAAAAGACATTTCATTTTTGCTTCCTTGCTCCCTGTCCACGCAATCTGTGGTTTGCTCCTTTCAACCATGCATTGCTCTTTTGAATGGTACGGGTCGCAACTTCAGTTAGCTCCATTCTGTGGCGCTATCAGATGTTGGTTCGTGTTCATACCTCACAATCGCCACTGACGATAGAAGTGGTATCATATGTGATACTTCTATTCATGTGGGAGGAGGTCATCGCGAGGATGGATGGTGAGAAACGAGCTAGGCAATTGAATTGTTCGGTGCGGGGTTGACATTACTGCTAAATGTAAATAATATTATTTCAATAAACAAACGATACCGCACAACCGCTATTCCTTTCTGTTTGACACCAACTAGCCAGAGAGCAAGGCACGAAGAGAATGGACGGCCACCGCCATGCACATGGCATTTGAGAGAAAATAAGCTGGAATCGTGAACTTCTGAAGTCCAATTTTTGCAAGGGGGACACCAACCGAAGAGCGGTAAAGAGAAGCATACTGGCGTCGCAAAATGGCCCAGAGCAACGCCATGACAGCCGCCACGGTGCCATTGACAAAGAAAGCACAGCTTAGGGTACCAATCAAAAACACGGGCATTTGCTCCACTTGGTTGGTCTGAACTCGCACTGCCAGGTATACCTCTTCGGGAATATGCTTGGGTAAATCCTTATACGAATGCTCCATGTAGTTCGCCTTCGTCTTGGCCACGCCAACAGCCATGACATCCCACAAACTGTAGCTAACCAAAAAACCGCAAACCACAATCAAAGACGGAGCCATTTCTCGGTGGATGTTTTCAGGAAGCATCCCAGGTTCGCGTCCCGCCAAAAAGGATAACAAGGTCCCAAGGACGACGTAAGTGATCAATATCACAAATGGTGAGGGTTCAGCTGCGCCGTTATTGGAATTTGCCATTGTGGAAGATAGTTATTATTATTCCTTTTCGTTTACTAATTGCCTACCGTGGCTACGTAGTAGTATCGGTATAACTTGATTGAATCGATTCTTCTTTTGTGTGCTCTTCGTCAAGGATCTTCGTGCAGTCAGGGGAGATGTAAGATCTGTTCTTCCGCGAAGATCCTGGAAAACTTGATGCCACAAAGATACGGTGTAGTACTGTACATGTACACCAACATCACAGGGTCCTGGGTCGTGGCAGCCAAAGACATCCACACAAAAAGGGGAATAGAGTGTAACTGCGGTTGCCAGCATCGATTGTGGGTGCAAGTGCAGAGGATGGAAGGGTTGCACACAGCCCCAGTAACGCTGCGCTTCAATGATGATGGGATTGACCAACAAGAGCAAGTCCTGGAGGTGAAGTGCGGTGCTTATCGATGCGGACAACGCGCACAACCAATTGAGGTCAAAAAGTCTGGATCCCTCCTGATACATGGATAGAAGTGCTGAGATACGGTACCTGGTAGCTAGTTGAATTGAAACTCCAGCGAACGAGGGGTTGGAACTGCTGTACAACCTCTTCGAGATCCAGGCCCAGGCCCAGGCCCAGTGTTGGAATGTAAACCCTGACAAACTGGATGGCAACCTTGTTCAACAGAAATGTATGGCATATCGTCTTAGTAAAAGGGGGGTGTCAACGGCGAAACCTATGTTATCAAGCAGAGACTGCCAGGGTCGACTACAGTCTTCCACAGTGATGAAAGGAGGACCTGTGTTTGTGGAATTTTGGCAATATGAAAAGACCAAACAGTAGATAGCTAGTAGCTAGCTAGTAGCAAACTAGAGATAGCAAGTTACCTCTCCCATCGATCTACTACTATGCATAGTGGTACTGGTCCTGGATGTCAGAGATTGCTCTATGGTCCAGCACCGTCAAATTTACCGGAACCCTGAAAATGCCACGATTTGATGTCACCACGCTCTCCTTGGCCGTTGTCCAACCGCCACGGATATCCCATCGGATATCCCGTTTGAACACGACCAATCCGGTTTGAAGACGGAATTCTAAAAGGCACCACACAACAAACAAAGCACTTGCCTCTCCTCCTCCATCACTCCAAGGACGAAGTGTAACACGCAGCTATCACACATAGGAAACCCAACTAACTATCTACTAATAACAAATCTAGCTACAACAAGCTAGATAAGAGCTTGCCACGATGCAAAAGCACAATGATGGCCACATGAAGTTTTTGTTGACAGTGTCAACACCAATTATCGTCTTGGCAATCTACATGATTTATTGGTACTTGCTCCAAATCGAGATTAACAAGACCATCAATCTCCCTACCGGCTTGGAATCGGTAGGGTCGCATGAAGACTTTGCCAAGAAAAAGAATTCGGAGAAGAAACCTGATGGCATCGAGGAAGAACCAGCCCCCACCAATCCTCCGGTGGATGCTGAGGCGGAAGGGGAGGAAAAGCCACGCCGCTTCCGAATCACAAAGTTGCGAAACGTTGTGCTGCTCTTTACGGCGTGTTCTTTGAGTCTAATTGCATACTTGCTGCTCGTGGTATCCGCCGCCAGTGCTTGGTTGAGCCTGGTTGGTTTGGCTTGTGTCATTGTCATTGCCCTGTGGCAACAAATCTTTGAAGAACTCCGTAGACAGCGACTCGACCGAATTGTTGCAATTGTTACCTTGATCTTCCTGGCCGCCTCCTTTATGTCTCTGGCAACCTTTGCCAATCAGTCTCTCCGAGAAGGTGAAGTTTATCAAGGAAAGGCCCGCATTGTGGGATTCGACTACAACAGCTACGACAATACACAAGGTGATGGCATCACTCGCACGGATCTAGAAGTTGCTTGGGGTGGAGAATGGGGGTGCCCCATGGACGCTGGAAAACAGTGTCAGGCTTTTGTGCAAGGAGCCATGTGCGAATCTGAAAAGGATGACGAAGAGGAAGAAAAGAAGGACGACGATGGAAACAGAAAACGCCGGCGTCTAGATGGTGACGACGAAGACAACAACAATCAGGACGCAGAAGAAGAGGAGGTACAAGAAGAAGAACAAGAGGTGGAAGAGGAGGAAGCCGAAAATGAAGATTTAGAAGAAGAGGTCGAGGAGGAAGAGGCAGAGAACGAAGAGCTGGAAGACGAGCTAGAAGAGGAGGAAGACTACGCTGAAGAGCTGGAAGAGGAGGTCGACACCGATTACAACTACTACTGGGATGATGACCTGGTTTCTGACTCGTATTGGGATGAACAGGACTGGGGTAACATCTGGGGCGAATATGCTTGCTATGATCTGTTTGACTATGACATGTCAGGAAGCGAGTACGACGCGGACGAAGCTCCTGGCAAGGATGATTGGCCATTTATTACCATCTACGGTACGTACGGAAAAATGGAATGTCCCTCTCTGTTCATCGTACTTTGGTCTTGACAGCTAACCCTCCTTTTCCGACTTTTTTTAAAGGAAACTGCCGCACTTGCGATGCCTACATTGTAGACTATTTCAGCACGGAGCACTTCCAGGGCATTCAAGACTACAAAGTCCAAGGAAGAAACTATTTGTTTCTTTCGTTTGTTGGTTTGATCATCACAGGCATTTTGCATTTCAAGCACCGAATGGACCCGATTGCAGAAAAGGAGCTGGAGCTGCTTCCAAACGATGGTGGCGCTATGGCTTAGTCAGTTCCTCCCTTTGCTCGGCGTATTACTCTCTCGTCGTCTGCATAATCGTAGTACTTTAGACAAAATCAGATTTCTTTGGTTTGCTAGTTCACTCAGATGCATGTAGCAGCAAGTACAGTTGTTGTTTCCGTGTCTCTACGAGTACTTACACTCACTATCGGCTTGCACGATTGAAGGCGGCACACCAGCAGATTTTGTTTTCTCCAGCACTGCGGACCGAGATGTTAGCGGAGCTCGCATCCGTCCGACACCGCAAGGACTTCTGAGGTCTGGCAAGTCTCAGTGTCGATCCCTGGCTGAAACTGCACCACCGGAATCGAGGCTGGTGCTGGACTCAACTCTCAATCTTCCACAATTGCATCTATTAATAGTCTACCTTTTTCTGAATGATTGATTCTGTTTCAATAATCAGCCAAATTTGCTGCTCTGTTTCTGTTTGATTCAGACGGCTGAGCCGCTGAGTCCTTGCGTCAAAGAATCAGGTCAGCAACACTACGCAAAAAGCAGGATCTGATGTGTGAAGCATTCCAACCTTTCAGCACACGTTCAACACCCACTTCCCGGTAGTTTATCTTTCAGAGCACAAATGGTGGCCTTGCATTTTTCTGGATTTGGCTTGGCTCCAAAACATGCCGGTTCGTGCAAGGAGGGAAAGATGACTTTGAGTTCTGGACATACCATGAGTAGATCTTCCCGTTCCTGAAAGGTCAACTGTGCCTGTGTCCCCGAGACGACCATGGGTGGCGGGGGAATGGGCCTCTTGTGTCCCTTGACGGTGGAATTGGTGGTTGCCACCCCACCAAAGCGAATGGTGTCTTGTCTCGTGGCCAATCGTACAGCGGGATGTTTCATAGGTTTTCCTGCCGCAGTGTTCATTCGTTGCATGACTTCTACAAAGGCCATGCCTTCGGGTGGATTCATGGGCAAATTGTTTTGTTTTGCAAATTCAATTGCTCTCAGCATGATGGTTCTATTCCTGTAACTGTGCGTGGCCGAGTCACCTCCCTGTTTGTCAAACCTGGTCCACGGACACGCGCAATAATCGAGATGTTCTAGCATTTTCCAATTTTCTTCTGTATTGCCATGGGTGCAGAGTATCCCATTCCCTGAGAACATGAATACTCGATCCGCCACCATGGTGTTCCAGAACCATGGATCCAGAGGAATGCGCTGATTGGGTTGTTTGATGTTTTGCAATCGTTCTGGCAATTCCCTTATTATGACTCCCTGATCTCTCAACAATCGTGGCAATCCAGGATGCAGGGGAAGTACTTGTTCATTCCAAAAGGAAGGTTTGACGAACAACTGAATGGCCCAATTGGGAGGAGTGTTGGATTTCACATTGCTTATGAGAACGGGAAATCTTCGCTGAAACCAAGCTGGTGCCGAAAAGAAAATAGCAGCAGCAACACCATCGTAGGTTCTTTCTTTTTTGTGTTCCAGTGACGCAACGTCGAGGCGTTGCTTGGCTACTGGAACATCTACAACTTTCATAATTGGAGGACAAGTGCCAATATCATTGTCGTGGTGACGCTCTTGCAGCAAATAGGATATCAAAGCCCATTGAACCACCGTCACTACCAGTAACAAAATCAGGGGAATGCTGTTCAGGAAGGACTTCATCTGGTTGTACTGTACTGTATGATATATTCCAGGTTAGGTATCTTTCTCAAGTTCATTGTGCGTGGGATCGCACTGGGATCTTCCGCTTGTTGAGAGGCAAGCCAAAAGACAGGCATCGTTGAGGTTGGATTTTGAGGTGACCCTCAACCCTAACCTTGCGCTTATTGCAAACATAGTAATCTCTTTGTGCGCAAGAGGCTTTGGGTCATGCAGCTTACTTAAAGGCTCAGTTAGACATTCAAACAAAAGAAATAAGGAGCTTTTGTCAATCCAACACCGAGCCTTCTGCACTTCTGCAGCTTTCTCTCACCAATTTCCGAAGGTTGCGTTCCAAAAGTAAGTTTGCTTGTGACCATGGCGCTGCATGGATGTACATGTACCCTGGAACAACAAGCAGTATCGCCGCTACTACCAGTACTACCTGAGATAAAAGACCACTACAACTGTAAGGATCAAGAAGAGTGTACAGCTGCTACTACAAGAAAAGAATCATCCAAGAGCACTACAAGAAGTAGTACCTGTAGAATCAAAATGGGTCGTGACTGTTTGGTGTGGGGAGGAAGGAGGAGTTCCTACATGTTGCTGTTATTGTTGTGCATGGCTGTACACGTATCTGTGGTGGAAGGGAGTGTGACGATCTTGAATGCGACAGCCAAAAAGACGGCGAGTATTGACAACGCCAATTACGACTATCAAGTGGTTTTGGAGAATACCTCGAGTGATCCTCTCGATGACGTGTTGATCTTTCGTTGGGATGAACCTGCCGATGGCATCTTGAGCGCATCGCTGGAACACACCACCAAGGTACAAGACAACGAACCCTCGTGGCTGGCGATTGGGTTCTTTGACTCGTTGCGCAATACAGTCCCCATCTTTGACAATGTCCTCGACCAAGTCAATGGACAGGCCGTCGTGGGAACCTACTTCTTGGCCACACCGGCCGTTTTCAAGTACTCTCTGGGAGACCCTCATGGAAGAGTCAACGGCAACAACCTCAATGGAGGAGTCTCCTTGATGTCCACTGACGAACAGACACTCATCTTTCAGAATATGGAACAAGGCGCTGTCACACTGCACGACGGGACTCCGGCCATTCGAACCATTCTCACATTTTCCAAAAACATGGACGAGGCCTCGGCCACGGGAAATACCAATAACAACGAAGCTCTCATTCGAGAGAACGGAGAAAACATTTTCACATGGGCCATTGGACCGCCCGGCATGGATACGCTAGGAATGCACGACCAACGAGGATCCTTTCGACTCGATTTTCAACAAACTCATACACCAGCTGCTGCCGATAGTCCTAATCCTGGCACTGTCGATACCACTCCCGTACCAGCGCCACCCCCACAAACTCCGGCTCCACAAACTCCGGCTCCAAGACCAGCAGCGGGGATTAGTAATATTGTCAACGCCACTGCGACACTGCAACAGATTGATCACTCCGCGGCACAAGAAAGCCCATACAGTGACTTTGATTTCCAGGTACAGTTGGACAACAACCTCATTTTCTACTGGGCCAATCCAGGAACATCCAGAGAACTCAAAGCCAGACTCGAACACAAAGCTGAATCCATGGCCACAGCTCCCTCTTGGCTCAGTCTAGGATTCTACGATGTACCCAGCAATCCAAGACCCGTCACGCCCAACAATTTCCTCATGAATCGATCCACCGCCATTATTGGAAAATCATGGGAAGCAGAAGCCACCAGCACGCCCATCATATACAAATTGGGATACAATCATGATCAACCGGGAGTCATACAACCACTGCCCGAACAAACTTTGTCCGAAGCTTCCTTCTTGCAATTCACCAATACCAATGAAGGAGTCGTATACACCACCCTATCTTTCACAAAGAGCATGACCGAACAACATCCAACTGAACCACCCATTCTAGGATTGGGAGACAACGTCTTCATTTGGGCAATGGGACCACCCGGAGCTACGGCATTGACCATGCATAGCGAATACGGAGCCTTTCGATTGGATCTGTACGATGCTGCCAGTAGTCACTCGCCACCGCCAGGGACCACCCCGGCACCAGTGGCTTCCATTAGTATTATTGATGGCACCACACAAGCCGCTGTATCGACAGATCCCAAGTTCGACTTTCAAGTACAATTGGAACAAGATGTCATTTTTCGTTGGGAATCCCCCGATGAAGATACGGGAATCTTCACGGGGCGACTGGTACACACAACCAAGTTCGTCGAGGCGGCTCCGGCTTGGCTGGGATTTGGATTCCCCAATCCGGCCGATACATCGACATGGATGCTCATGCAAAACACATATGCGGTGATTGGTTTACTGCCCAGTGAAAAGGTAGAAAAATATTCCCTCGGAGTCAATAACAATCACACAACTGGGTTTGTTCAGGCATTGCCGCTCGAGCAACAAACGTTGAAAGCGTCCAAAATGATGCAATCGCACGATCCCGACACGGGAGTTTACACAACCTCCTTGACCTTTGCGAAATTGCTCAAGGAGGATATTCCATTGGAATCAGAAATTTGGGTCAATGGCGAAAATAGATTTCTGTGGGCAGTGGGTAATGCTCTTACGGCCACGCCCACACTTGGCATGCATCGCGATTTTGGAGCCATGACGGTAGATTTTGCCAAGGTGGTCGAAGGGGAAGCAGAAGGTCAGACGCCAGCTACAGTTCCGGCCCCCGCTCCTCAGCCAACACAGCCGCAACCACAGCCGCAGAGTACGACAGAAAGCAGGGAAGTCAGTACCAGTAGCACCAATGTAAATCCATTTCCTGCCCCTGTCATTGTGGGACGATGTTCGTCCGAAGTCTTTCAAAAAAGTGGCAAGAGCATCCAACTGACTCCCGAACTCGTGATGCATTGGACGGTAAACGCTGTCAAGGAGGAGGAATTTGCCGAATTCGGAGAGGTTCCCTCAATCACCGTGGTCCTTCAGTACAAAGGGCAGGCTTGGTTGGGATTTGGAATCCAAGATTCTTCTCAGGCACACGGTACATCGTCAACCGGCATCATTGGACTCCCAAAGACGAAAGACTCGCCGCAATTGAAATACAACATTACAGCAAAATCTGCCGTGGGCACGGTGCCCATGGCTGATCAGACTTTGATCGAAGCGTACATCAATCAAGAACGCGGAAACCCTGGTCTGACGACGCTTCGATTCACCAAAGCTTTGCAAGATGGGTTGAGAGAAATTGATATCAAACCCAAGGGGCTGAATTACTTCTCTTTTGCAGTCGGCTCGGGGAACGAAATGGGCTACCACAGGCATCGTGGTGCTTTCCAACTGGACCTTTCCGAGTGCGTTGATCTGCCACCGGGCTACAACACCAATGCACAAATTTCCGACTCCGACAACAAAGCGAAAGGAGCCCTCACAGCTCATGCTATCATGGCTGCAATCGCCTGGGGATTTTCCATGCCACTTGCGGTTGGCATGGCATGGTTCAGACAACTGATACCAACCACATGGATTTACGTTCACGTGTCGTTTAATTTGCTGACGTTTCTGCTGACACTGTTGGCGGTGCTAGTGGGTGTTGCTGCGGTGAGCTCCAGAAATAGCACGAGTCATTTCTCGAAGGGTCATCATGTTGTCGGCGTCCTGCTGTTTTTGGCCTACACATTTCAAGTTGGCAACGGATTTTTGAGGCCGCCGGTAGCAAGGAAGGAGGATGGAGCTCCAGTGGAGAGGCAACCGTTTTCCTTACAGAAACCACAATCGGCCAGAGAGTGGTGGCATATGATTCATCGTTCGACGGGTATCATCATGCTCCTCGTTGGTGTCTTCCAGATTGCCAGCGGTATGCACCTGTATGACCAGAATTTCCGATCGGGCAGGGATCATTTCTTTTGGTATTGGACATATGTGTCGCTGTTTGCGCTAACCTTGCTGGCACTGAGAATCTGGTTGGTCATGCAAAACAGACGAGCCCGAGGTGAAGGCGCCTCTTGGATGGAAGATAGCGCAGCGACAAGCGTCGGTATTGACCCGTCGGATCCAACGGGTATGCGAGGAGATGTAGATTGTGTAGTTTTGGAAATACCGTCAAGAACTGGGGATTCTACTATGATCAGAGGGGCCCGGCGCATGCAAGCTAATGCACACGACATGTCAGAGTCAAATGACGACGACAATATGACTGTCGAAATTACCTAAGCACTGCAGGAAGACCGGGGATTCTTTTGTGCATTTGAGGGTGATACGTTCAGATCTGTATAGAAACTTAATAGTTAAAACTGTTTGCAAACGGAGTATCCTCGTGTTGGGTACGGTAGAGCCGAGCCGCATTCGTCGACCAACCTTGTCATTCTGTTCAAGTTGAGACAATCCCCAGTTGGACACTCGCTACCTCGTGGCGATGTCGGCACGGTCCTATCAAGTAAACTAAGCAGAGCTTCTTCTTTACAGTGCTCTATTCTATGTTACAATTGGCAAACCAGAGGGAAACCTTTTTAATAGGAATTGACCATGTTCTGTAGCCGTTCGGGTGAAATGTCATAGGCGGCTTTTTCGATTTTGGATGGTACCCCACCTCCGAGCACACTAAAGATTTCTTTCGTTCTCTCCTCGACCCCGGGATCACTAGGCCGCAGTTCTGCCTGTCGATAATCCCGCACTAGTCTCTGATAAAGCTTGTATCTCTCACCTTCCGTGTGCAGATGCGGGCAGAGATTCGAAAACAAGCGAACAGTGTTCTCAAAGTTCAAAGGACCCAATTCAATTGTTTGTTCGACCTGACCACCAAGAGCAGGAATACCCAGCTGTCGTCGGCCAGTCAATAGGACTTTCACGTTCTTGGTTCCCCGGAACAAACTGCTCAGGAACATGGGAAACTCTTGTTGATCATCAGAGTTTTCAAGATGCTCCATTCTGTCAAACACGAGCAGGGCCTTTTCGTTCTTCAATGACTTGCAGATATACTCAAAGATGTCCTCCATGTCTGCTCCTCTCTCGGGTGGTTCTCCCTTGCCTACCTCGTGCTCGACAATCTTGCGTTGGGTCTGCTCTAAGAGCGCCCGACAGCAGTCTTGTCGTCTTCCATGTTTCGCTTTGACAAAGTAAATCTTCTCAATGGCAATGATCGTGCTTGCACGCTCATTAACATAGTGGCAAAGAGCACATACAACAGATGACCGACCAACTCCAGGTTCGCCAACGACACTGACCAACCGGGTGTCAAGGATGCGTTTGAGCATCCAGTACATTTCAACCTCACGACCCAAAAAGAACTGGGGTGGAGTGGGGGATGGATCCTCTTGCATCATGTTGCGAACACCAAGCTCCGACTGCTTGGTTCCTGCTCCATACATGCTTCGGATGCGAGGTGCAGCCCGACTTTTCCTGTACGACCGTCGGGAGTTCTGCTGCCCCTTGAGCTTTGGCCACTCTGGCACAGAAACAGCATTCAAGATTGGCACATCATGATTGCCATCTTTGGGGAGGAGCAAGAACTTCTTCATCTCACTCTCGGCATCACGTAGGTTCGGGGTTGCTCTCACTGCCTTGCAGCCCTGTTCAAACGATTCCCTCACAGTATGCCCAATTGCCAAGGACAAGTAGAATTGGCGGGTGAAAGCCAGTGCTGCAGTATCCTTCAGTTCAAACTCTTGCTGACAGCAAACAACATGAGGGACCCCAGCCGAAGCAAATGTTGCCCCAGCCAAACCAGAGTGGCATGCTGATACAAACACAAACTTGAAAGGTGCTGTTCCTTCTCGAGCAATCAGCCTTTGGATGTCTTCCACATTGAACCAGTTTGGCCCGCCCCTTCCATCCTCAAATGGAAGGTACATTTGATGCCCATGGCCTGAGTAGTGCAAGCAACTACATCGCTTTGTCATGGCAGCAAGCAGTCGGTCATGAGTCGCATTGTCAAAAGAAAGCTCGATATCTCTGGAAGCCTCTTTCATGCACTGCCACATGAGTTCACGTTCCATGTCAAAGTCCAGCTTCTTGAAGGGTCGTAACTTCTTCTGGTCATCTGCAAACACCAGAGGTGCCGAAAACAGCACCGTGATCATGTTGTCGCCACGGGCCCCTTCTCTGACGGGCACATCATTTGTTGGGCTGCTTCCAGGGACAACGACTGTCTTTTGGTTCTTTTTACTGGTAAGTGAAGTATCCTCGTCAACCTTCAACTCATCAACCCAGTCTTCATCCAATCCATTATCCTCTTCGAAGACTGCGATGTCGTTCATTGCCTTCTGCAAAGTTGCGGCTCGTGTTTTCATCAAGATGTCCTCGAATCCAGCTCTCTGGTGCGAGGCCATTGGAGGCAGATTCTCTTCAAGTCCCAGAAACGACAGTCGCGATGCTCCTGGTCTGTTCGTCAGCCTTTCAAGGACGTCATCAATAACGTAGGAACTCAGCCTGTTTTTCGACAGGTTCAGCTGGCAAAGATTAGTATTTCTTCGAAGGGAGGAAGCCAAAAGATGGCTGAATTGGTAGTCATCGTCTCCATGGTACATGGCGTTGTCGGACAGGTCTAGCACTTTGAGTCCCAGCGCGTTATACTTGAGGAGCGCAAGGATTTCAACGGCTCCTTGTCCGACACCAAGTCCATTTGAGGACAAATTCAGGGTGTGCAAGCGAGATCCCCAGCCTTTTCGTTCGAGTATTGGGATGAATCGGTGTTTCTCCACGTACGTACGCAATGCCTTTACACACCTCGCACCCTTACCGATCCTGTTGCCTGACAGGTCGAGCTGCTCAAGGAAGCATCCCGAGTCAGAATCGTGTACCAAGTCCAAGATGAGGGCACAAGCAGCATCGCCGAGGTCGTTGAAACGCAAATCAAGGAACATCAAGGATGACAGCGGAGATACTGAAGCTCGATTTGCAATTGCCTGCGAGCGCCCCAACAGGCTGAAGAACATTTGCCAAACTGTCCCCGTGACATGCGGAGAGTGAGTGATACTAAAGCTCCAAAATCGCCCTTTCCCACGTGAGGACGTCACGTCGTCGTTTGGTGAATGGTCCTGATCCGCCGAGAGCTTTCCCATGGTTTCAATGATGGCTATCAGCGTCCGCAATTCGCGGTCGTTGAATATATTCTTGAAAGTCAAGAAATCGATCCATGGCGGCAGTGACCCAACTAATTTCGCTAGAAGCACACTCCCTCCCTCGCCATCACTTTCTTCCGTTGTTATCTCGTGTTGTCCTTGAAAGCCAATATCTCTGGCAAAAGTGAGACTACGAATTGTCGGACACAGATATAGGGCTTGAACAAGTGACTCTGAGAATTCGCCGGCAAAGGAGCTGTTTGTGAATCCCAGTGACCAATGCACGTCGTCGAAAGCCAGGGCTTCAGGTTGAATGTCACACAGACGAGACACCATTTGGCCTTCTCTTCGGAATGAGAAGTACTGCCTCTGCGGCATCATCAACGTTCGGAAGTTGAAAGATGCTTCAGGCCTGAAGTTAAAGACTGGAAGAAGGTGGCTTCGCAACAAGCGAGATGGGATACAGCAGTCCAAGACATCCTCTAGGTGTTGTGGCAAGGACAGGGACATGAACACGGCTTCGTCGTGTTCAATTCCATCATAAACTGATCTTTCGTGGCTCAGAATCCAATCGATTTCTGCCAATTCATCATTGAGGGGATAAACTTGCTTGGCTAGCAGATGTACACCATCCTGTTGTGCAGCGAATTCCTCCTCGATTTCCCGCATTTCCGTGTCGTCTGCGTCCCCGCTATCGTAGGCGTCTCTATATTGTCGCAGCATCAGTTCTCGTTCGTGGTAAGTATCTTCGTCATCTGCAAAATTGTCGAATAGATCCAACTCGGAAAGCGCATCTAGCGGTTCTTCGGCATTCCGCTGAGTTTCATGCCTCACGAATCCGGACTTTTCGATCTCTGCGAATGGTCGGCACCAAATTGCTGCCAGAATCCTCCGCATTTCAGCGCGCACCATGGCCTGAATGATGAGGGAACGCCGCAGGCAGAACCAATCAGCAAGCAGGTTGGGATTGCTTCCAGCAACCTGAACAGCAATCTCGTCCTCAGAGAATCCAAGGGAAAAGAAAACTTGACCTGCAACGTTGGCAATGTCGCTATGGTCTGTTTGCGAATTCTTCAGTTGCACAATCGAAGGCAACGTTTTGTCCACCATCCGAATCTTCAACGGTTCAGATTCTGCAAGGGCGTCCAGACCGCAAAGAACACTGTATAACTCCTGCTTCGAGCCGAGATCTTCCCCCCCTTCCACCACTGCTGCGGCTAGTATTTTGTTGAATGCATCGAGAATCGACCCAGACCATCTACCGTAACCTTCCTGCGCAGCTCCTCCGGTGAGTAGCAACGGGGCAAGCGACGACAGTGAGCGGCAGGCCTCTCGTAGGAGCACATTAGTTCGTGTCGAGAGATCCGCAAAACCGTGGAGCTGAGGAACCGTCAACGACATCGTCGACACCCGTAAAAGACTGACGAGACCCCCACTCTCTGCTGTTTCTATGCACCCCTGGTTCAAAATGTTCTCTGGTGCCACATAATTCGACGAAGCTCTCATCAAATCTGGGCCAGGCGTCTTTGGTTCTTCAATGGGTTCCATGATATTAGCCATGCCGCACAAAGCATCGTGTACTTCCATAAATACTGCATCGAGAACAGAAGAAAACTCTTTGTACGCATCTTCTCCACGTCCACCGATTGTAGCGACCCTCAGAGCTTGTCGCATTCTACCAATGTCAAAGTGCAGCGCCCTCCCCAGTGCTCGGGCTGCCCCTTCTTCCACGAACTGAAGCCTGGTGCGCCGGCTTGGACTTCTGTCCTCGCTGAGTACCCTAATTGCTTCTATTGCCATAGCCCTTAGCTCACCGTCATTCTCTTGTGCAATCGCAATGAACGAACCGATAGCACCGCTGTTGACAATGTCACTACAAGAAAAAGGGAAGATGAGATTGGCGCAGGATTCCATGAACGATCTCTGCAGCACTTCTTCCAACTTACTCTACCAGAGAATCACGTTTGTCCGGAGACACAAAATCTAGAATCTCGGGGTCGCCGCCTCCAAAGACGCTCGCCCTTGTGATTGCCCCAGCTGCCAACTGCGTGATGGCACGTCCTGCGAACAAGGCAACTTCTTCCGATGCCTTATCCGAGTGATCATAGAGGAAACCAATGAGGTAGAACATACACTTTGCTTCCACCACCGCTGCTCTAGTGTGAGGCGCAACACAAAGAGATGCAAGGATCTGCGCAACCGCCAACCTCACATCATGACCAGCATTATAGTCATCCGCCAGCTTGATTACTTCTGCCAATGCCCCCTCGTTGACCATTTGGGAGTGGATCCAACCAGCCATGTATTTGTCCTTGATGTTTGTCAAATACCGAAGCGCTGAAACTGCAGGGCGAACCTTTTCTTGGTCCTTTGATTTGATCCAATCAACCAGGATAGGTAGAAGGCCCTCACGGACAGCAATTGGTCTTGCGACATCAACTGTGCATACTTGCTCTATGTTTGTGTACCTCCAAACAGACATCGCAGCATTAGAGTGAGGGTCACTTCCATTCACTGGGTCAGCATCGGTTTTCTTTTCAATGTGAACGATCAGAGACACAGTCATCTCGAGAAGCTCTTGAAGTTCCAGCGTTTGATGTCCTTGGTCAAAGATACCGGCGGCTGTGGTAATGCCGTTGGAGCTGTTGTTTATTAATTGAAGGTCGGCACGTTCTCCGTCGGCTTCGTCTGCTCCACTCAAAGGATGGTTGAGCATTGGCTCGAGCGCGTTCATCCAAAAAGCAGTTACGCCCATGGCAGAAGCTCTGAACATCATCTGTTGTGATATCTTAACACTGTTGGGACTCACCGCACGCGATATACTCAAAAAACGAAGACATTCCATGATCTTGAGGCCGACACTCGGAGACGTCTCGGCGAAGGAAGGTAAGACGTAAGCAACAGCCATACCAGAAACAACTCTTAACTCGTAGCTTGTCCCCTTTGCCCGGAAGACTTGAAGTAATGAATGCATGCCTCCAGAAGACCGAATTTCATCTCTCAAACTAATTCCTCCCTCCTCGGGCCGTTCTCCGTCCCTGGCAAATTCCATCAGAGCGAGGGCTGCATCTAGTCTCTGATCACTCTGTGCACGCAAGATGCAGATGAGACTAAATACATCTTTCTTCCTGATAAGTCCGTTGATGTCCAGATCAAGGGTACTGTTTGATTTTGGAGGAGGGGTCTCGGCTGCTTTTTTCCTTGCATCTTTGAGTGTATCCTCTCCCAGCGTGACAGCCTCCAAGACCAGCTCATTTAGACCAATAAGTTCCATGAGGTCCACGTTCGGATCGTAATCAGTCATGGCCTTGTCCAATGCAACTTTTACAGTCTGTTGGTCGGCTCTGCACATATCAAGTAGACTCTCCAGCACTGACGCGTCAACTTCAGTGTTATCTCTGCATAGAGACCGCAACGTGCTTACATTTTCTTTCATGCCTTCCAGTTCAGAATTCTCGAGAGCAGCTCCAGCAGGGGCATTGTAGTCTCTCCGAGTCGACTCGTCGATCTCGTTCTTCTCCTCCTCCGGGAAACCCTCTGAAGGTCGAGCCTGACTTGATCCCAATGGCCCAGCGAGAAACGGATCATGGCAGTCCTGCTCGTCTTCCTGTTCATGAATAGCAGCAAATTCCATCGATCTATCGCCTCCTGAATTTGTTGACATGAAACCCGATTCCTCTTCCACACGTTCTTTGGATTGCCATTCGTTATCTAGATTGTCCAATGAACCTTGCATTCTTTCACCATACGAATCCTCTCCCTTTTCATCATCACCGTTACTCTCATCCATCAAGTTTCGTTGCGCACGTGTTCCAAGAGATGTTAATGGATGCTGCCCTCGTTCAGAACCTCGCATTGGAGCGGGGGCACGTTGCGAACCACTCATTTGATTTTGCCCCCTTCGAGAACTGCTCATTTGATTTTGTCCGCGCTGGGAACTGCTCGTCGGGTTTTGTGCTCGTTGGGAACTGCTAGTTGAGCTCTGTCCTCGGTGTGAATTCCTTACGTCTTGCTTTGGATCTTCATCTTTTACAGCCGCTGCTGACGAAGTCTGTCCCGTTCTCTGGCTTCGTCCGAATGAGCCCGAAGCTGGTGAATGGGACGTTGATTGTCTGTCTCCGCCACCTGGATTCCGCTCCGATTTTGGTGACCGTGGAAGTGTTTGTTGTTGATGCTGTGGTGGTGGTATTTGTGATGCCGCCGGAGCCGACTGTTGTCGATTTGGTTTAGTCCGATATGGAGTACTATTATTCCCAGAGCTTTCGAAGGCTGGTTTGTGAGCCAGGTAGGCCGTTTGTGCCCAAATGAAGGGTTTGTTGTGTTCGATTCCAAAGTTTCCAACTGCGACTGCCGTCTGGTTGCGGTTAACTTTCATTCCAAAGGCCGGACTCAGCAATAGCTTTTTTGTATCGAGTTCACCAAAGCGTGTTGGCGGTACAATTGATCGTCCATTCTTAGTAAAGAGTACGCGTCTCAGCCCCGTGACTTCTAGTCCGCAGCCAATGATATCTCCCTCCCCAAACCCTTCAATCTTCCCGGTGTTCATGATGCCCAATTCCAAGGCATCCGGTCCGATGGTTTTCCCACTGACTCGCAAGACCCCGTTGGAGTCCAAGCCAATGGAATCACGGGTTTCTCCTGGGACGAATTCTCCGGCGGAAGCCCCCACTTTGTCTAGCACCAACCCCACAGCGGCGTCACAGCCAGAAGGTAGTGTCTTGATGGTGACTTCAAAGAAGTATAGGGTATCTTTTGTGAGTTTGCCCATGACCGCTTCTTCTTGCCTCTTATCCATGGAATTTAAATTCCTAGTTGAGGGCATGATAGTGGGGTATAGTCCTCCAGTGGTTGTTGCTCTGGAAGATGATCTGGGAGGAGAGGTACTTCTGGGGGAACCGAATAGATTGGAAAAAGTTCCCATGTCCCCTCCCCCTGTAGCACTTCTAGTAGTGCTTGGATGACCGGGTGCGAATGGATCCTTAGCTTGTTGCCTGCTTATGGCCAGTCTTTTTAGCTGTGCGGCAGGAATGGGTTGGTTTGCTGCAACAGTGATCCTGGACATGGATGAAGCGTTTCGAATGGAAACAGTCGTGTAGTCGTTTGCCTCATAGCTGAGCTGCAGTTTGCTGTCTTTGAAGCTTTCACCTAGGTCCCAAGCGGAAGGAAGGATGGAATCTATTGTGTCGTCCATAGACAAACTGTTTGATGGGGAACTAGTGTTGTCTCTTCCTCCATCGTCAGAATGGACCGACTTGGTGCCTCCTGACTTTGATCGGCTCTTGGTTCCTTTCCTCAGGAAGTTCATGGTGGCGAGGGTTGTGTATTGTAGATCAGACAAACTCGACTCGGAATAAGACCAGAGCAGTGCAAACTCCCAGTGCTATGTTGATTGATTGATTGAAAGATGGATGATTAAGGATTCCAACCTCTGGCGGCTTCAGCGGTTTCTTTGGAAAAGATCGCTATGCTATCCACGAAGCAGGACGGATAGAAACAACCAAGTCTTTCAACGACCGCTGTGCTGCTGTTCGTCTCGTTGCTTGGCGTATTGAGGTCGTCGAAGGATCAGTACAGTAATACCTGGCACGTCTCAATGATGAGCCGAGCTGGTAGTACTAGTAGTGCTGTGCAGGACTGCTGTCACTGGTCGATCCTTGGCTGCGCTGTGGTGGGGTGGCTCGACCAGACGATAGCTCTTGTTTGCTCTCCTTGGCTGTAGGGGACCGCTTCACTTCTCGACGCTTCAATTAGTCGGGCGATCTCCCAGAGTATCTATCTACTTGTAGAGCTGTTGCTAACACAAAAGAAGAGCTGAGCTGAGCATGGCCTTTCGATCACTCCAGCCTTGCTTTTGATATCGAGTTTGCTGTGGGTGCTCGTGGCGATAACAGGGAGATCGAGGGATCATGCTGCTGCATGAGCAAACCCAGACTGCTTTCACCGCACGAGGTGTGCGCGGCGTTGTATGTTAGGGTGAAGGTTAAATTCTCGACAGTTTAGTCCGGGTCGAGTGATCCTTCCAAATCGAAATCGTGACCAGCATCGGTCTTCGGTTGCTTCGGATATGTACGCTGTACCGAACTACTACTACTAGCTAGCTAGCAGTACCTGGTACCAGTACCGGTATGTACCGGTACCTGGTACATGTACATGTAGCTTGGAGGTTTCGGAGCTCTGTAAGTCAACTACCGTACTGTATCGGAGCAAGGCCATCCAGATGGTGCAAGAGATTGCTGACCACTTCCCTACCAAACCGAGCTAAGCATTTAAAAAATTAAGAGCTACAACTCGAATTGGCTCCTCGCACTCTGCAAATAGCTACGGTAGCTAGTGTTGTTTGTTTGGCCATTGCCAGTTGTTATAAGCACGGCCGAGTGACGAGTCTGCGCTACCTGGTACTCGAAGTAGAGCATTTTCCATCTGTGTATTCCACCGCTCCGCTGTGGAATGACCTGGTGGATGCTGCTGAATTGCGTGAACTGATGGAATCGAAGCAGTCACTGATTTGAACAGCTTGGGGATTGTGGAGGCGCATGTAGCATTTCTGGACCAACCCCGACGCCAACTCCGGGTCCCACAACCAGCGAACTCCCAGCCACACACCGTCATGATCCAACCCTGAACCATCTCCAGGCTCCACCTCAGGATCTCTCCTTATCCCACTACTTGAATCGAATATATCCCAGTCAATCAAGGCGCCAATCCAGGCCCCACTCATTGTTTCATCCACGGATCCTCTCTTGGAGCGGTTTGTTCAGAGCCCACTCCAAACCATAATATTTTCAATGCCTGGACCTGACGCTGGTCTATCTCAAGCAGGCCCACTCTACCGGTAGGTCCAAATCCTGTATCCACCATAGGCCACTCCTGGACCAACTCAAGCACAAAACCTAGTAGACGTAAATTTTTGGTAGAGGGGCCTGCTTCAGGCTCCTGAACCAACTCTGTACATGCAGCTGTCCATGGACAAGCCCAAACAGGTTGGTTCATCTCCAGACCCCCACAGAGGCAAGTGTGGGTCCACCACTGTAGTTCTACCATACATCGTACCGGGTACCGGTATGCTCGGAAGGGTTCTCTTTGCAAAAACCGCAGCACCAATCAAACAGGGGAACTGAAGAATGTCGAAGATCAAAGATCGCGGCATCACTGGCCATCAATCACTTGCGTCCAGCTGCAATCTGCAATGGCACTTCTGTCGGCACAATTTTTGCACCACAAAGGATCACAACATTTGCCTAATAAAAGGATAAAAGGTGAACCATCGCAGCGAGTCTACAATCTCGAGAAAAACAAATACTACTGGCTAGTACACAAGAGGAGCCTATTGACAGAAGGTGAAGCTGTTCGCTTTGGGATTGACGATCAATCATCTGTTTCTTCAAGATTCTTTCCAACAATGAGGGTTTCTACGCTCCGATGGGAAAAGGCTCTCAGTCTCGGGGCACTTCTACTTCACTCTGTGAGTGCTTTTCGTGTACCGCAACCAGCATTGTGGAGGAGCAACAGTGCCCTGTATACAGCAACATATGATCCCATCAAGACTTCCGAAGCCGTTTCACAGAAAGATGAGTCTTCCGATCAGTGGATATTGGATTCGTTGGAGAAAGAAGATCGATGTGTTGTGGGACCCAAGGAGGTCCTGGTCTACGACACAAGTCTCCGTGGTACGTAGCGAGAATGGAAATCATGATGCAAGTATAAAGGAACAGTACCGTACAGCATCAGTGAAAAGTGCTGATCGAAACAATGGCTCTTTCTTTCCTCAAGCTTTTTTTCCTTCTACCCCCTTTGATTTTTAATTTTGGTGATTTTTCGTTCTTCTATTATCTGATTGTACCTATCAATTCACAACCTGCCCAACCGTGGCCATTAACTCATTGCAATCATAGATGGAACTCAGGGAGAATCAGTAGCTGCGACCTGCGATGATAAATTGAAGATTGTCCGCCGACTCCACAGCTTTGATGTGGACTTTATCGAAGCAGGGTGGCCTGGTAGCAACCCCAAAGACGCCGAGTTCTTTCAGCGTGCCAAGGAAGAATTGACAGCTGAAGAACGCACAAAGTTGGTTGCCTTTGGATCAACTCGTCGCAAATCTGTAAAGGCATCCGAAGATCCTCAGGTCCAGGCCCTGTTGGATTCGGAGGCACCTACTATCTGCCTAGTCGCCAAAGCCCATGCTTGGCAAGTGGAAGAAATTTTAAAGGCTACAAGGGAACAAAACCTGGAAATGATTCGGGACACTGTGTCATTCTTACGGAGCAAAGGAAGGAGAGTCTTTGTGGATCTGGAACATTTCTTTGATGGATACAAGCATGATAAAGATTATGTAATGAAATGCGCAGAGGTGGCTGCCGATGCGGGGGCTTCCTGTCTGGTTTTGTGTGACACAAACGGAGGAAGTATGCCGTGGGATGTGACGAATATTTGCAAGGAAGTGGTGGATTACTTCGGTGGCTTGAAAACTATTGGGATCCACACACACAATGACTGTGGAATGGCCGTCGCAAATTCTTTGGCCGGTGCAAACTCTGGGGTGGGCTTGATCCAGGGAACAATCAATGGCATTGGAGAGAGAACGGGAAACGCGGACTTGTGCTCGATTGTTCCTTCACTGGCCTTCCACATGGAGAGCAAGATGACATGCAAAAGCAACCTAGAAGACCTGACCAAGTTGTCACGGTTTGTGGATGAGATCCTCAATCGTACCCCCAACCAAGGGGCCCCCTATGTTGGGTCATCGGCATTTGCTCATAAGGGAGGTCTCCATGTGGCTGCTATGGAGCGGTCCCCCTTGAGCTATCAGCATATCCAGCCGGAGTTGGTTGGAAACCAGATGCGCGTGCTCGTTTCTGAGCTGAGTGGAAGAAACAATATCTTGCAAAAGATCGAGGAAGTAGGAATGAACTGGGGAGGAATCACGGCTAAGGTCACAAATGAAAAGGCTATGGCCATTCTCAACCGTGTCAAGGCATTGGAGAACAAAGGTTACTCGTTCGAAGGTGCAGACGCATCGGTTCACTTGATGATTTTGCATGCCACTCAAGGATATTGTAGCCCATTTCAAGTGCGGTGAGTATCGTTGTCGGTGGTATTCAATGATACCGGCACTTTGAGCGTTACTGACTTTTCTACCCTTGGTTTCGACCATTCATTGGCATGCAACAATCCGCAGCGATTACAATGCCAACGTTTACGACAATAACATGGACAAAACAGCTCGAATGCTCAGCTGGAACGAGAATAAGAAAGACCTCAGCGGAAACGGACCTACAGCTCGGGCGACTGTCAGCGTCAGGACTGTGAACGTGAGTATCGTTGTCTGTGGCATTTCAATGATGCTTTGAGCGTTTCTGACTATTTCTACCCTTGTTTTCAACCCTTCATTGGCATGCAACCCAACATCCGCAGACTGACCCAGATGCTGAAGACTTATACGTTGATATGCTGGAGGTCGCGGATGGAAATGGGCCAGTGGATGCGCTCGCAAACGCTTTGAGAAGGGCACTCCTTCCGTCACATCCGTCTCTGGAGGGAGTGGAACTGGTTGACTACAAGGTGCGCATCCTGGACCCCTCATCTGCTACAGGAGCAGCAACTCGTGTAATGATTGAATTCAAAGACACAAGAGTTGGAAACACTTGGACAACAGTGTCTGTTGATACAAATGTTGTGTCGGCAAGTCTCAATGCGCTCGTTGATGGCTTGGAATATGCTCTCATCGAAAACTCGGCGATGTGCACCCTCGACGACGATGGACACTACTTGTTTGAATCAGACCACAGTAGCTAGGTTGCAAAACGGAATTATACCTGTAGTCTGCGTATAGTAATGCTGAGCTTTTGCTTTCATGAGAATCAATTTCCAGGAATGAAGAGATCTGTTCGTGTGCCCGTGCTGCTTTGGTTGGACGTTGGATGATCTCCTGAACACCGATGAAACATGGCTGTCCAAGAAATGAGGAGTGTGCTTGAACCATTTTCTTTTCCATCGTTGGGTTGCTGCATAAACGATCATGACTATTGGACTCTGACTCCGGTGTAGTTGCAAGATTGGTTTCGTTTTGCTTGGCAATGACCCTCCCACCAGCTGCGTTCCGGTGCTGTGGGCCACCTAGCTAGGAGATCCCTCAACTAAAGCAGAGGGGTTAAGATGAGCAATGTGGACTGAAACATGGACGTTTATATGCAATAATAATGATGATAAAAGCAAATAGCACACATTAACAGGCGGAGGCACTGCTGATCTTGATATGGTTCTATATTGGTTGCGCCTGGCCAGTGGGGGGTGCGTGCACGACAGCGTCTTCTTGCTGTTGCTGCTGGGGCACACCGTCCTCGGTTGGGGCAGCATCCCCTGCAGCTGCTGCAGGAGGTGCTTCGCCCTGTCCGGTTGCTCTGTCAGGATTGTTTGCACCAGCAGGCACCGCTTCGCCTCCAGCTGATCCACGTACCCGACCGGAGAAAACACCTAGCAAAACGGATTCAACCACAGATTCCGCCGATCCTCGGTCTCGTAGTTCTCGCAGCAAATCTGCTCGATCGTACTGTGGGAACATGTCGACCAGTTGTGCCAAGGCTCTTGCCTCCTCCTCGGGGGACATTGGAACAGCTCCAGCCAACAGCAAAAGCCGCCTAACGAATGACCGTAGACCAGCGTTGTCGGTTGCAGCTGCGTTATTTCGCCGTCCTGGTGGGGGGTTGTTATTGTTGTTGACAGTATTGTTCGCATTGGCGGCAACAGGCGCCGGTTGTTCTTGTCGAGGACGCCGAACAACTTCGAATGAAAAGGCCGGAAGGGGCATCCAAGTCGGAAGAATTCCTTCCGTCGAGAAACGGAATAAGGCACGTTCACCGCGATGATTCATCCCGCCGTTTGGGCCAGCCATGCGAGGTGCGTTGTCTTGATTGCCCACATTGTTTCCAGCATTGTTTGCGCCATCGTTGTTTCCGCCGTTGCCGTTGGCTTGTTCCTGGTCAATAGCATTACCTGTCCCAGGATGGCTTCCATCCACAACCGATGCTCGGCACAGGGGACACTTGGCCGCCTCAATAGAGTGAGCTCGTTCAATGACTTCGCGGAGACAATTGGTATGGTAGAGATGACCGCATCCCACCTTCTTAACACTACCCACCGACATTGCCCCTAGACAGATACAGCAGACATCACCAGCCGCGTGCGCCTTCTTGAGATCTAGTTCGGATGCATTGGGGAACATGCCATCCAGATTGCGAGCAATTCTATGCAGGTTTCGTCGTTCTGCGATTTGCTTGGAGGCCGCTGAGACTGCCGAATGAAGATGCAAGGCGAGGACCCCATCAATCAGAGTGAATTGAATTCCATGTAGATACCAAATGTGCAAGAAATGTCCTACGGTGATTGCGTGCACTAGCAACTGCAAGACAAAAATGGTGGTATCCAAGACGGCCAATCTTCTGGCGTGAGCAACTTCCAGAGCATCCATGGCTTGGTCCAACCTTCTGGAGTCCTCCATGAGTAAGTGTTGATTGTTCCGATGTTGCGTGCGAATTCCATCGTCTTCATCTTCGTCCTCCTCGTTACCATTGTCATTTCCATCGAGTGAGAGGTCATCCAACCCATCCCAGCCCTCTTCTGCGACAGGAGCAGTCTCGTTGTTAGCAGCGGCATTGTTTCCAGCGTCGCCACTTGCGTTGGCTTCGGCGGCGGCTGCTGCTTGCTGCTGTTCTTCCAATCTCCTCTGTCGCGTATGAATCTGCAACTGTTGTTCTTCCATTTCAGCAATGGTGTGTTCGTGCATATCCTCCAGTACTTGACGAACATGCTTGAGTATGTGTCCAAGAACTTCGACCGCCAAAAGGGCACAATCACACGTCAGGAGAATGACCATTCCAAATCCTGCCAACTGGAAGAGCGCCACACAAACCGCGGCAGCAATAAAGTCACAGAACAAGACCACTAGCAATAGCTGCAAGACGCCTGTCCTTGGAGCTTGTCCGCTTTGAGTGGTATGGGACGTCGTGGCAGCAGCCAAATGCGCCAGAGACCTGAGAAAGCTGAGGAGAGTGTACCAGCTGAGCAGAATGAGTAGATCCAGTGTGTCGGGTGTGACGACGGCACTAATGAGGAGCAATTTGAAGACCAAGAAGCTTCCAAGGCGCTCTCTGCCGGTCATGGCCCATTCTCCGGGTGGAGGATAGACTCCAGCTCCCAGGAACCAATCGGCCACGGCTGTGTGCATCTGATAGGTGAGCGCCAAGAGCAAATTGGCAATGGCCAAAAGACGAGGAGTGGATGTCAGAACCTTGTCAATGAGATCGGTCACTGTAGATGGCTTTGCGTGTAGAAGAGAAGCGTCCAACCAATTCTGCCACCATGTGTTGGGCACTTGAGTCTGTTGCGCTTGCTGCTGCTGTTGTGCTTGTTGCTGTTTGGAAGAAGGAGTGCCAGCTTCGTGTTTGTGGTGGTGATGATTCCCAATCCACGTGAGCTTCCACCATGGTTGCTGCTGCTGTTGTTGCTGTTCTTTCTTGGCTGCGGCAACACGGGCTTCCGAACTAGTACTGCTGCTGCTAGCGCTGCTACCCGTGCTCTCTAGCAACCAAGCTGGAATGTGTCCAGTGGCAGGATTGTTGGCAAATAGAAAGTCCATGGCATGACGCCACCACTCCGTGTCCAACGCATCAATCATGTAGGCCGAGGGTACAGGATTGGTCGTGATCAGTTCGGTATTGTCAGGGGTCAGCGTGCTAGAAGCGGCTTCCATTGCAGACATGGCCGATTCTCCTTCTGTCAGGAACTTGCTCCCTCCGCCGCTGGATGCCTTCGATGCCATGCTAGCTGCAGAAGGAGATGCTGCGCTAGTCACTATTGCCAGTACAGCAAGGACCGCTGACACGACACAGTAGACATGAGAGGTTCTCCACGGTTGTTGTTGCTGTTGTTGTTGAAGTTGCTGGGCTTCTACGGGTTGAGCCAACGGTGGGACTCGTCGCGGAACTTGGGGACGATTGTTGCCATTGTTGTTGCCGTTGTTGTTGTTTCCATTGTTATTGTTGGCATTGAATCGCTGCCGCAGCCCAGTCGCAGCAGCAGGATAACCCCCAATTCCAATCATCGTTGGAGGCAATAAGACCGAAGCGGTCAGTTCTCAAAGTCACTCAATTCTATCACACTACTAACACCACTACAGATGGCCACAATCTATCTATCGATCTGTATTTCAAGGCGATGATGGTGATACACACAGTCTACAACAGATAGCCCACACAAGACGAGAATGGCCTTGTGGGAACACGTTGTTGCTTGATGCGATCGAGTTGTTGAAGATGATGGCTTCCATGCAGGTTCAGCTGCTGTCTTGGTGGTTGCTGCTCATCACTACCGGATCGAGTTGACTTCGGATGGCGGCTTCTGCTTCTCGATATCCTCTTACGATCGAAGAGCGCTGGCAGGGCGAGGAAGGAATGTCCCCGCAGGGCCGCCCCGGAATTGGCGACCCCAAAAATCCATTTTGCGTCAATTTTGCCTTGATTTTAAGATACCATTTTTGTTATTTTTATCACTTCTACCTGTTCTTTGGCTTCTTACTTGCAAAGTCAAAGAGATGGCAAACTGTGACAGATGGCTCAACGGAGAGTAGGACAGCCCCATTCAGCCAGTCGAGAGGTCGACCATTACGACTTTACAACCACACCGCTACATTACCATAGTCTACGTATTGCATGGACCGCACATGGACGTGGCTTTAGCTTGCGGTCCTGGATACCAGATGGGTTTAGCTAAAGGGGTAACCAGCAATGCCACAAGTTGGCATCAGTTGGATTATTGAGGTTGGAAGGGGTGGATCTTTGGTCGGCTGTTCGATTGATTGATTCATTCGATTCGTCGTTCTTTGACCCACCATGTTTGTCCGGTACGGTACGTCCAAGGAAAACGGCATCACCGCGGGATACCGTTCCAGACTAGCTACCAGTTTGTCTAGCTACATCTAGTGGATTGCTGCTAGCTAGTACCGTAGTGTACAAGCCAGGGTCTAATTACTAGTATACGCTTGGTTGATTGCCCCTTTATGCTGCCGAACACAAAACTTGCAGGTCCACGTGGAAGTACCAATAGACCTGCCAGCCAGAGCAATCGAGTCTGATGCGAGGCCTCGACGGAGGGGCGGGGTTCTACTGGTGCACGAAACTCCGATGAAGCTGAGGCTGCATGGCCTGGACCCAACTTTTCGACTAACCCCCCCGATAGCTATCCAAGCCTCGATTCTGGTTCCACACAAGGCCCCAGTACAGACCAGCACCTTGCCCAACACCTGGAGTAGCTAAATCCAGGTCCCACCGCCAATTCTTCCACTGGTCCAACACTGCGCAGATCCTCCAGTCTGGAGAGCTGCCCACAGGCCACACTTCAGGTTTGGTATCATCATCTTGGGCGATGGTGGGGCACGTCCTGACTTCAAGGTGGTCAGTGCTAACTAGGAGAGAGAAAGTCGTTGCGTGCTGCAACGAAGTAACATAGCCGCAAATGCCAGTGTATTATTCTCTATTCTAAAGTTCCTGCTAAATAGCTAGTTTGGGGCAGTGAGTGCTGCCAATACTAACATCATGCCACCCGGCCCAGCGGCGTCCCTATTGTAACATTGTTGTTTGAATCCAAGCTACAGTGTTCCAGCAGCAAGCTAGTCCATCTTCTTCTTGATGGATAGACGAACGCGGAAGCCTGTTGTCCTTTGCATCGCAGCTGCAATGATACCTGTACCAAGGACGCAGATCGACCATCGAGGTCCTGCGATGCTTTCCAGGGCTACCAAGGGCACCAAGACCAGCAGATAGATAATGAGGGAAATGACTTGCACCAGAAAGCTTTGCCTTTGAACATGACGAGCGATGGCAAACCCCAATTCAGCAAAATGAGCCATACCGCTTTCACCATCGAAAGAATCGCAGAGATCAGTGGAAACCCCCAGGCAAATCATTCTCACAGGAGCCAGCCACATGTGTGATATCACATGCTGGGAGAACACGGTGCTGAATCCTCCTTTCAAACTAACATACTCCTTTTCGTCCGTTTGTAGAGATACGTAGCACGAACAAACAATCCCGTCGACCACAATGGTTCCATCGGGAGTCAACGGCGCATACAAACCCTCCCTCGTCACTTTCCCGATCTTTGTTACCCGTGCTCCGTCGGCTTCATTTGCGAGAACATGCCCCACTTTAATAGAGTCTGCTCGGACAGGATTGCTTTGGTTTGGCAAATAGACTAGATGCTCTCCTGTCATTTCGAGAGGGTTCTTGCTGGAGTTTTCGGTGTAAATCTGGAGAAAACTGGCTTTAGTTGTCGTGTCATCGTGCGCAAATCCGTAGATCGGCGCATACCCACTTGATGTCAGGACATGATCACCAATACGCAACTTGCTCATTTCAGTGGCGCCTGCGAATTGAACTGGCACAGTTGCAAGCTTGGAAAAGCAGAACTCGGATGTCGCAGCTGCCTCGATGTCGGTGTCGTCTTTCGCTTTCGCTGAGGATGTAGATCCTGGAGCCTTGTTAGCCCTGCCTACAGCCGTCGGCGCTGCAGCTGGGGGCAAGGGGCGAGAGGCTGAAGCTACGGGTGGCACCTGGGGTGGCAAGGGGCGACCATTCGCCGAAGCCGCAGTCGTAGGAACTCGCCAGGCTGAAGTCGAAGTATGCATTCTTCCCATTTGCTGTTCGTCAAAGAGCAACGAGAGAAGATTTTGGGAAGGGGTGTCAATGAAAGATGAAAGAACACTTTCCCCTTTTCGTTAGCTTACTAGTACTTACACCGATTGTAAAGTGATCCATGCACGAATCCGGCGCTACGCAATTGGAAGAAAGAAAAGAACACGGAGAAAACAAGATGAGGAAAGGAGGACGTGAAATGAGAATCGAATCATTGACGCAACCTCAAACAAACAAGCAGACCCAAGGTATCTTACAATAGTTCATAAAATTTGAAACATCATCAGCATCACCCCCGTCATTGCACGAGTCCCGGTTCTGTTCACAATTGAAATCAGGCGAGGCTTCCGCGGGAGTATCAAGCACACCATCTCCAAACGAACTATGCAGGGGAGTGAAGGCGAATGAGCCACACAAGAAAGGATACCCAGAACTGCATGCCTATCCCTTCGATATAGATGACTTACGAGCACCCTCCCTCGAAAGTGTGATATAGACCGAGCCAATGGCCAACCTACACAGAAAGCGGAGTAAAGGAAGCATGCCAAGTAAGTTGAGAAAGCTGCATGAGAAGCTGGATGAGACGACGCTGTGGCTTTCGCCCACACACGACACGCACCTCATGAACGAGAGTATCTCCCTCGTTGAAGGGAGCTCCGGTACCTCCGGGACTTGTATTGTAATTGATAACAATCCCATCATAGACCATATTATCCTCACAATTAAATGGAAAAGCTGCCCAACCCAAGATGCTGCCTTGTCCATTAGAATAGATATTCATGGTGGTGCAATCACCGATTCTAAGATTTGACTTCATGTCGAACTCGGCTTGTGAACCTGCAGTAGCTTCCCAGTAGTTCGTGTTGTCAACAGTTTGCTGGAATGTCAGTTCAAACTGGAAACCAGCGCTCAAATAAGCAGCATTCTATATATAGCAAGAGGAAGAGGAAAGCAGGAAACGCAAACGAAAGAATGATAGATGAGACCCACGCCGTGAGTGTATTGTTCAGTATTCAGATTGAATCGAATTGAATGATCAATCGTTTGATAGGTGACGACGTACAAGCACATCCATACTATCGATAATCATCTGATCAGAAGCAAAATCCGTCCCCGCGTCCGTTCGGATGTTGTGCCAGACTGTGTTAATGGTCACAAAACTCCGCGACATTACCATCTTGTTGAGGTAATCACACTTATCGTCGGTACAGTCATGCGCAATCTTCCATTGGCGAAAGGCCGAGTCTGCTTTGGCCCTGTCTGCATCAGTAACATGAGAGCCACAGCGAGCTCCGCTCTGTCGAAAGTCGTCGGTGTCGAGCCATTCCTCAAAGGTTCGATATTGTCCTTGTGTTCCATATTGGAGATTTCTAGTAGAAGATTGTCCGTGGCTGCCTCTTCTTCCTCGTCATGATGATGATGATGATGGTGTTCATGGGAATGATCATGGGCTCCTCCTCGATGGTACCCATGGGCACTCGTCCTTCCCACCAAGAGCAAGAGAGTCAGGATTAGAGGCAGAATCGCCATGGTCGCTACAGAGGGGGAAATGTTCGTTCGCTTCATTTTTGTGACAGGCACTGCCAGGTACTGATCAATCTCTGCACCTCAAAGAACTCGAAAAAGAAAGCAACCCCGCTCGAGTAAGATCACAGTTATCAATGGTTCGAGTGTTGCTAGTTAGGGATCGTACAAGAAGCAGAAGACTCTACAGTGCTGAGTGACAGTCTACAATCTACAAACGCCAACAAGCCAACAACATGCAGGTCTTGACCAAGAAACAAGCACAGGCAACAAGGGGTCATTTACTTGTAAAAAGTGATGATAAACATCGCCAGTTTTTCAGAAAGACATAAATACTCCAGAGCAGAGTCATTTCTGGATGGTTGTTAGGAAGTTTCTGTAAAAATCCTGGTTTGCTCTTCTTAGTCATTTATGTGCAAGGTCACTTTAGTCCTAGAGCCTAGCCTACAGCTCTAAGCATACCTTGCAGCAGAGTAGTAGCTCTAGGGTTAGGGATGCACTTTCCACTATTTTAACTCATTAGCGTTAGAGTTGGATTGATCAAAAATTCGAATGACGTGGCCTCCATCCGTTACTTCAGGATTTAAGCAAACTTTTTGCAGTTGACGTTTTAACTCTTCCGTGAAATTGGGATACGTCATCGTTTTGAAAATTCGCTCGTTGTTTTGATTTGTCATTTGTTCTTCCTTGATGAAGCTTCTTCCTATCTGATTTGATTTCTGTTTTTCTCTTGGGGCTATTGCTCCTTCTCTCAACATCAGCTCGGCAAGTAGCAGCAAAGATCGTGTCACCAATGGCCTCTTCAAAAAGAAGACGACGATGAGGCTGACTCATGTTTGCTCATTAGCTATTAGATACAGAAATCGCAGAAATCGTCAAACCGGTACCTTCACTACTTGTAGCTTGTAGATTGTAGCTTGTAGACTACGGGAACTATGAGACCCTTGTCTTGGAATGCAGTGCTGCTGGCAGCCAGCACCTTGTTGGCGACCAGAGAAACTCAAGGGTTTTGCCCATCGCTATCCCCCAGCACAACTAGTGTTCGCGGCTGCACGTCGCTTGGAGTGTCCTCCTTGTCGTCCGAGATCGTTTTGCTGTCCTACGATGGAACTGTCGCGGAAACCACGGATTGGAGAATAGACCAAGGCATTGACTTGGCATTGTCGGTATGGCCACGACTCAAGAAACTCAGTGTCATTGCAGGGGATGATGATAATGATGATGATGATGATGATTTTGTCAGCGACAGTGACACGAACATGGAATGGCTGAGAAACAAAATGAGAGCTGTGTCCGATGTGATGGTGTCGCGTCCCGCTGTAAGCATGTCGTGTGACTATGCCTTGCTCGCACGGTTACTCATCGAGGAGCAACAATTGGATCGAGGCCGTTCCAATGGCTGCTCGGGAAAGTATGGCTCCAAATTTCATCCTCGAGAAACGTCTTCTTCCTCCTCGCCGCTTGGAGCCAGCAGGCCTCTGACTGTGGGAGAAATCTCTGCCAATTGGAACAAGGGCGGTTGCTTGGCAGAAACCCTTCAAGTCAAGTATCATATCGACTTTGAGAACCCACTCCCAGTTCTGCAAGATCGCATTGCTCAGCTTGACAAGGAAAAGGTGAATATCTTGTCTCCCCCGTTGCCAACACAAACTGCCGACTAACACGCTGTGCCCTTGCTTTCGACAGCAATACAAAGTTCCTGAAATGAACAAAGCCATATTGGATGCCCTGGAACATTCTTGTGGAAACATCATTGTGACGGTTGGTCATGAATCTGATATGGAAATGGCCAAAAAGACACTCTCCTTCATGAACATTCCTCTCTCTACTGTCACCCCAGACAATGACTCGTTGCGACAAAGTCTGGACACTTCTAGAGAAAACGATGAAAGCATCAAGCTCCTAGCAGTTTCTACCACTCACGCATCAATCTACAGAGATGTTTTGCGGATGGCTCATTTTGGATCCACCGTTTACATATTCGAGAGCTCTTGGCACGCCCTGAAACAAGGGATATCTCTCTTCGGGGACAATATACCGCGACGGGGAAGCGGCATGGCCGAGACAATCATTGGAAAAGGTATCAACCTATCCCTCAATCTGCCAAAGTGGTCATCTTCCGTGGAAGGCGATATCAATCAACAAAACGAGGCCACGATGAATGCCTGGACCAATCTTGTGGAGGAAATCGACTGTGCCGAACTCCTGTCAGCTAGAATCGTACCGTCCCCGGCTGCTGTTCGACGATACCGGTAATGGAATGAAACTCTTTCGTAGCTACTGCTACTCTTCTTGAATAAGTAACATCGAACCCGCTCGATGGAAACGAACTTTGCGGCCAATAACTCTACTAGAGGGTTTATTTTGATCTGCTGCTTTTAAGCCAGCCAGTTATGGCGACGCAAAGCCACTTGCTTGTAGAAGTGGCCATTCCCCACGACGTCACAAATAACCACTGGTAGCACATCCATACCGGTGCCGCCAAAGCAATAGTCCGACATGTCTGGTGGCACAGCCCAAAGCGAAGACATGGACAGGGAATGTCGGGCGACAAGCAACCTCAGCAATGGTACCAGGGGCACACATGTCAGCCTAATGAAGCAGCAAGCCCGGGGACTGGAGCAAGAGCGATGGCAGCCGATACAGAAACAGATCGGTATCTGTCAGGGGCCAGAGGTAGGAGAAGCCTCGCCCCTCAAGTGTGGTCTCTGTAGACTACCGACGTCGCAGGCTAACGAAACAGAGCATGGTCGTTGTTGATGCAGCAAGTCCAAACTATCATATCACGGGTCAAACACTTGCACAGCGCATCCTGAAGCAGCCCCATGAATACCGGACCGGACCGGGCCGGACCTTGATGTACATGTAGAATCATCAGCGGACGTTCCGTCAGGTCGATCTTGCGACCTCGTACCCGTACATCCAGATCATACGATTTTAGCAAAAAGTGACTGAATTAATTAGGTTTTAATCAGCACAAACTGCGGAATCGCTAAAACACGAGCTTTCACTCTGTGGTAACTTTTCGGTTGTTTGACTTTTTCATCCCCCTTGGGAATCATCAGTGCTTGGGCTATTGTGGTACTTATGAAATCGAGGTTTATGTGGGCATGCTCCGTATATTTCGTTGCAGGAGTTGATCAGCTTTTCTGGCGATTCTCTGGATCGTTTCAGTATCTCGAGTCGCTCCCTGTTGCATAGGCTGCAGTGTCGTGTCCCGAAGGTCTTGACAGTGCTGATGGGCCAGATGTGACAAGGTTGACGGAGGCAAAAGAATGAATCCTACGGAACTGTGGCTGCTTCATCATCATCTGCATCATAGCCGGAGCCAAAGCAAATGAAACAAGCGTGCAAGAAGCCCTGGCTAAAAGATAATAACAGTCGTACTTTTTTTCAAACTTTTTTCTCTTAATAATATGTAACTATTAAATTGATGCGTTCTCCTTTGTTAGGTTGCCCCACAATCTCCCGACCTCCGAATTTCAAAATGCGCAAGTGGAAACGTGGACCGACCTATGAAGCAGAGTGGTGGTTTAACGAGCAGTATACGGTACAAAGTAGGTTAGAAGGGAACGATGAGAGGCCAACCATTTGGCTATTTTCATCATCGTATCCCGGGTGTGGTTTTTGTTCTTGTCCATGAATCATCATAATCACGGCCATGATCGCGGGGGGTGGTATGGTGTTTGTGGTTGTTGGCTGATCAAGCTAGTAGAGTAGTAGCCCTTGATGTCGTGGTCTGAAGGGGTTTAATTCCTTCGTGATCCAATGGACACATCGATGCGAGCCCTGTCTTCCAATCCCAAGCTGTATGGAGTCTCGTATCCAGTCAAAGACTGGCCATTGAAACTGAACTTCAGCGAATCTTGGCTCAGACCCTTGCGTTCGGCAAAGACTGTGAACACAATGCGTAGCGTACTTCGGTATCGAAGACTGAAGTACGTTTCCTCGCCGGTGGACTGGTCGCGGAGGAAGATGGTGATGGGGTCGTTTCCGGTTGGTGACTTGGGCGGCGTCTTGGAAGAGGCGCGGTTACGAGGCGAGGCGGGACCTTGGGTGCTAGCCATCTTGGTACGTCCTTGGCGATCCATGATGGGGCTCTCGTCATCCTCAGATGAGACCACCAAAGAACGCCCTCGCGGGGACAGCGTTTGTTGCTGCATTGGCTGTTGCTGCATTTGCTGCTGTTGCTGAATATGCTGCTGCTGCTGGTGCATGTGCTGCTGCTGATGATGCATTTGCTGCATCGGAGGCGGCTGGTGGTGATGGTGTGTTTGGTGGGGTGTCTGGATCGGCTCGTCGCGAAGAGTATCACGCATGCCCTGGACAGCGCTCAGGGCGATACCGGCCACCGGAAGACGTCCGCGACCAAGGTGCCCACCGACACCGATACCGCCGCCCCCTTGGGGCTCATCAATGATCACACGGTCGACTTCTTCCAGACCGTAGATCCAAACTTCAGGATCCAAGTCATCACCGTAACGCGCTTGGAAAGCAATCTTGGTGGTATTGATGCGGTCTCTGGTTGATCGGATGTCAAGAACAGCATCGGGGTCATGCCCGATGACACGTCCGAACAAGAGGAAGCAATCATCGGTGTAGTTAAGGTTATCAATCAGATGCTGCTCCCACATTTGACTAATAGGGATGGGAGGCGACAGCTTTTGGCCTTGCCAATCATTCATGACCGACTTGAGTTCCATAAATTGCCTGTATCCTTTCAGGACCCGCTTTGCGAACATCTCGCTCATTCCATGAACTCGCATGCAACGTTCTACAAGTGGAGTTGCTCCTCGAGTGAGCGGTGGATCATGTTTCCTGTTCACTTCCCACCATTTTTCGATCTTCTCCTCCTTGGTGGCGCCACGTGAATCAGGCAACCACAACCCACCTTCGCCGTTCATACTCGCAACAGCCGCCATCTTTTCTTAAGTTTGCTTCGGTCAGGATAAGAAGCAAAGACAAGACGAGAGTGTCCTATTAAGTTGAAAGTTGTGTGAAGCCACACTTCTTAGGCGCATACAACTGTGTCATATGTCGGCGATTGCGAGGTTTATCAGGGTGCTCTTCGTGCAAAATGTTGCCATCGCTGACTCCATCGCTCAGCCCTCCCGCGCCGCTCTTTGACGGTTATCCAGGATATTACTTACGACCTGAGCCCCTAGATAACCAAAACGGTGCGAAAACATGCTCGCTTCTTAGGAAAAAGTTTCTTAAAGAGCGTGGCGGGTATGAGTCATGAATGAGAGCCTCACTTGTTTAGTCACGAGATTTAGCATTAAGGTGCGTGTTATTTGAAGTCAACCGCCAACGGCCTTCGGTCGATTTACAGCCATAGCCAGATAGCCAGTGATGCTTTGCGAAGGAAAGTTATGGTAACAACTACCCATGGCTAGCCTAGCTGGCTAGGCTAGACGGTCGGGGAGACGAGATTTTTCCTCCAGGGCTTTCCACCCGGTTCAGCCTGGGCAAATCTTTCTTTTGATGGAGTCACATGAGCCTCCAAAGTGCTGGGATCTTCATCGAAAGCAAGCTTGAGAAATATGTTGTAAGCTTCCAAGAGCTCCCTTCGTATTGGGTCGGCTCGTTCCATCAATAATCGTTGCTGTTTCCTGTACTGAGAGCGTCCCGAATCTATTTCCACGGGGATAACTCCTACTCCATAGCCTGTGGCATCATATGGACTGGCTGCTACATCCAGACGGCGTGCATCTATTGCCAATTGAAGCACATGTTGTAGCAAGTCTGGATTGCAAAATGGTTGGAGACGCAAAGCAATCTTAAGCAGATCCATTTGTGCATGAACTGATATTGTAGAGACGGCAGCCAAAACGTGGAAAGCTTTAGTATTAGGAGTAAGCTTTCACATCCTCCTACGGAATTGACAATAAAGCACGTACCACATGCAGGCTGTTCCAGACGAAGCTGATCCATTCGTTCTAACCGAGCTCCGTGATGATTGAGTGGTCCCGCAGCAGGAGCAAAGAACCTCAAGGCATCCACGTGAGTGCAGCTAATTCCCTTTCGTTCCACAGTCTCGCTTATCACTTGCCGGCTTACACGGAGAGGTAAATGAGCCTGATACTTTGCACTCGGAGGCGAAGGCTCTCCATCTGGGTGGTACTGCATGGCCCATTCGTGCAAGCCATGACAGTGCAAAATTGGCTCGGCCTGTAAGGTTTGTTGAAGAATGGATCGGTACCACAAGAAGGCAGACGCCGCACTGTTCTTGGAAGTGTTATCTGGTTTCTGCTCCTCGTTTTTCTGTTGGAACCACAGCGATGGGCTATACAATGCCCCATCTGATTCCAAGATGGCGCCTCGCAGCTGCAGAGTGGTGGCCAAATCCTCTTCGGTTACGTCTTCCAAAAATATACTCGCATCCCTTTCGTCAATTGCACTATTACCAGGCGCAATGTTGGAGTATTGGCTCAAGGCTTCCAAACTATCGTATTGTTTATTGGGGTGAAGGAGCAAGTTTGGACTGGGACACCATCGAGCGAGGCGTTTTGTCCCTTTCACGCCCTTGAGTCCGTAATATTCAATGAGGAAATTGTAGATGGGATTTTTTGCATCCAAGGCAGTCCAGGTATCAGCAGGATACCGATTCTGTCGCCTACGCTGCGTTTTCCCGTTGTCAGCGGGCAACAGACCTGGTTGAAGGAGGCTTCGTATCCTATCTTGGTGATTCAAAGCAGCCTGCTTCCAAATCGTTCGAGGAATCCGTATTACTCGCAAGCTTGGAGATTGCGACATTGTCATCCCATGCACTTTGATTGGTTGACCGAGTAGGATGCCAAAGACACCAAACAGAAGAACTACATGTAAACAAGCTCTTTCTATGATCCGATCTGTGTACATAGCATACATCATCGATGTGGGTTCATTGAGCTCTTATAAGCTTGCCACCATGTGATGCATGGATGATGCGTGGATAGTATGGATGGATGATGGACGTTGGATGGTGATGCGTGCTAGCCAGCGTGATGGGTGCGGATGGCTGCATGGGGAAAAGAATGGAGAACTTGAAAAATGAGGCCCCGTGTCCTTGAAATGACCGTCGTAAATCTTTGGATCCTGGAGAATCCACTGCGTTCGCAACTTCGCAACCTCGCGCTTCGACTGTGCTCTTGGCTCTTGCAACATGATGTGCACATGTAGTCTTTCTAAAATTGGGGTGGTGGGAGCATGTCGACAATGTAGAATGTACTTGTATTTGTTGCCTGCTCCACATTAGTATCGTACTTGTAATCCCTTGCCAAGCTTAATTGTCGAATGACCAACTTCCTTGCATTGATTGCCGATGGTTGAAGAGGCAAGGACAATTGCTGTGGAGAGTTGGAAACCATTGCACATCCTTGCTGTCACTCCTAACAAGCTACGGTAGTAATCTATTCTTCTTTATATAGCAAGTCAAGTGACGCCCCAACGCATAATATCATAGAGTCATTGGAAGAGCTAGCTACTCATAGCCGATTCTCTCTTCGTGGAAGCAAAACCTGAGTTCGACTTTGGCCTCCATGTTTCCCTAGCTAGCTAGCTAGCACTACAATAGGAAGCTACTAGGTAATAAAAGATTGCTGGTAGAGAATCAATCAACATGAACGTTGCATTTCCTACCGTCTACTACTAGTAGTACTGTAGCTAGCTACGGTAGTGTCCAATGGCCCGCCAAGGTGCTGGGTTGATTAAGACGCACATTTGCTCATTGTCATAATGCAGCAAACCGCAGAAGAGGAGGCAGCCAAGGAAGGAGGAAGGAAACAGCAAACTCTTTCTCTGAAGCACGACAGCTGCCTTGCATATCCGACATTCGATAGGCGCACCAACAACCGTTCCGACCAAGAAGAAGAAGAGGAGGAGGATATTACCGAGGAAACTCCCGCCTTTACACGAGCCGACTTGCTTTCGTACTTGTCTTGTGCTTGCCACCGCTGGAAAACTGCATGGAACGAGCAAGGACTTGAAGACTTCTTTTCGTCGAATGCTTGGCAACTATACGACAACGCGCAGCCGCGACCCTCTGTGTACCGTAGTTCCTACTAGAAAAGCTGGAAATCGACAATCATCATCGACGCTGTTTGTTTTCGGGAGCTTGAGCTGCTGAACAATCTAGCTTGTTGTGCTTCACTCACTGTCCAGAGTCGAGTGACAGTCCAGAAAGCAGACGAGCAAATAGCAGTGTTTTCCCAACGATCGATCGTGACACGACAAAGCTTGGACAAAGATGATATCCCGTGGTCGAAGTCGAAGAGGAGACAGCGATGACGAAGGCGCTGCGCCTCCCGTCAACCATCGGTACTCTGGAATGCCTGGAATGGGCAGCAGCAGCGCCAGTCACTATGGTTCCAGCAGTGTCGATGGAAGTCGAAGCAGCGCTGGTTTTTCTCGCGCTATGACAGCACCTATCAACATGACCAACAACCACACAGGATACTATCAACAGCAACAGCACCATCACTATCCACAACACTACTCGTCGTCTGCGTCGGCTCATAGCACACCGCCTCTCCCTTCAGCAGGAGTAGGAGGCGGACCCGCCATGATGGTCAGAGCCAGTACGTCGTCCAGTCGATACAGCCAAGGAGCCCCAAGGTCCACCAATCTACCGAGTCGTTGGGTCTTGGATGAAGGTGACAGGGCGTTGATGAGCGTCACCTCCATGGCACGTAGTGATTTCCGGCTAGGGCATGGTCCCACAGGCGATCAAACCTGTCTCGTCGCCATGCCCAAGGGAAACCCCGGCAACAACAGCTGCTTGGTGGTGTCAAATCACTCCATCCCTGTCGAATATCTAAAAGAGGTCGCTCTGAAAAATGTAGATCAACAAAATGGTAGTGTCGGATTGCTGGACGACCTGAGTGCCTCATCAGGGACCATTGATCAGATTCTCTCAAACTTGAGGAGTAAACCCTTTGGGGTCAGCAGCAGCGCCAAACGAGCTACTAGCGCATCACTATACCCCACTCTTCCGGGCGAACGAAGTGCCGGCACAAGAGAGAACAGCTACAGATCGAGCACCGGTGAAGACGCTTCTAGCCGCAAAACGACAAGCAGCCCAGTATACTACTTTGAAGTCACTATCCAATCATTGCCACAAGACGCCACAGTTTCAGTTGGCATGGTTGTCAGCGATGGACCTCCCCCCGGAGGCGAAAATCCAAACGTTCCCGGTGAGATTAAGAACTCAATAGGGATCACGTCAAAGGGGGAACTCAAAGTTAGTGGAAGAAAGATAGACGAAAAGAAGTTCCACCTCGAGGGGTTTCAGGTCGGAGACGTGATTGGGTGTGGTTTGGAAGTACTGGGCACTCGACGGATACTCTTCACTAAGAATGGAAGGACTGTGATCCCACCAACACGCTTTCAAGATGTCGAACCAAAACACAATGCATATTCACCCTCCATTGGTATTGTTATGACACCCATGGGAGGAGCCAGCAGTAGCGGCGTCAGTGCAGTGGCAAACTTCGGGGCTAAATCAGGACTGCCATTCAGCTGGGAAGAATCGGAGCTACTGCAGATTGTTAACAGTAGTCTGAACCAGGCTATGGAACAGGAGAAGAAGCCAGCAGCCTCGGCGATGAAAATGCCGTCCATGAACGGTCATCATTCGTCCGGAGTGTACTCGTCACCGCTACCTATGGAATCGGATTACTTTGAACAAACGTCGGCTCCGCCCTCTCATTCCTACAACTTCGGCAAGCCAAGCAAAAGATCGAGTGGACTCCTCGGAAGCGATGTGGCCTCCACTTCGTCAGCGGGTAGGGTGGGCGACACAAGCCCAGTGCCTTCGTACGGCTCAAGAGCAGGGAGAGGGATGTTAGACGATGACTCGGACAACGATGCAGACAACAACAGCAACCACATGAACCAATATCGAGCCGGAACAGATCGTGCTGCTGACGTTGCACCATCGAAAGGTTCACCGTCGAGAGGTCGGAAGAGCGAGTCCCCTTCGTCAAACGCAAAAGCCTCCGCAAAATCTGATAGTAGAAGTAAGTCCCCAAGAGGGCTCTTCAATTTTGGCAGGACGAGCAAAAAGTCGCCACAAGATGGAAGTACATCGCCGGTGCCTTCACACGGCGGCGAATCAACCACCAATTCACATCGCAAGAATGCATCTAGATCGAATTCGCCTATATTTCTTGGTTCCAAGAGGAAAAAGAAAAAGGATGGCGGCCTCCTTGACGATGACGGAGACGATGATGACATGGGTCAACAGCGAGACTTCCAAAGAGCACCGAACCACAGTGCTCAGGAAGTGCCTCCTGCGCTGCGTCAAACGCCGTCTACGAAACTTGCACCTGCGCTTCGTTCGACGCCGTCTACCAAACTTGCACCCGCACTCCGGTCAACACCTTCTAGCACGCTGCGTCAGATATCATCTTCTAAAGGAGCTCCGACCCTTCGTCAGACGCCATCCAACAAAGGATCAAATTTGTACGCAGCGATGAATGGGCACGCTAACTCAGGCACACCACCTGCTGCGGCAGCAAACACTCCAACAGCACCAGCGGCTGCTTCGATGCCAGCACCTCCTACGTCGTCGTCTTCTGGCGACGCACTGTTTGGAAGGAAAAGTAAAAAGAGCAGCCTAGACGACGACAACCCCACAGATATTCAGATTCAAAAGCAAGTTTCCAGCAGCATGTCCCCAGCAAGAGCACAATCATCTCAATCAACGCCAAGCAGTGCCCCCAAGGCTGCACCTGCGCCGATGCTCTTTGGCAAGAAGAGCAAGAAAAGCAGTCTCGATGACGATAATCCAGATGACGTGAAACTACAAACAGCAATTTCAAACAGCTTCCCAACAGAGTTGGCCCAAGCCATGTCGGGACCCAACTCGAGTCCAAACGCTTCCGCAATGGCTTCGGCCGCAGGAGCAGCGCAGACACCGAAAAATGCCCAAGACCCAGGGCAGCCGATGATGTTTGGGAAGAAGAGCAAAAAGAGCAATCTGGACGAGGACAACCCTCAAGATCTTCATCTTCACAACACTATTGGGAATTTACCGAGTTCATCAGGAAATACGCCACCAAACAGATACAGCGGTAACACCGCGAATTCTCCGCAGTCGTCCGCTCCTTCGAGTGCACAAAATGGATCGGGAGGCATGCCTAATAGATATGCAAACGCACAGGGGTTGCCATCGACTTCGTCTAATGGGCCATCCTCATCGGGCGGTATGCCGAGTCGATACGGTGGAAGCGCAGGAAATCCGTCCTCGTCAATACCATCTTCGAATCCATCCGCAGGGCAGTATGGAGGGCGAAATGCTCAGTCGGTACCAACACCGTCGAGTGCACCGTGCTCCTCTGGAGGAGCGCCGAGTAGATTCGGCGGTAATTCGGGAAACGCGCAGTCATCACCACCAAACGCACTCTTTTTCGGCACCAAGAGCAAGAAAAGCAGTCTTGACGACGACAACCCCAATGACACACAGCTGCAATCAAATTTTGCTCAACTGTCATCCAATTCTGTTGTAAAGCCAGGTATCCCCGTAGCGACCAACAACGGCAGCGGAGGTGCAGCAGCGGGGATACCAGCAACAACCGGTGGTGCCCCTGGTGGCGCTGGTCGGACACCTGCCTTTTTCGGATCCAAAAGCAAAAAGAGCAGCCTCGAAGATGACGACCCAAATGATATGCGGTATCCTAATGACAATCCCATGACGTTTGGAACGAAAAGCAAAAAGAGTAGCCTTGAGGATGACGACCCAAACAACGGTTCTCAATACCCGACAAGCACGCCAATGACTTTTGGCTCTAAAAGCAAGAAAAGCAGTCTCGAAGACGATGACCCTGACGACGACCGGTACCAAACCCATTCCGCCATTCCGGCTGGCTTTAACTTTGGGAATCCTAGCAAGAAAAGCAGTCTTGAAGACGATGACCCCAACGATGAACGGTATGAAAGCCATTCCTCGTTGAACGCATCGTTCAATCTTGGCAATCCCAGCAAGAAAGGCAGCCTCGAGGATGACGACGACGAAGACGATGCGCAGCAGCAAGCCATGCAAACTGGGGCCACGCCAAATTCAACGGCACTTGCCGGCTCTAGCGGCCACAACAGACGCCAATCCAACCCTCCAAGGTCTCAGAATGCCCCGAGACCTCAGAATGCCCCGAGACCACAAACTTCTTTGTTTGGTTCTAAGAGCGCAAGGAACAGTTTGGAAGATGACGAGCCTTCTGACAATCGATACCCCAATCATGCGTCTTCCGGAAATCCAGCTACGTTTGGAGCCCCAAGCAGAAGAAGTAGTCTTGAAGACGACGATCCTAACGATGGAACCTATCAGAATCATGTGTCAATGTTTGGCTCACGGAGCAAAAAGGCAACCTTCGAAAACGACGAGCCCAACAATCATGTCAGATACCCCGCTTCGGTGCCTGGACAAGGGCCGGCACCCAACGCCAATTCGTTTATGCAAAATAGCTCACGTCCAAGCGGTGGCAATGCAACGCCCGGGCATGGACATGCTGCTGGTATTCCAGCAACCAATCCAGCCGGGCCACGCTCGAGCATGCGCATGTCACTGACTGGGCCTTTTCAGGGCAACCCAACACCTGCGCCTCGAGAGCATCCTCCGCCCAACAACAGCATGAACAACATGCCTCAGCCAATGCCACAATCTTCACCTACCAACCATGCGCCGCAAAGAAATTCGATGATCAACAGTATGCACCAAACCCCAACACAACAGAACCAGCACCAGCCGATGCGTTCAAGACCATCACTCCCACTGTCCTCTTCCGTCAATTCAAACTCCAGCAAACGAGACTCGGTCAGCTCCAACGCACCGCCTTCGTCCACCTCGTCGCACCAGCAAGCTCCGGGTGCCAGCGAAGACGACATGCTCAGCCAGGCGATTGAAGAGAGCAAACGTGATCAGAAGAAGCAAGAACTCAAAGGACAAATAGCAGATTCGGGTCCTCTCAAGGATCCCGAAGAAATTGAGACGATACGAGAGAACACACGCACGTTACGACAACTCTGCTCGGACGAAAGGGTCGATGCATCAATACTCGAAAGCCTTTTGGAGTGTTGCCGGGAAGACCAAGCCAAAGTACAAGCTTGTCTGGAGAGTGACGACCCTCAGGTTGACCTTATGGAAATGCTGACGTTGAACGAACTTGTTCTTGAAGCCATAAAGATGGGTCAAAAGGTTATTGAAGGATCGAAAAAGAAGGCGTCCACTTTATCGTCGTCGAGAAGCTCCAAAACAAACCTGAACCTTGACATTGGAGCGCTTGTAGAAAAGAAGGACATCTTCAGTCTGATTTGCATTCTCCGTGCACAAAGTGACCAAAGACTCGATGCGGCCTTGGCCTTGATGAATTTTGCAAGGGAAGCCGACAGTCTGGCTGAAGCTGGGACGAGAAGCCTACGAGACGAAATCAGATCGTCGGGAGGGATGCATTCCCTCATAACAGTTTTCCGTTCAAAGGGTGCCAGTTACGAGCTCAGGGTGGTGTCAGCGTTGGCTGTTGCCTACGTGCTTCCTTCGTTTGTTGAATCGTCCTCGGTGCATCCTAGCGTTGGATTGAAAATCATGGAGTGTCTGCGGTTCCTGAGCACCTCGCGATCGGTGACTCCTAGCGGCAGGAGAATAGCTCGAGAAGAGATGTACAGAGCAGCCGCAATGGGGGTGACCACATTCTGGATAAACGAACTCACACCGATGTTGAATGCTGGCGTACCGAAGGGCGAGACTCCGGCCGAGAGATCTGATCTCTTTACGAGGTCCAACAAGAAAGGGAGAAGGAAGGGTCGTACAGGGGGGCAGCGTCACCAGACTCTTGAATTGCAAGAGCTTTTGGAAATGACTGTATCTTTGATCGTCCAAATCGAGCGTCTTGGTGAAAACGATGCGTTCAAGAAGCATCAATCCACGCAGACAGACTCGCTCTTTCTGTGGCGATACACCAACGTGGAACAGGTTTGTGCTGTGGACGTTGCTAGGCCCATTGCAGTACGGGAGGGGTTGTTGCCCATCTTGGTGGGTTGGATTAGGTCCAAGGACAGGGAAAAAGTGAGACCTGCGGTATCAGCATTGCGCTATCTAACCTCAATCAAAGACAAGTACATGGCTGGATGGATTCACTCTCAGATGGTCAACGAAGGGGCTCTTTCGGAGGTTGTAGCACTTGCAGATGATTATTATGTGGGCCAAGATGTGAGGCTGGCGGTTGCTCAGATTCTGGCGTCGCTCTGTGTTGCCCCCCATACAAGGGCAGCCGTTGTTGAAGCCAAGTGTATCAATTATCTGATTGGTTTTCTGTATGATCACTCTGATAAAGCTTCGCAAGATGTTGCGCTCTTTGCTGGAAGTGCCATTATGCAGCTGGCAGAAGGAGCCATTACACGAGCAAGTGTGCTTGGTGGTGGAGATACAGAGCTGCAGGACGGCGCCTCTCCCGATAAATCGGACACTCTCGTCGAGTAAGTGTTTCCTTCTTGATTGGCCGTTTGAGGCGTCACTGGTGTCTTTTTTTGGATGAGTGTTGCTCACGGCTACTGTTCTCTTTCTGCAGTGATATTGTTAACAGCGGGGCCATTCAATCTTTCATCTCCATCGCAGCTCATCACGAGGGGAAGCTTCGTTCAATGGCAATTGAAGCTATCAAGGTTCTAAGTGAGGATACTAGCCCGAACAGACGAACACGTTCGCAACTTTGCGAAGAGGGAGCAGCAATGGCCCTTGGACGTGCTTTGAAGGATGGCGTAACAGGGCTGCACAACCAGATGAAGCCTACCAGTAGAAGTAGTCTTGGTTTCGGCCCGAGGCTGTCGATCGACGAGTTGCACGATGCTCTCTGTGCCTTAGCAAATATTCTTGAGCCAGTGCAACATGGAAACGCCGCTACCACGAAACTACGTTTTGTCCCATCGAACTCAGACCCAACACAAAACCTAATTCAAGGATGTATTGAAACCGCAGAAAGTGGCGGCCTTGACAGCCTGCTTTGGATTTCATCTTTGCCGTTGACTGGCGCAGTCATTACCAGTTCAGCCGATTTGACAGTGCAACGAGTCGACTTGCTGGAAGAAGCTTGCCGTTCTCTTGCATCTCTATCGCCCCTCTTACTGTCCAAAGAACCAGCAGCACAGGGTTACGCGAGATGCGCAGATAGCATACTTGAGGCGTTCGATCGAATCCTGATGATGGACTCCATTGATTTTGGCGACAACTCCAGCTACGGAAGCGAGGAACAATACGAGCGAGAAGCTATGCTTGAATTGAATATCAGCGCTCTTCGCGGGCTGGGTTCTCTTGCCACTGCCGAACCTTTGAAGATCAAAATAGTCGACAAAACATTGCCGTGCTTGCTTCAGATGAGAAACTCTCAAAATAACCGGAGTGATGTGTCCAATGTAACTGGACAAGTGTTCCTATCGCTGGGCTTTGAGGAAGATGAAATCGCTGTCCAGGTGGCTGGTAGTAACCCGAATCTTCTGGCAGACTGGTTCTGCTTGCAGCGATCGATCATTATTCAGGCTATGGCCAGGTCCGAGATCCGACGAATGCTTATGCACATTTGGAAGATCCCGTTTTCTGAAATCAAGAAAGACGGAGTGACTCGGTTGATCAGAGAAACCAACGTGAAGAGGACAGGGGAAGACAAAGTATCGGTTGACAGTTTTGCTGAAAGCTTTGCTGAGATAGATCTTTTCGAAAGCTTTGCTGACGATGATTACACTGAACATGTTCGACATTCAATGGTCCGTCAGTATCATGAATTCTACAACATGGGGACTCCAACGAGGTCGGCCTTTTCAGTCGACAGAATCGAGAACGATCAGGACGAAGTCAGTCTGCTTGCCCGACACATGTATCCTCTGAGCGACACTCAAACTGAGATCGACTGGATCCTTGGTCACGACGAGTCGATATATTCCAAGCCAAAAGTAGACCCATCCATCTGCATCAACGTTTCTGCACCTGGACACGTCGAGGCGCTTCTGGATTGCTGCTTCCCTTCAAGGCTGCTACGGAATCACGTTGTGCCTGTGTTCAATCTTCGAACCGAAGCTACATTCAACTTCCGTGCCCTAACTATGCCCCAGCGAAAATATTTCTCCTTCCGTCGGGAAGGGCAGCTCATTTCTCGGTTATGCGACAAACAGGCGGAAGCCCTCGATTTTGATGACGTTCATTGGACTCTGGGTTTCATGAACAGTACCTTCGCAGGAGAGTTTTCCGAAACCCTAGTTCAGGCATTGTATTTGTGTCCTACAATTCGAGGGCTTTCGTTCGGAAAGAACGAGGATTACTCGCGATTGCGGGCCCTGGACGGAGATGAAGAGCCATCGCAGGATGGAAGTGCTTCTCTGGCAAATCTCGCCGGATCTTTGCCACCTTGGATTCATTCTTTGACCTTCAGCAACATATTCAATGACCGGGAAGTAAAAACGTTGGTTGGGATAATCGAAACGATGGGAAAGCTTTCGTCGGACCAAGCCGCCAAGGCCTCGTCAATGGGAGGCTTTGCTTCTCGAGGACGGGATTCTCAATCTGGCGCTCAAACACAAGGGAAATTTTTCAGTTTTGGTATCTGTTCCTCGCCGCGAGTGTCCCCAGAGGTCTGGCACTCTTTCTTCAGCCTACTTGGAAGAGCCAACAGTCTTCCTAGAAAGATAGCGAGCTCACCGCTTTCGTCACTCAAGATGCTTGACCTCAGCTTCAACAATTTAGGGGATGAGACATGTTCACTGCTGCTGGAGCTTGCCCATGATCCAGAGTCTGGCTGTACCTTGGAGCAACTCGATCTATCAGGGAACGGGATCAGGAAGGGTACGCAGGTGCTCAGCGTACTGCGTCGATACGTGGAACATCACAGGTACAATGTCACATCGGGAGGCAAAAACGATCGAAGTTGGCAATCCTCGCTTCAAGTGCTAAACTTTTCTGCGAACAATCTTGGGGCGGGCAAAGCAGCTGTTGAGATCGTGGGGTTGCTGCAGCACAATGCACTGGCTCTCAAGGTTTTGGATTTGTCGAGCAATGGTTTTGAATCGTCTAATGTTGAGTACGAGCTCAGCAGCGCAATTGTTACGTCTCTGGCGCACAACACGGTTTTGGTAAACTTGAATCTGTCCAACAACAGCTTCAGCCCGGATGCGTTGGATGACATGCTCTCTCAGCTTTCTGAATCGCAAGCTGATTTTGGTGTTGCATTCCTTGGACTTGACAACAACACTCCTCCATTGAGCGTCCTGCAAGAAAATTGCTTGGAGCGGTTCTTGCAAAAATCCAGAAGATTTGTTCTTCAGAAGTGCTTGAACGAACGAGATTCTTCGATGAATGGAGATATGCTGGGAACAGGAGCATTGCCCGAAACCAACCCTGACAACTTGGGATATCAAAAGTCAAGCGATTTGTCGATAATCGGAGAGTCCACTGTGCTGGCAAATCAGGAATCAGATTTCAACAAGAGCACGTTTGACGACGTTGAGATGCAACCGGGTGACAATATGATTACGGTCCTCTTCTCTGCCCCTCTTGTTTTCACGAACGAAAGACGTCAACTGAAACCATTTGCAAAGCTTGATTTCGACATGGAACGCGAGCTGATGTGGCAGTGCATGAAGGAGGCCTCCAGAGACATTGAACTGTTCTTTGACAATGCCACCCATGACCGGCTTCTGGCTGCAATTACCAAGCGTTGTAGTTGCCTGCATTATTCAGGTCATGGGCATCCATCTTATCTCCCCTTTGAGGATGGAGGCGGTGGGCCAAACTGGTTCAAGGTGGAAGACATTCAACGGCTGATTGCAAGAGAGGGTGCTGCACCTTTCAAGTTTGTGTTTGTTTCAGCCTGTCACTCTGGTCTTGCTGGTGAAACGTTTGCATCTGCTGGTGTTCCTCATGTGGTGTGCTGCCAACAAGAATTTGAACTGAAGGACACTGCTGCTCTTGCTTTTACTCGGCAGTTCTACTTGTCTCTAGTGGTCGGCCACACAGTCAGGGAATCATTTGAGCAAGGATGCAAGGCAGTTAGAGCAACTCCAAATCTAAGAGATTCAGAGAAGGAAATGAAGAAGTTCCTACTGCTTCCCAAGGATGGAAACCACGATGTGCCAATCTTCAATGCAAAGGCTGTTCTGGAATGGCCAAAGGTCAATGCTAGGCAGCTCATGCGCTCTCGCTCATCAAAACGGCCCAAGTCAATCACAAGGATGAGGAACTTGCACGTTGGAGGAGCAAGAAGTTCAGAGCTGGGTGTTCGGAATATGATGCAGGAGGATCCCTCGCCAACCCCTCCACAATTCTTTCTGGGAAGGGAAGTGGAGATGTATTATGTGTTGAAGGCAATTCTGTGCAAGAGATTGGTGAGTGTGGTAGCCGAGCCAGGGCTAGGAAGATCTTCCCTGGTTTGTGCTCTTTGCCACTACATCAATGAGAGGGCTAGCACGATCATCGCAATCGAAAGAATATACTTTGTCAAGGCAAAGCGCAGTCGCCGTGTTGATGGTTGCAGAGCTTTGATGGAACAACTCCTTCGTAAGCTCGTTGAGTCTGGGAAGGAGGATCCTCCTGATCCTGGAGTAGATATGGAGGATCTCTTCGATTTCATCTGCAAGGCTCTCAAGAACGAAAAAGCACTGGTGGTGTTTGACAGGATGGAGTACCTTGAGAATTCGGATGATGCTGAGGAGTTCCCGATGCTGCTTAGTACGCTCTTCCGCGGCACCAAGAATGTGAAGGTTTTGGTGACTGGCAGTCACCCCCTTGGAATACCTTCGCTTGGAGGGCAAGTGGAGTACCCTTTCCCTCTTGGACCTCTGACGTTCGAGAACACTCTGCGGCTATTTGCCAACCTTTGTCCCCACTTGCACACAGCAGGGGAACGTCACAAACTGTTTGAGCGCCTGGCAACAGATGGTGAACAATCAGAATTGAGACCCTCTGACTCTGGTATCAATGAGCGTACAAAGGCCATCTTCAAGACAATCGGCGACGGTATCCCATCGCGTATCGAACAGGCTGCATATGATATCTCGAGCGACAACCTACGTGAGCTCCTCGAACGGTATGGATAGCTGGTTGCTGTGGCTAGCTAATAAGAAGGCAAACAAGAAGCTATACAATTTAGAGCAAAGCAAATGATAACTAAAAGGAATAGTTTCGCTTTTAAAATGTGAACGTGTTGTACCGGTGCTTGGATCAAAAAGGTTTGGGACTGTCACTCTATTTGGCGCGGGTATGTTTTCCAAGTAGAGTTGTGCCATTTTACGAGTTTCTATAGTTAGTTAGCTTCGATTTCAAGTGGATAAACCTTCTTCTTCACAATCACTTGTTGGACGCTAGCAGACATCATTTCTCAATGCAGTCTATTCACGTCGGACTACAAGCTCTGTCTCGCCGATAGTGACGCGATCGTTGACAAAGGCAGCTACTTCTTTGTTCTTGGCGATCTTCTTGCCATTCAACAATACCCCGGATGATGATTCAGAAATGTCTGTGAGCAATATTTTCAACACCTTTTTGGAATTCTGGAGTTGAGCCCGTAAATGGCGCTTTTCAATGCTTTCATCCGAATCCAGAATTGCCGGAAGACCTCCCTTGGCCACTGAACGTGCAGACCCAAAATTGTAAGCGTCCGTGTCTCCGCGAATAAAGCCAAATGACTCGCCTTTGTGCGGGCCTTTCACCACGACCATCACGGCGTCTTGGTTTTGGTTCGCTAGCGGGGCTTTCTGCTTGGCAGCGGCCTTGGGCTTGGCTGTCTTCTCCTTGTTTGAAAGGACCCGAATGCAAAACGTTGATTGTCCAATGGTAAAAGAATCATTGATAAAAGCCTGAATGCTACCTCCTTTCTTCAGTTGCTCCTTTCGAACTCGAGTGCCGTTCGTGGACTGCAAGTCTACGATCTTCACGGTACAACGTTGTCGAGTGACATGAAGCTCCAGCCTCAAATGGGTACCACTAACTTCCTCATCGTTGGGCAGTTCCCAGAGGGCAAGTGCTTTGTTGGCCTGTGATGACGCGGGTTCACGCCCAATCATGACAGATGCCCCAGTTGTCAAATCAAAATGCTCCCCAGCATGAGGACCTTCCGTCACCACAAGAGACACACCGACGATGCCATCAGAAGTTTTGGCAGCCAGATTCTCTTTCATCGTCGGTTCTGGTTCCCAATCCATTTCTTGAGCTGTCGCATACGTATCCTCATCGTCGGCATCATTGTCGTCAAGTTCCATGGCGGCATCCACAAACTCCTCATTTCCTTTCTTATTTCGCTTGCTCGGAGATTCCCCAACGTCACAGTCGGCCTCTTCATCCTCCGAATCGTCAATTTCAACAGCCGCAGCAGCTCGCTTGGATCGCCTTGTTGTAGATTGTGCCGATTTTTGCGACTTGGATGCTGCTTTCTTTTTCTGTGGCGGGCCGACGGATACCACGAGAGTGGATAGCAACTCGCGAAACTTTTCATAGTCTGGTTCTGCCTTGTACTTGATGTCTTGTGCGGCTTCAAAGAAAGCCATCATAGTTTTGGCCGTGGCTTTGTCGTCGCCCATGCGTTTGTAGAACTGTGACTTGATGTCATTGACCTGTTTCTCCTTGACCTTGCCAATGGCCGCATCTGACTTCTCTTGACTCCATGGAAGGTACGAAGGAATATCACAACCACGTTTTTCATAGTTGTCAGCTTGTCCGTTTTGGGCGGCGACTAGCCGAATGATGAGTTCAGCAATGACATATCCGATAGCTTCAACGTCGTCACGGCGACTGGGTGTATGGTTGCTGTGCAAATTCAATGAAGAATATAGCGGAGTCCCCACAATTTCACTAATCCCCTCATCTGGTCGATGACCCTCCGCTGTTTTGAAATTCTGTACAAGCCCCAAATCCAAGACTCTCAGCTTTCCTGCAAGACCTTCCGCGACGGACTCTTTCTTTTTGGTTTTCTTTTGGTTATGATCATTGTATGCCAGCATAAAGTTTTCTGGCTTGATCTGAAGATCCAATACCAGCATATTCAGTAGTTCAATCAGTAGACTCGACTCTTTATTCCTGAACACACACAAAAACAAGTGCACTTACATCCACCAAGACATGTTTCTTGTCGTGAAAGACTTGTACGCAAGTGAGCAGTTGTTCGCCGATTGGACCAATGCCAATTTGGCTGGACCCCGACCGAAGAAGTTCTGGAATTACATCCCAAAAAGGAGCTTTCATTTTCTCCATGGTGAGAAATCGGAATCCTACAATCAAGGGAAAAGAAAAGTAGAGCGAACACGAACGAGTTGACGATACGAAAGAAGAGCACAAGGTGAGAACGACACCAAGCACAAGCTCCCCAACAAGAAGTCTTCTCTATGTTTGTCTTACCATCAGTCTCTCCGTAGGAAGGTGGACCATCATAAGGTGAAAGCTTGGGCAGAACGTATCCTTGGAACTCTGGAAACTGGTTCTTGTAGACCAATTCTTCAAAATGGAGCAACCGAGCATTGCGTTCGGGCAGCGTCATTTTCTTCTTTGTAACCTTGGTGGGGAGCGGAACAATCTTGACGACGTATTCTGTTTCCTTTCCATTGTTACCACTGCTGTTGTTGCTCTCCAAGAGAGTATGAACCGAGGCACACGCGCCTTCTCCAATCCGTTTTCCGACCTTCCATTGGCGCTTTCGAGAGGCTCCTTCACCGCGAATGATCAATCCCTGAGGAGGCGCCATCTTCAACAGCAAGAAGCAACAGCAACAGTGATGACAGTGACAACCACAAAGCTTCTTTGTGGGCAGTTTTCTATATCCTCGTCCGAGAGTTGACTGTCACTCAAGCAATGACTTCCTCCAAGAAAACCTGAACGAGCCAATGCAGCTGGATCACGTGATGGTTCAAAAAAGTCAAGTCCAAAAGTAAACTAAAGTAATATTTACCTCGGCAGGTAAACTGCCTGAGTTCTCAACCCCTTTAATGCTATTTCCTATTTCCTATTTCCTATTTCCTATTTTCTATTTCCTATTTCCTATTTCCTATTCCGGTGAAGCCAAAGTATAAGGATAGAGATAGTCATAAGCCAACAAAACTGAACATTGAGTTACAATAAGGGAATGGCAGCTGGTAAATTATAGAGTAGCGGGCGGCAACACACGACGTAGTCGGGTGTTGTCGCCAGGGCTAGCTTAATAAAAAGAAGGTTGCAATGAGGGAATGAATGATAACGGGCGGCAACACACGACGTAGTCGGGTGTTGTCGCCAGGGCTAGCTTAATAAAAAGAAGGTTGCAATGAGGGAATGAATGATACCGGGCGGCAACACACGACGTAGTCGGGTGTTGTCGCCAGGGCTAGCTTGAAAGATGGGTGCAATCCGAACATAATCCTCCTTCTTCTATCTGTCTTTCTGCCGAGGTATCGCAGCTCCCGCTGACTTATATTTCAAACAAACGGAAATAAATCGTCACGTTGTTTTCCTACCTAGCTAGTCACGAATTAAAATCTCAACTAGCTCCGACCAGTATTACGACTTCTAGAACACTTGACTCCAGGATGAGAACACCGGTTTTGTGCTTATGTGCCAACATTTTCATGTCACAGAAATCGGGGCACGACCTCTAAGTAAATTGAAGGGAAAAAAGGGAGGAACCAGGAATTGTGCAGGATTCAAAGCGAATCACGAGTTCGTGATTTTCATGACACAGAAATTGATTTGATTGCAGTAGTATTCCTACAGAGGTCTACGCGAGACCAATTTCTGTGAAGTTTCTGTGACACGGGGACATTTGTTCTAGAAGCCGTAGTATTAAACTCATTGGGTAATTCAATTTCCATTCGGTAATTAGAAATGTAAACGCTTTGTACCTGAAGACCTGCCTATTGCTTGAATCAAACTCAAAACTTTTTCTATATCTATTCCAACATCCTCTGGGAACATTACCATATGACCATATGGCCATATGGAGTCTAGAAGGAAGAGTTGGGGTGTAATGGCTGGAAAAAGACCATAAAAGCCACTTTTCTTGATATTCGCCATTTTACATAACCATTGACATGTGCGAGCTCATATGCGTAAGCAAACAAGAAATTGTTAGTTGCTCTAAGCTCTCTTAGTTGTTACTATTGTCTATTGAGATACTACTGAAAAAGTGGGTGGGGGCTACCAGCTTTTACTACTGGCATCAAATTCTAGTACAGAGGTACAGGTTGAATCCCTAATCGCGAATCCCCAACACACTCCTGTGGTCGTCGAGCTTGTCCTAGTCGTCGACCATGCTTACTTACTTACGCCGCTTAGCGCTCCTTCTTTGAACGGACCTCCTTGTCCGACCGTGACCCTCCTTTTGAGTGCCCTGGCTCTGAGTGTTCCACAACACCCATCAACTTGTCCACGTTCTGTTTGAACAGTCGACCTTGGTTCGGCTTCGTCCAGAAGTCCGCAACCATATCATCAGTTGGACACCAGTCCACACTGATCTCCTTCTTTGCGACTCTGTCGCTCACAAAGAAGTATCTAATGTTGATGTGCTTCGTTCGTTTACTACTAGAAGCTTTGCCGTTCTTCTCTAGAAGAATGGCACTCTTGTTGTCCTGATAGACTATAGTTTCTTTAACTACATAGCCTTGCTCCCGAAGGAACTGTCTCGTCCAAAGGATCGATGGCATCAGTCATCAACTGCTACGAGTTCACTCTCAGTGAGCTTCTCGTGTTCAACTTCTGTTTCGTCGAAGTCGATAATGGGTAACCGGTGCCCATGGTCAAACCACCTCCGGTTGACCCTTCATGTTTGGATGGACTGTGAAAGAACCATCAACATACATTTCAATATGCCCTTCCGTCGCTTTGAGAACTAATGGTATTTTCTAGTACATCTAATTACTGCATGAGGTGGACTAGTTTATCCAATCTTGCCTATCTGGTTCCTTACTCTAGTCGTGAGGAACGATATCGCCGTACCTGTTCTGGTCGGGCTCTCTTGTAGCGAATAACACTTTAGCCACCAGGCTGTGAAAGGTGTCTCTGCCTTGCTCGTTGGGAGTTCTTGCAGGATTCGTCTACTGTGAATGGTCTTTCGGGCTGCACTACTTCTAGTTTTCGTGCCCCCTTCCTCTGGCGATGCCTTCTCGAAGGCTTCCAGGATTTCGTCAACGTACTTGTACATCGAACGTTGCATTGACCTTCGTCGTGAAGTCTATGGTCATGCCAAGATACGTGTGGACCTTTCCTCGGCTACACCGTCATCTCTCCATGCCGTCCTCGAATATGCTTTCGTATTCATCACGAAGCACTTGGACAGCTGGTCGTTAACCTTCGAGTCCTTGTGGCTAAGCTTACAGTCGTCTACATGCCAGCAGACTGTTTGTTGCTTGCCGTGCACCATTCTGTTGGCTACACATGGGTCGTAAGATTAATCTTAAATCCGTTCCGGACCATCGTCTTCGGAACTTACGGTAGTATAGTAGGCTAGCTCCATGGTGCCGTAGATGGCATTACAAGCATTGCAGTAGCAACTGCTTGTTGCCTTTCTTATCCGTTGTCACGAACGTTTGTAGACATCTGGGGCTATTTCACACACATGTCTACTATTACTCCTCTTACTCTAATGTTACCATATCTTTTTCATCCTGACTCGTGTCTGGATGAAGGCGTTCGGGATGTCAATTACTGCCACATCCTTTCCTCTTCAGCGTCGATTATGCAGGAGAGTAGCACTGCTTCTGTCGACACTGTTGGCGAGCTTGGTCTTCCTTGGAGATAAGTCACGCTGTTTTTTGCCTCCTGCAACCGCTTGGCCTTTGATCTTCCCGTCCTTTTCAACTTTAGGAACAGGTGTGACCCTAGGATACTCTTGCGTTCCATATCGCTGAGTTCTTCCATTTTCTTGCTTCGGACGGAAGGTATCCCTGAGATGTAACTGTTTCATCTCGCAAGGCGCATCGTGCGCTTTGTCTTTCCACTCCTTGAGTCCAGCTTTCAATGACAATGTGTCAGATGGCTGCTACCACATCAGTTCTTCTTCTACCTGTGTGTAGAACATGTTTGCATCTGGTTGCAAGACACGTTCATTTGTATTGACGTTTGGCGTCTCATACTTTTTCATCAAAGCTGTGGAATATTCGGTTCCTTTGCTTGTGTCCTCACTCCTACTAACCTGCGCACTCCTGGCGCCTGCTCAGGTGCCGCTCGGGTTCAACACCCACTCATGGGATCTGTTCCAGGGCTGTTGGTCCGTAGTGAGGTTCCGTTCCTCTACCGTTTCGACGATAGGTGTGTAACCAGTTCTTTTCGATTTTCGGTTCAACGCTTTCATTCGGTTCGTTGACTATCAGATTCCTTCGTTTCGTTGACGTTGTCCTGGGATCGTCGGGATCATATCCATTTCGTCAAGGTTTCAGCATACGCGGTCCAGGTCCTCATCAGTTTTGATCATTGGTAGTAGGGGGTGCGTCATTGATTTCTTCCCCTTCCACTCATTTTGATCTCGAATCACCAACGGGTCTATTTTCTCGATCAGTAAAAACGAGTAGTGTAAGGCTGATCTTTTCCTAATAGATTGAACTCTAGCTATCACTGTGTCGGGCATTGGGATCTTGTTCCCTATGAATGCCGAGTAATTTTCTTGCGGAGCGGAGGCTCAAAATTTGTGCCTCCTTGCTTATTCCCTCGTTCCCATACAAATGGCCGCCTTTGTGCGTTCCTACCATGCTGTTACGGGCGGTCTTCTTCATGCACTGGCCAGTAGTCTCCGAACTGCATCGGCCCAGTTGCTTTTTATAGTCCAGGACTCTCCCATCATTATCATACGGGGATCATTGTCTCGCTAACCCCCCTTACTTGGGAAGACGTCAACTGTTTGACGACTTGTAACACCAAGTTGACGGTTAATATTTTTGGCATGCGTGTAAACGGTAGGCTACGCCGGACAGCTCGTGTCCCTTTTCTTGACTACCCGGATACTACGTTCGATCTCGGGTAGTGCGTCGTTAGCACTGGCAAAGTTCACTACGGTCCAGCCCGGACATTGCCATGTTGTGTTGGACAAGGCTCAAATCATTTGTCCACATTGAATGGTTGTGATTCTAAAACCAAGAGACCTTGTAATGATGGACCTCCTAACTGCTTCTAGGATTGTCTCTAGATTCTGTTGCGCAGGTGTCTAGATGTTGTAAAATCGATTTTACGGCTTAGCGTTAACGGAACGGAATGCCTGCCACAAGAAAATGTCCATGCTTTAGGAACACATCCTTGTGTATATTGCAAAAAGTCTCTCGGCAGTTCATTGCATTGCCTGCCACTAGCGTTCGGTTTCGTACGATATGGTCTTGCTCTTCAACCATCAATATCCTTCCCATATAGCTTGTGCCGTTCAGATGTCTTCGACGGTCAAGGGCAATTTGCGATTTGATTGCCTCAATAATCGCCCATCGGAATCTTTAATCGATGGATAGACGAGTTGCTTTATAGCAGCTTCGCCCTTGATGCGGCTTTAACTTGTCGTTTGCTGAAGCCTTCCTTATTTCCGGCGACAGTATTCACAAGTGCCTTCCCTTTTTCCTAGGGTCATGAACGTGTAATCCTTCCACTGTTCATTTCGTATACTACGTCCGGTAGGCCTGGTCTAATGACTGTGTACGTTCCTTTCGGACAAGTCATAGACGATTTTGCAATTCTTGCGGACATTCTTAACAGATAAGATGTTCGTGATTCCTTTTCATCAACCATACTCTCGTTTTGTGGCCAGCTAACTGGCTGTGTGCTGGACCTTATAGCTTGCCTCCGGTAATCTTCACTGTAATTGGACGATCTGCTTTCCTGATGTCGGTAACCATGTCTTTATTACAGAATAAATCCAACGTGGACTGGTTGTCCAGTAGCTGATCTCTCTCATATCTATTCGTCAATCCTTTTTGTGGGCGACTATGCCTTGCTTAGTCGGTTCTCCGTCTTCGTTCCGTCCGCGAACAGCGTCGAACGTAAAGAAACCTTTTCGACTTTCTCTTCATCTGACTGCGTGATGTCAGAGTCGGCATCATCCTCTCTCAGGGTTGTCAATGCTGTCGTCATTTTATCTTGCAGTTTGCTGATAGTAGCTAGGGTCTCCTTTGAACGCTACTAGAGCTTTTCTTGCTCGACGTGCTTGACTTGCTACGCTTGCTCGACCTAGACTTGTATCGTCGTCTTTGTCTTTATCTTGTCTTTATCTTTGTCTTTATTTTTGTCGGACAGTGCGATGCTGGATTCCTTTATCGTGCAGGAAAAGCATTCTTCTCTTTCCAGTATTCTTTATCATAGCTCGCGTTTCCGCGCCTTTTCCTCTGCCACCACCCCGTCCTCTCCCGCCTTGTGCTGTCTGAGCAAAGGAGCTTCCGTGGGAAGTGACTGTCGTGGGATGTTACTCTTGGTGTGTTTGTCCAAAAGTGTAATACCTCATGTAACTGTGGGGATAGTTATCAGTGCCCCCGGCAAAGTCGTCCCTCAGGTTCTGTTTAAGTTGGTATTCTCGGCTGAACTATTTTTAAGAAGATGTAACTATATATACCGTCTTCAGCGTATTGCCGACTTTCTTCTGGTCATCGGCTCCAAGGTCAGCTGTATGCTGTTTGGGTGGAGTAGTTTGCCGTATGCAGCAGGGCTGCATCGTGTAGCTTGGAAATACCCACGGATTTTGCAATGTCCTTTTTCGTGGTAAATTGCTCGTGTATCGGAAGCGGTAAGGCTCCCTGGTGGAAATTCAACAGTTGTTTTTCCAGTGGAATAATGTGTGGTACACAAAATTATCATCGGCTGGGCCATGATCGTCTTATGGATCATTTTTCGTAGCTCCAGTGGGCGCATCTTAACAGGACGTCATCGAGTCCGTGTTCTGCTTCATCTTTTCCTTTAATAGTCGGGTGCACTGCCCTAGGATCAAGTTGAAAGCTTTGCCTCTATTTTCTTGTAGTTTTGCCAACCTCGTAAGGTGGGTCTTCATCAGCCCTCCATACTCTGCTTTCTCGAGTCCCCCGAGTTCCTCGTCCGGTGGATCTTCTATGGCTGCAGTGAGGTTGGCTATTTCATTTTCGAGTTTTGCTTTCTCTATCGTTAGTGCTCGTAAGCTACCTAGAGTTGGGTCATCAGTGACCTCGGCTATCTCGTCTTCCAGTAGCTCTAGGCTTTCCTCGGTCGCCGTTAGGAGACGAGTGTTGTTCTGTTCACGTCGTTCCGCCGCCGCGTCAAGCCTGTTCCGGGTCTCCTCTGAGTACACCGGTGCTACCAACACTGTCTGTTTCAGGTTGCGTAGCTCATTGCTCATGTCGTCACCCATCGTTTGTCCAACGTGGATGACGATCTTCTCCCATGTGCGTATCATCTGGTCTGCCGTTCCAGATCCAGTTGTACCGAAGTTAAACACATGTTGGTCGAGGGCTTTGCATGAACCTTTCTGCTGGTTCGACGATGGGCTGGTTCTTCCATGCCCTCGTGCTTTGCCGCCTCCTCGGCCACCTCGTCCTTTACCTCTACCGCTCATTGTCTATGCTACGGTAGGTGGACTATTTCAATTCGTTGTTTTTTGATTGACTAGCTCTTTATTTTAAGTTCTCGTCCGACTACTTATTCGTCTTTTGGCTATGGGGCGATAACTTCAAATTTATACTCCTGGCTAGGGAGTGTTAAATCTATTTACTAAAGATCTTGCAGGGAGGGAACGATTGCTTCACACACTGTGCGGTCGTTTCCACTCCGAACCCGTTTCTTTGTATTGTTGATTCCTTGTTGGGTGCCTGTCCTTTGGCCCCTGCGCTGGCACTATGGCTTTCGCGCTTGTTGTTGGCTCTGACAGTTCCGGCTGGATGCTGTCGGCTCTCGGCAATCCTTGTGGATTCTGCCGATGAAACTCTCTCGCGTCGTCGCGATCGATCCGTCCTCGGATCCTTGCGTCGTCGCGGTGCTGTCGATCCTTCGACAGTCTTCTTCACTCGTTGCTGTCGTTCGTTCAACAGGCTTCTCTTGTTGCTGTCGTTCGAACGTCGAACAAAAGTCTTGGTCTTGTGCACGACGACTCCGTCGGCGGTACTCGCGTCGCGTTCTTCCTTCCGATCGCGTCGCGTTGCTGTCGATCCTTCGACAGGCTTGGTCTCTATCGGTCTTCTTCTTGCGTCGCGTTCGGCGTCGGCCGATACTCGATCCTCTTGCTTCCTGCTACCGTTCGCTGCTTCGATAGACTCCTCTTCGACTCGATAGTAGACCGCTTTTTCAGTAGTATGTTAGTTGCTCTAAGCTCTCTTAGTTGTTACTGTTGTCTATTGAGATACTACTGAAAAAGTGGGTGGGGGCTACCAGCTTTTACTACTGGCATCAAATTCTAGTACAGAGGTACAGGTTGAATCCCTAATCGCGAATCCCCAACAGAAATGTTGTACTAGCAAAAAATCTATTTTTATAGCTTGCTTTGTAAAACTCTACTGTTGTTCTCTTTAGCTAGCTAGTAGATACCGTAACTATTCACTCGTAGACTTGTTGCAGTTTTGTAGCGCGTCTTCTTGGATGGATTTATCTTGACAATGACATATTATATCTAGGTGGGGGCTTTAGCCTCCGACTGCCTGTTCTTATCTATTGATGAAGCAACCTGTACCGATCAATGCAGCTTTACAATTTGCAGTTACATGTAGCTCAATCTGCAAAGAACCTGCAGCATTTCCATCTTTACAAGGACCGTACATCCGTTCTATACCAAAAGCAAAGAGTGACAGAACCGAGTGCATGTGCCAGTAGATTTTTGATGCTCGCAAACTGCCAAATCCCTTCAGGAAACAAAGCTCCAGGAAGACACGCTATTTGCTTATTTTTTCTGAAACTGGATTCAGCAAATTCAGCATTCGTCAGCATTAGATTCAGCAGTTTCAGCAACATTCAGCATTTTTCAGCGTTCATTCAGCATTTTTCAGCGTTCATTCAGCATTTTCAGCATGTTTCAGTAATTCAAAACTCAGATTCAGCAAGATTCAGCAGAATTCCGCAATTACTAGTAAATTGCCATGGTTGGATTCAGCATCAGTCAGCATTTTCAGCAATGGATTCAGCAAGTTCAGCAAAGTTCAGCAAAATTCAGCATCCAACCATTTGCACAAATATTCAGCAAGATTCAGCATGCAAGACTGAAAAATGCTGAAATTACTGAATGACCCGTCTTCCTGGCGTGAGGGTTTGCAACTTGGCTGGTGATCCCAGCGTGACAGTGCTTGCAAACCTGACCTGTCCGTCTGTCCTTAACTCCAGCTCTAAGAGAGCGCGGTGGCACCAAGCACCCCTTCCAACACGATACACCTCCGTTATTTCCAACAGCCAGCGTCTCTACAACACCTGAAGCTGCGGCCAATAGCATTGTTGACGTTGCCAAAAAGGTTGCCGCCTTCGAGAAGGAGTTGCGAGAGGAAGCAGCAGAGGAATCGAATCATCTGTTACAAGCTAGCTACCTCGCTACTGTCTATCAATAATTCAGGCCAGCACAAGAAGAGAACCCTGGGTGCCACGCTACCGTTCAAGGCTTTAATAAAAGCTGGGCTTCCGTTGCGAGTATTACCAGTGTTGAGCTAATACTGGAGAGGAAGACCAAGCGTGTCTTAATCGAGTTTAGTTCCAGGCATGCCTCCACGACGTCGCGGCAAAGCGACCACCTCTCGAGCGGCAGCCATCCAAGCTGTCCAAAGAAAGAGAAGAGCCCAGCTGCAGCAACACGACGATGACGACGAAGACGATGACAACCACCACAATCATCACCACAATCATCTTCACAGCAGCAGCAACACCCGCTATAGCAACCACTTGAACAGCAAAGACAACAATCATCATCACAATCTTTGTCATCACCATCATCAATCTCATCAATCACTGCACAACAACAGCAACCACAACGCTACTACAGGCAAGCGCATTCTCAACAAACAGCTGGGCAAAAAGCGGAGTCACCACGACGACGAAGAAGAGGAAGAGGTGGATGACGATTTCTCGAGTAATGACGATGAAGACGACGACGAAGATGACGATGACGACTGTCCGCCTCCTCTTGTCGGCAATGACGAAGAGTTTTGCGATGGAGACGCGGGAGATGTGGACGACGACGATGATGACGACGATGCCGTCGTGGGAAGCACTGGCGGAAGCTCCAACACCATGAGCGGGGAAGGAGGCTGCTTACACTGCCACAAGAGCGCCACAACATCCGACATTCAAGTCCGCTGCGACGAATGTCAAGCGTATATTTGTCAGACTTGTCATTGGTGCCATGAGTTCCAAGCCAACCACGAAATCAGGGTCTGTGATCGATGCGATGCCTTTTACTGTAGAACATGCGATGAAATGGATCAATGCGATGATTGTGGTGAAGTTGTCTGTGCCAGCTGTTCCACTCTACTCAGCTGCAAATTTTGTGGAGGAGGACTCTGCGAAGAATGTGCCACGGCGTGTGGACGGTGCGTACCGAAAGGAAAAACAAAAAAACAAACTGATGGATTCGATTGAGATTCTCACTTTGACATTCACGTTGCATTACTTACCCGAAAATCGCATTATTCGACACAACAGCTGCGGAATTGTCCTCTGCAGTCGCGATGCCAAATTTGCCGTGGACTGCGACACTTGCCGTCTATCGTATTGTCTAGTTTGTTTGGCATCTGGCAGTAAAGATCCTTGCGTCAGATGCGGACACAGACCCTCCAAGCGAATGGAACAATTGGTACACCTTCGACTCAAAAGCATATACAAGGCGTTCAAACAGAGCAGCCGCAATTCTAAGTATGGAGGCGACGGAGGCGATGAGGACGATGATGATGACGACGACAATGATGTAGATGACGATGAAGATGAGGACACTGAAACTGGAAAGTCGGGCGATCCACAGAGCCTACTTCAAGCGGCAGCTTCGGCGGCATCCAAACATAGCAACAGCGGAAGGCCAAATGCCTCCAGGCACCATCATCAATATCATCACCATGCATCGTCACATCACGCTTCTACATCCACAAAGCGGACGTCCGCAACTTCGACCACATCTGTTAGCAGAGACCAACAAGACAAAGAAATGGTGGACAAATACATGGTGGACAAATACATGGCCGAAAAAGAAAAGGCGGATGCGGCTGCAGCGGCATTGCTAGCTGAATTGGACGAAGAAGAAGCACATGAAAAATCAAAGAAAAACAAAAAGAAACGCAAGAAGGAACGCCAACAAGCTAAAAAGGACGAAGAAGTCAAGAAGAGCAGTCCTGAACCAGACAACCGACCTTCTTCAAGCAAAAAGCAGCCACTAGACCAAACGGACAACGGACAACAGCCACGCGATGAAGACAATTATGACGACGATTCCGATGTTGAAATCATTGACATTGCTAAACCCAGCGCCAAAAAGGACAATGGCAAAGAGGGAAAAAAGAAGAAGAAGAAAAAGAGCATAGCTAGTAGCAGTCAAGAAGATGTGAACAATACAAAATCTGCGGAATCATCAGCAAGTGCCACCACGAACAAGGACACCACGTTGTCTGGTGGTGTCGCCGCAGCAGTTTCCGAGGCAGAGACTTTGGAAGTACCTCCGACGGATCCAATTGAGCAGCAACTTGCAGAATGCGTGGTCGATAGTGACATGAACGGAATAGAAGAAATACTCTTGTCGTTGAAAGGCGTGCCCGGAAGAGCTCAACTGCGGAAGAATGCAAAGAAGGCGCTGAAGAAACTGAAAGCAGAGCAGGATGCAATCGACGAAGCCGCGGCAGTAAAGGAAGCCGAGCGTCTGGCCAAGTTACAAGAGGAAGAAGACAAGAGACACGCGTTTACTAAAGTGACCAGTCACCAAAATCGCTCCAATAGCGGAGCAGGGACACCAGCAACACACAGCGAGACAACTGGTAGCACTGCGGCTGCTGCGTCCAACCGTCCACCGCCGCCTCCGCCGTTACCTCCTAACGAATTGTACAGGGTGGTTTCGCTGACCCATAACAAGCCCATGCACCCCACAGCATCAAGTCTACGAGGATCGAAAACACAACAGACGGCGAACGCAGCAACGGGCATAAGGTCAGAGTGCATTTTGCACATTGCCTACAACGTTGTTGGATGGGTGATTGGGAAAGGAGGGCAACGTATTCGCGACCTCATGGAGGAGAGCGGCGCTAAAGTTTGGATTGATCAAGAGCACCTAAGCGAAAAAGACCCTCGAATTGTCTTTGTTAGTGGCAATCGAAAGAGCGTGGAAATTGGCGTGAAGCTGGTGAAAGAGCTGGTGAACAAAGCTCCTGTGCCTGGTGCGCCACCCGTCGGCGAGACAGAACTGAGCCATCCAAGTACTGGAAATATCCTCGAAGTAGCGATGAAGAATCTGACGTTTGGTTCTCCCATGAAATCGCCCCTAAGCAAAGAGCTATCATTGACGAAGGCGATTCCCGGGATCGATCCCCCCCTCTCCGGGTCTATAACAAGAACCCTGGCAAACGGTGAACACGCCCATGAGATTTCTTGCGAAGCCTGCTTTGTACCCTTGCTGATTGGGCGCCGCGGCTGGACCATCAAACATATTCAAGACTCTAGTGGCGCCAGAGTCGATATTGATCAGACTGTGACGCCGCGGAAAGTCAGAATCTCGGGCGCAAAGGATAATGTTCAGACCGCGATTCGCATGGTTCGTGACGTTCTCAGCTACCCTCATGCACAGTTGCAGGGGGCAGCTGAGTCACTGGAAGATTTGGAGCGCAACCCGCCCGAGAGCCTGAAACCGACTCCACATATTCTGCAGAGCGTTGAGGCGGCAGCTGAAACAAAGGTCGAACCTGTTCTAAATATCTTGGATACAGTTGCACCTGCTCCGGAACCGCCAGCGAAAACTGCACCAGTAGCATCAGCACCTGTGGCAACAATTCCGATTGCACCCGCTCCTCCTACGTTGGCTCAGCCCGAGTTGAACGTGGCTACACTGTCAAACACTACTACTGTTGGCGCCAGCAATCAAGCTTTTGGACCAACTGTTTCCGCTGCTAATTCCCCACCGAAAATGGTGGCACACGTGACAGATGAGAGAGTTCATACCCCACCGCCGTCGTCGCATATCAATATAGGAGACGCAAAAAGTACCATCTCAGCCTCGTCGTCGCTTTCTTCGACTCCAGAGCCATCCATGGCATCGTCGTCGAAAGGTCACTTTGGTAGCAGCGGAACTCCTGGCGGCCCTTTGATTCCACCTGAATACAGTGGCGGGTACGCGCAACCACAACAGACACATCAGACTGCGGCAACCGGCACACATCTATTTGGCCAGCAACAAAGCAATCTGCCTCAGATGAACTTGAATACGATCACTGACACTCACGGTGGAGGCGGAGTGCCGACAACCCAGCATGCGGCGCCGCACCTGTTTGCAGCTGGCATGGCTGGATCTTCTATGCCGGCAGTGTCTCCGAGGTATGATATGCAGACTGGAATCCCACGCGGATTCCCGCAACGCCCCCATCAGCAACAGCAGAGGCTTCCTGACAACCAGCAAAGCATGCTGATGGGACAATCCATATTGCGCGAGCAACAACAACAGCAGCAGCATCTTCCTGCTGCGGTAAGGTCCATGAATGGTCTTGGTGGCATGCCACACCATGGTGGGCATTACCGACCTCGACCGGATGCACATGCTTACCACGGTGCTAGCTCCATGCAGTTTCCATCTACCATGCAAAACCCTCAGCGGTCCCTCCATGTTCATCAACAAAGCGCGTTTCATGCGTCGGATCAGAAGCAAATGCGCCACAATCATGCTCCTGACATGGGAATGGGTGGTCGATTTCATCCGAGTTATGATTCTGGAGCTGGGAACGTTGTAGACCACAGAGGAAAATCTGGAAACTATCCAACTGGAGGAATGTGGGGCAGTAGCAGGGCTGCTCCGTTCGTTCCTGGTGCGGATAATTCTCGTGTCGTGCGCCATTCTAGTGGCTCTGAAGCATATCCGCACAATCCCCTCCCTGTCCCATCAAGGTCGACGCGTTCGAGTTCAACTGCGGCAGCTCTAGGTGGCTTGGGAATTGGGACTCTACCTCCCCTCGACACGAAAGGTATCGGAAAAGATATGGGCCAAAACAATTGTGTTCGATCGTCGTCGATGAATACTGGCAAAGATGATTCCCGAATGGTGGATAGTCTGTTTGGGCCCACTGAGAGCGGAAACGACGAAAAGGACGTGCTGCCGGGCTTCCAAGGGCTTGCCTTGGGAGACGGGCTTGGATCAGAAATGTGGTCGAAAAATCTAACGCAAGACTGGGACTCGGATGCCAAGGGCTCATCAGCCCTGTTTGCGGCGATTCAACCAAACCTTGGTTCGGGTACGGGTGCCGGTGCCGGTGCGAACGACAGTCACCCCTCAAGGTCTCGCTTCCTCTGGGGAAGCGAATCACAGGGACAGTCATCATAGATGATTGTCCTGCACAACAACAACAAACCAAAAAACGAAATTGCACTTTGATACCATGAAAGGTCAAAGGATTCCACCATTCAATGCGCGTGTGGTGAATCATTTGATTGCCCTATTGGGATTGCTTCGATGAGTTTAATCGGATCATTCCATGTGGGGCAGGGGACAAGGTGTAGCGACTTGATGGCCAACATACTGCTTACTTGTTGGCACCCGGTCGCAAAATTTGTTAAATATTAATCTAAAAGAAGCAATAATTATTTCGCATGACACCCAGGTGCTCCTTTTTGTTGCTGGTTCACTCCGCATCCTCAAATGGCAAAGCTGTGGCCGTGTTTTGAAGCAGGCCTCTCAGCCAACATCGGATCTCTGATGTTTCTTGCAACTAAATTAAACTGTTCAAGGACTCGACTCCTCCTTGGAGCGAGCTACGGTATCGGTAGTCCCTGGACCATGGACGTGAGGTGCTTGTTCATCCGTTCAGTAGGCAACCAAATTTTTCTTCTCAAAAGCAAAGAGTGGATTGGAATAATCTTTTGAGTAAAAGATCTCAACTTTTCTTTCCAACCTCTGATTGTACCACTTCCATATTTCCCACTGAGACCATGTAGCATGCCCACCAGCATCTCTGGGACTCTGAAAAATTGAATGGTCCCCTCCCTTTCCCCACCCAAATTTTCCAAATTCCTCCCAACCATGTATTCTTTCAAGCAACCGCCTGGTATCATTGTGGGCATTCTCCAAATGTCCCACAAAATCAATGGTTTGAAAATACTTTGCCTCCATCCTCTCACTTTGGGGTTTCCAGTGTTCGTCTGGACACCATTTGACCAAATCAAGAAACCCCTCAAGTGTTTGAGCTGCCTCAATGCAATCGCCTGCAGGACAGCACTTTTTCTTGATGTAGTCACCGCCATTGCTCAGTGCTTTGTCCAGGAAAGCAGACAAGAATCTCAATTTTGGATCTCTAACAAATACTGCTCTGGTATAGTTGGGTGATGTCATGATCTCATTGGCCTCCTCAAGTGTATATTCATGTAAGTACCTGAGTCCATTGAAGCGTGGATTGTGGGGAAGAAAAACCTGCCCGTCTTGACTTCGCCAGTTTTTCTTGCCCATCATTCTTCGGAACAGCATCTTGAACGTGGTGCATCCTGCCTTTGGGATTGAGAAAAAGACAAGCTTATGCGACTCGACCACGATGGGGGCTGCATCCCATGATCCTGCATTGCCGTAGATATAATCGTCATTGTCCACCAAGCATTTCTTCGCATCGCCGCAGTGTGGTCGAGTTGCTGCTATCTCTGAACTGATTCCGTCTTCATAATCACCTTGTCTTGGCCGTCCAAAATCAATTGACAAACCTCGTGTCAGAGAAGAGTCTCTGCGCCGAGCTCCTGCAACGAGGATCTCAAGCTTAAAGATGGACAAGATGTTCGATGCCAACGACAACAAACACAATATCGCCACAGCTGAAATGAAGACAGTTTGGCGCATTCCAGATCCACAATCAAGGCAAGATGATGATGGTCTCTCTTGAAACATCCACGGAGCATTATTGTGCTGCCTTCAAGACAGGGCCATGATGTTTTACATGTAGATCCAAAGACCTGCAACCCAACCTTCTTTGAGTGTTTCGCGGAAGCACCTTGGGCATGCCATATTGCGTTTCTGAAGACGCAACGGTTTCCCACGAGCCGGCAGATCAAAACAAAACCAAGGTGCGCCCACTTCAGCTGTTTGCTGCGAAATGAAGGCTCCAACAGTAAGTACAGGTGTTGGTACAGTACCGACAAGTGCAAGGATGAAGACGACATCGCCTTGTCCTTGTTACCCAAGAGCCTACAGTCGAAGCATCCTCAAATGCAATGGACACTTCCATGCGAAGCAAATTTAAAGTGGTAAAAGCTGTATTCCTGCTGGTGGTAGTCACCGGACTCTTTCTCAATCTGTTGCAGGTTTCCAAGCTGAAAGATGTTCCTTCTCCCAACCAAAGCGGTCGTCGCGCCCAAATTGATCCGGTTAGTAGGTCAACGATAAAGTACAAGCCAAAGGGCTTTGCCAAGCGTTCAATGAAGCATGCGAATGTCTTGGTGAAAGCCGGTGATTTCGTGTACTCAGAAGCCGGATGGGATTCCTCTCCGATTGTCATTGAGTCGCATAAACTAGTTTTCTTCACTGTCCCCAAAGCAGGGTACGAGCATGTGAATGGGATCAGAAATTCTCGTGTGGATTCAAAGGGTACTCACCATTTGTGATTTCTTTGCATTGATTTTCTGCCGCCACACTACAACAGTTGCACTGTTTGGAAACAGCTTTTTCGAAGAATGATGGGCTTCCAAGACTGGAAGACGCAGAGCTCACAGGATGATTCTAGACAGATACCACACAACCCCAAGCACAATGGACTTAGATATCTGCATCAATACAGCCTCAGAGAAGCAAATGAGATTATGACATCACCAAAATACACTCGGGCCATCTTTGTTCGAGACCCCAAGGAGAGATTTCTCTCAGCTTTTCTTGATAAGGCATTGAGTAATGATGGCAGTCATGTCCAAGCCAAGTGCTGCCCTGGTGGTGATTGTGTCAAAGAAGCCCAAAAATTTCCAGGCTTCATCAAGCTAGTCCTGAATGGATGCAGCAATCCCCACTGGGATAGTCAAAGTCGCAGAATGGAGCCCAAATATTGGAGGCACCTTGACTTTGTTGGCCACATTGACAATGCTGCAGCAGATGCCAAGAAGCTTTTGCAGCAAATTGGGGCCTGGGATGACTTTGGAAAAAGTGGGTGGGGGGCCAATGGTGATAAGGCAGTTTTTGAGAGCAAAGCAACCGATGTTTCTCATGCCACTTGGTCCAAGTACAAGATGTGGAAACATTACACCCCAGAGCTGGAAACCATTGTGGAAAACTTCTTTGCAGCAGACTACACGACTCCAGTGCTGAATTTAACACGCAGCAGGTTGTACTAGCTAGTTGTTGAGAGATGGGATGCCTCACTACGGTGAGTGCAGTATGGTAAAATGGCGAGTGCAACTTGATTGAGTGACGTTGCGGGTGCGCTTGTAGTGCGACAGAACCTCTCGAAGGCAGTCAAATGCGCGTCGACATCACGATGTTCCTTCCGCTCGGATTGGCCTCGCAAAACTATGTTTGCTCAAATCATGCATAAAAAGTACGGAGAGAGGTATTAACATACGGTACCGTGCTCCACTGCTGGAAATTTGTTTTACATCTTTACTAACTAGAAGTAACTCCCAAACTACAGTGCAAGCAGAGTTTGGTCAAATGCTACAGTACTAGCAGCTACGAAGATATGTTGTTGACGTTCAAGTTTTCCGTTTTCATTCATGTTCAGTTACAATTGTGTATCAGAATCTTTGTTGTACTCCAAGACTCGGTCCACCAATCCATAGTCCATGGCTTCCTGTGCACTCATAAAGTTGTCGCGGTCCAAGTCTTTGACAATTTGATCCTGTGTTTGTCCCGTCATCATAGAGTACATCTTGACCAAGTTATCCCGAATACGCATGACTTGGGCAGCTTCCACTTTGATATCTTCGGCTTGACCTTGGGCTCCACCCATGGGTTGATGGATCATAACTCTTGACGAGGGCAGAGCCAGACGTTTGCCTTTGCTTCCGGCTGCCAAGATGAAACTGCCCATACTGGCGGCCAATCCCAGATTGATAGTGATGACCTCCGATTGAATGTGCTGCATGCAGTCGTAGATTGCCAATCCTGAAATAACGGATCCTCCAGGCGAATTGATGTACAAATAAATGGGTTTGGTGCTGTCTTCGGAATCCAGATACAACATGACTCCAATCACCTGGTTGGCCAATTCATCGTCAATTTCAGCACCCAAGAAAATGATGCGTTCTCTGTAGAGTCTGTTGTAGATGTCCACCCAGTCGGCCTGTTGGGATCCTGGAACACGGTAGGCTACTTTTGGTACACCAATGGGCATCATCTTGATAGTGTTGGACTTGGTAGCTGTAGATGCTCTCCTGTTTCCGTACACTTGAGAAGCAACCACATGTTTGGGCATGGGAGAAATTACTCCATGGTCACGGGGGACAAACGAGGGAGCTGCGAAAGAAAAATGAAACAACGAGGCAAAAACAGAAAAGGTATTAAGATGAGCTAATGTGAGACTAGTGGTTCGTAGTCCCGACACCAGATGATAGAAAGCGACATCTCAACTAAAATACCCAACCAGCAGCCTTACCATAACCAGAGACACTGCTCAAGGCGAAAGCCAAAAGCAGACCCCACGCAGCAGCTGATCCAGAAGAAACCATAGTTTTCAAAATTTTGATGTTGGAGCTGACTTGTTGGGTTGCTGTCGAAGAAGCGCCGAAGGGAGATCGAAACCAAAGGGACAGGTGGAACTACTAATACGAATCCTCATATGAAGCGTCAACAGAGAAGAAGAATTGCCATCGCAGCTGTCGGCAGCAACACGAAAACGTGAGGTGTGGGTTGTTTTTCTTGACCTCGGCAACGTCATTCATTCATTTATGGGAGTTGGGGGTAAATAATTACCTCGTCCCAAGCACAAAAAGATCTGGGAGCCTGCAAGACAATGCCATCTTGTTGGCGAGCACCCAAAGTTTCATGCCACGATTGTTGCATTCGCCATGAGCACGCAATCCTCGATGACGAGCTAAGTACAGTGCTCCAGAACTCGACCGCTCTCACTTTTTAGTTTCAGCCTTACAATTCGTCGAGATCCCAGCGACGAGTTCAAGCATCCGTGCAAGTGGAAGCACCTTCATTTGCCGCATACTACGGTACACTCGCCATACTGCTGCCGACAATTCGTCATCGTCCTCCACTCCGCCCGACAGCTTCCCGGCAACAATAAGGTACGAGTAGTATCATCGTCGCCATCGAGATCGACGAGGACGACAGCAACAACACGCTGTGGCCGAGGGGCCCGTTCAGTAATTCATAGAAAACCGCGGCTGATCAGACTGCGATCGGTAAAATGGCGGAACACAGCATTCGTCGATGGGGTCGGGGGCGGTCGAATCGATCGGCTAGATCCAATAGATCCAATAGATCGAGCCGTAGCAGACGGCGAGAGTTGGAAGAGGAAGAGAAAGAATTCTCACCTGAACGATCGGTGGACGAAGAAGATGACATCATCTTGGGAGCAAGCAGCATTGATATCCCCGTGGATTCCATCATTTCTCCCGTGAGCTCGGAAGGTGGATGCGGAGATGACAACTACTTTGTGACTTCGCCACCGAAACGATCAGGCTTGACAGGAAGCATCTCGACTCTGTTTCGACGTGTAGCATCCCGCGAACGTACTCGCAGCAGCCGCAGCGGTCGAAACAACAAGGTGAACAAGGCCGAATCTGATATCTCGGATAACGACTCCGATGACAACCACAAGGATGACGATGGCAATTCGACTGAAACAGAAGTGGCCAATCGCAAAAGCGGTTCTGACACGAAAAAGAGCAGTCGAGGAGGAAAACGACGAACTTCTTCCAAGCAAACGGCCAGCGATCTCATTTCCTCCAGTTCCTCGTCACAAGAAGATGAAGACGGTGCGAGTTTGGAACATAGTACCGGTTCGGCAAATAACAAGGCCAGGGACTCATCAAAGAGAGACAGCGGTAGACGAAGCAGGACTCGCTCACGACCCGATCGAGGCAGGTCAAACCGCAAACCAAGAATCTATTCGTCGTATACTGACGACGAATCCGACGAAGAAGAGGGTCAATCCTTGGACACAGATCGTCGATCCGCCAGGAGTGGACTTGCCAGCCCGGTCACGACGACTAGCAACAGTGAGTTTCTCGAGTCCGAGTCCATGGACGAAAACGATCCTCGAAGAAGAATGAAGCGATATAGAGGATTCTCCACCTCTATTGCATCCCTCTTCCTAGATGAGTCGTTGGTGTGTACCAGCATTGGATGCTTTGGATTGATTCTCTCGAATCGAACCGAGTATCTACTTCAAGTGAGGGATCATATCCGTGGAGTGAAACCTTCCAAAAAGAATCAGTCCGTCGACAAGCGTTCGCCAAGCAAAGTTTTTTCCTACCTCCTTTTGGCGACTATTGTTCTGATCTTCCTCACATTTGTAATTTGGGGATTCGGCAATGGAAATGCTCTGGCAGCAGACCTCAGCAGCAGTGGAGGTTCGGATGATGGAGAGGTGGGAAATGAAAATGATGACGGCTATTATTATTATGATTCTCGAGACCAAAACGATGCAGAGCAGCAACAAGATGACTATTGGCGAAACTATCAAGACCAGGTGGAATACAATGATGATAATCAGAATCAGGATAGACAGCAGAATGGCGACGACAATGTCAATGATGATGACGCCGAAGGAAACGACGATGCAGCAAATGCAAACGACAACGACGATGGTAACAACAATGCGGCTGCCAACGACGACGGCAACGATAATAATGATGACCAGTACAATGGTCAAGTAGACGACCAAGCCAATGGAGACGACCAAGCCAACGGAGACGATGCTAATGGTGGTAACGTTGACGATGGATATGCCGCCAATGATGACGGAGCGGCAAACGATGACGCGGCGGCAAACGATGATGGCGGGGATGACTACTATGCTGCAGACGACGATGGCAACAGGCGCGAACTGAAAAGAACTACAGAGATGATTCCTTTCGTTCATGGGGTCGACCGAAACTACCATCGACACCGAGCCACCGGAGTCTTCAAGCTGCGAGACTGTCAGGAACACATGTGGGATCCAATTTCACAGTTTGCCAACGACCAATGGGAACGAGAGGCTCATTCGACTAGAACTTTGGCGGATGCTTACACCGATGACTTTGATTCTTTTGACTACGACGAGGCAGAACGAGATTTAGCCACCGACATTCGTACTGCTCTGTTCTTGACCTTCTTGCTGTTCCTCGGCGTGCTCGGAAGGCGCAGGAGGATGAGAACACGATTCCAACTTGTCCGCGCAAGGACTCAAGACGACCGTCTTTATCAAGTCGCTCACTCAGGAAGGAGTCGGCACATGTCCATGAAAGATGAACTCGAAGATAAGGCCTATGAGGTAGCCTGTAGTCACACTATTCTCGGTTGCTACCCGACCGATCCGCCCGATGACGGTGATCCCGGTGAAGAGGAGCTCGGTGTGAATGATCAGGGCATAACAACGACCCGCAAGAAAGCACCCAAACACGAAGACTTTGTTTCACGAGGATTCGCGTATTTGATGTCTGCTTGTTGTGGCTACTGTTGCAAATGCTGGTTCCAGTGTCTTTCGGTTTGCGCGTTGGCTCAAGAAGCACGTGAGATGAGGTTGCTACTGCCGCCAAGGTACCAGCGTATTGATTTCATCACGCATCAACCATTCTCTGAGTACCAAAAAGACGTGAATGAGCTGAGGCGTGGTTGGATGGGCAAGAAGCGCAAGAAATCTGGTTTCATTCCTCATTACAATGCTCTCAGTCGACTTAGTCGCTACATATTGTTCACGGCAGCAAGCGCTCTGCTCGTGATCGTGGCCACTTTACTTTTCAATCCAAGAGCTGCATTTTCATGGCCCGATGCGGTATTGCTTTTGGCAACGTTTTTGCAGAGCTTTCTCGTCCTGTATATTGTCCATTGGATCTTTCACAAGAGCGATTTGAGCTTGGATGCCGTTATCAAGTTCTTTGCAGCGGGATTCGTCATTGCAGTACCGTCGGCCGTGTTCTTTGAAGGGCTTCTTGTGAACATCATCTTGATGTCTGCCTGGGCTGTCTACGAATTGTTCCATTCACTCATTGGAGAAACATTTGCCTCCTTCATGGCATCGAATTATAGGGTCATTTGGGTGCTTGGCGAACTCTTCAATGCATACATCGTGGCAGCCGTGACCGAAGAGCTTTGCAAATACTACACCTTCCGATCAGTCGAGCACCCTGATCTCATATTCCTGACCGGGCTTGACCGAAAATCCCACGACGAGCATGCCGCGGATGGAGGTCTCATTGCATATCCGTTTGCATCTCACAAAGTCAGTAACCTTGCACGGAGCAAGTCATTTGACACGCAAAGGTCGGAGGAAGAGAAGCTCAAGAGGATGCTTCCGTCCAACAACACTGCCGAAGAATTCTACGAGGACGAAAACGATGTCCGCACGTACAGGCAGAAAGCAGCAGCTGTGACAACCGGAATGATCAGTGTTGCTGTAGGTCTCGCTTGCGCCGAAAACATGATGTATGTCTTTCTCCTTGGTGGGGCCAGAGGTAGCGCCAATGCTGAGCATCGCGGAGACGTTTACGAAGAATGGATTGTCCTCCTCTTCCGTTCAGTCTTCCCCATTCACGCGCTGGCCGCGGCTCTGCAGAGCGTCAATATGGTACGAAAGTTTGTTGAGGGCTCAAATCACAACAATCATAGGATAGGAGTTGGCCGAATCGTTCTCCCGGCCGTCATTTTGCACGGTACCTTTGACGCTATCCTCATGGGAATCAACGTGTACGTTGAATCTGCATGGGACGCTTACCTGGAAGAGAACGAGGGAAGAGTTGGAGAAGGCGAGCCCTACAACCCGACAACAGTGAACTTCGCTGCCTGGTGCAGCATCTGCATGGTGACACTGATCGGGTTTATCTGGTACATCCGAGAGAACCGAGCACAGCATTTGCGGCTGATTTTGCTAGAAGAAGAGGAGTGCGAAGATCAGGCTTCTTACATTAGTCCTCCAAGCATCGCACACAGCAGCAATAGAGAGCGAACTAGGTCGTCGCAAAAGCTGCGGAATGTGTGAGTGGGTCAGCAGTTAGCTGTGGCCATGCAAGTTTTGCTTCAGTTCCCTTCCTGGCTTGGCAGGGAATTCATCAGCTGCACAGGGTGGGTTTACAGCCAGCCACCCGCCACCCGCCACCCAGCACCCAGCCAGTCATCACCTGGCTTACTTTTTCAATGGCTACTAGCTTCTTCTCTGGCTAGTAGGCGAATTCGCTGATGGGTTGATGAATCATTCAGCCCGTGAATTCTCGGACAAGGTTTGCTAGCTAGCTACTATAGGATAATCGTCTACCCCAGCTAATAGATCTGCGGAACTTTGCAACCAGCCAGCTATATAGCAAGTGCTACCTAGACTACATGCAGTAGCATACTATAGCTGTAGCCAGTTCACTCTTTCGTTGGTGGGAGCCACTGGCTTCCCCAACTATCGACGGTACTAGCTAGTACCGGTACAGTACTAGTACTAGTACGGTACGTAGCTCCTTCTCATTTATTTCTCATGCGGGACTATTTTGGCACGATTCTCAGGGTTCGGAAGTTCGTCTCCGCTGGCAAGTCTTGATTCGATAGTGGATCTCAGCTCGATTTGCCGCTGGTTGTGCTAATAAGTCCTAACCAGTACAGGCACATGTATGTGAATAGAGAGGAGAGTCATCGGTCATCGAACGTGACCAGATCTTACGCCAGTTCGCGGGGTGGCATTAGGTGCCTTGAATTCGGAACCAAGACCCATCCAAAACCTGTTGTTGGCCTTGGCCGCCAAACCCCAGGATCTCACAATCCAGGACCATTCCAAAGAAAACATCACTTCAAAGGCAACCATGAAGCTCAGTCTCTCTTTAGCTTTGCTCGCAACCGCATGGGCCAGTTTGTGCCTGGCGTCCGAGGAGCCATCATTGCGTCGAAGAATAGAGGGCACCGATAGCGACGAGCCGCACTTCCCCTTCCAGAGCAAAATTGTCGGAGGCAGCATTGCTGATGCGAAGAACTACGAATTCTCTGTCTACATTGGTGGCTGTGGTGGCTCATTAATCTACGAAGACATCGTTTTGACAGCCGCACATTGCCAGCCGATCTATCCAGATGACCTACGAGTTGGTGGCAGCAGCAAGAACAACGGTGTGAAAACGGACGTCGTCGGCATTGGCACTAGGCATCCTCTGTACGACGACTATTCCCAGGATTATGACATCATGGTGTATAAGCTTGCTACGGCTATCACAGACAAGAAACCAGTTGTTCTGAACAAAGAATTCAGCAATCCATCGCCTGGAGACGCCCTCACCGCCATTGGTTTTGGGGCCACCTTTGAAGGTGGATTTGGTTCAAACAGCTTGCGAGAGGTGGTAATAAACCATGTAGCACACGACACTTGTAACGTTGCGTATCGAGGCCAGGTGGTGGTAAGTTCATGGCCTTGTTCCAAAAAGTCACAGTGGCTGCAACGTTCGAATCTAACGGTTAGTTCATCTCCTCTGCTTTCGGAACGACAGGAGGACATTATGTTTTGTGCTGGTGTGAATGGTGGCGGCAAGGACACTTGTCAGGTTGGTACCATGCTAGCGAACGGGTAGCCATAGATTTGCCATTGTCCATATTTGTGCTTACCAGTCGCTTCATACAACACTCTACCAGGGCGATTCAGGAGGACCAATTGTGGACGGGAATGGGGTACAAGTTGGAGTCACCTCATGGGGGAATGGGTGTGCAAATCCTGGATTCCCAGGAGTCTACGCAAGAGTGTCAGCAGCGTATGATTGGATCCAAGATCAAATATGTGACTTGTCAGCCAATCCTCCTGCATCCTGTAATGGGAATGGCAACTCAAACGGTAACTCCAATGGTAACTCCAATGGCAACTCGAATGGCAACTCGAATGGCAATTCCAATGGCAACTCCAATGGCACTACTCCAACTCCTACGCAAGCACCAACCCCAGGGACCACCGCAGGCAGCACAAATGGCAACAGTGATCTAATTCAACCTAAGGGTATCACGCTGCAGGTGGATATCAATTATGATAATTATCCAACCGAGAATGCCTGGGTACTTTACAATGATGACACCAAGGAGGAGTTGTTTTGGTCGAACTATGGCGAAGTGACAACCTCTGGTCTCCAATCGATGCGGTTTCCTGATTTGGTTCCGGGAAAGTATGTCTTCTTGATGCTGGATGAGTTCTGGGACGGAATCTGCTGTGAGTATGGCAACGGATTCATCCGAGTATATGAAGTCTTCCCTCCAGAAACCGGCCGAGGCGAGGAACTGCGCTGGAGCAGCGACGGCAAGTTTGTCAATGCAGTGGGGGCAGCCTTCTGGGTGCAAGAAGCAGACGATAGACGATCTCTGTCGGGAATACTGGTTGATGAAGACGGCATCAAGGACTCTCCATACTTGCCGTAGACTTGATAGTTGTTCATACAGTAGTCTAGTACATCGGGTCTGACTCTCAGCAAGAAGCAAACAATGCTATTGAGGCGGCCATTCTTAGAATCGAATCGAATCTTCCAAAAGGTTCTTGCTATTTCTTTACTCATGAGAACACCACCTTTGGATGATCATTCTTTGGATGACCCATTGGGTCGTACCACTTGTCAGTTAAGTACACGCCCTGCATTACATACCATAGAGGACATCAATTTCTTACTTTTAAAAAGGCCATGGCATTGGGCTACTGGAGTAGCCTAAAGTTGCAGAGAAGAACTGGACTTACATATAATTTAGCCCAGCACTGATGAGTCTCGCAGAGGAGATGAAAGAGTCACGCCAAAACCGAAAAGTTACCACAGAGGCTGAAAGCCTGTGTTTTAGCGATTTGGCAGTTGGTGACCTGTTTCAGTAAAATTTACTTAATCCAGTCACTCTTTGCTAAAATCGTATGAAGAACTGGACTACTCAAGTAGCCGAAAATCTAGACTACTCAAGTAGCCCAATGTGTAGCTAGTGCACTGGGCTACTCAAGTAGCTCAACATCTGATTGTTTGGGCTACTTGAGTATCTCAAAGTTTGAGCTACTTGAGCAGCCCAAACATATGGGCTAAGCAGCCCAAACTGATTTTTGGAGGTTAGGCTACACAAGTAGCCCAAATAGGTGACGTTTTTTGAATGGTGGCATACAGCTATAAGCCACAAGTCACAAGCCAAAACAGTCTAAGTACACTTCCAATGGACACGGCCAATTTGGGCTACTCGAGTAGCCCAAACACAAAGGAGCGAATTTAGGCTACTCGAGTAGCCCAAACGCAAAGGGGCGAATTTAGGCTACTCGAGTAGCCCAAACACAAAGGGGCGAATTTAGGCTACTCGAGTAGCCCAAACACCTTTGGGAGGAGAAGACTTAGCATCATGGAGTGATTTGGGCTACTGTAGCAGCCCACTGAAGGTGATACAGGTAGTGCCTTTAAAGACTTAACTGACAAGTGGTATCCAATGGGTCATCCAAAGAATGATCATCCAAAGGTGGCATTCTCTTACTCACTCAGTACTCTAGCTAGTACCTGGTATCTGATTGAATCATTTAACCACCACCACCAGCCAGCAGGGGCTTGCTGCTGCTTGGAAGAAAGTGCGTAAAAGTACGATGTACTCGTACCGGGAAGGAGCTCTATGAGATTTGGCCTCAACAGTGGTAAAAAGTGAGGTTGCGGAGTTTACGACTGGACCCGTCAATTGCGCGAGCCTGTCACCGGTACCGGTACTGTAATTTAACAGTTATATTTTTATAGCACGAATGATGGCGATAAAGCGGTTAGAATGCAGTTGGTTTTCTCCACCCAAGAGCAATGCAAGCTCTTCTGCTGGTTTCGTTGAAGTGTTGAAGTAAAAAGAAATTGGAGCACGGGCCCTAGTCATAAGGCCGCTCTCTACCGGAGGGACTAAAGTAGCGACTAAAGGAAACCTTTAGGTGGTTGTTTAGTTCAAGATTTAGTCATTATCCTTTAGTAATGGTGGTGTCTACCAGCAGATGACTAAATCTCGGACTAAACAATTTAGTCCAGTTTTTAGTCAAAACGTGGTGTCTACCGTGGCGACTAAACAAACACCGCGACTAAATCCATTGCAGGGTGCTGGACTTAAAGGACTCAAAAAAGATGTAACGGACTCAAACAAAGACTTAAAAGAAGGGATTAAAGGACTCAAACAAAGACTTAACAGAAGTGATTACTTTTTTGAGATAACAAGACTGAGATAACAAGACTCAAAACACACCATTGCCATGCACCTCTCCTCTGGATTGTTCGATCGTTCGATCGTTTGCACCTCTACTACTACTATACCGGTACTACTACTATCATTGGATAGGCCGAGAAATGAAAGCCATCCCTCACTCCATACTCTGCAATGAGGGATGGCTTTCTATTCTCAACCGAAGACTGTCGGCTTGATAAAGTGCTCTTCGTCGTTTGCACCTCTACTATCGGTTGCACCTCTATCGTACTATCGGCCGATACTCCTCTTCGATCCTTCGATCCTTCGATCGTTCAATCGCACCTCTGCTCTATCAGCTCTGTCGCAATGCTCTGATAGTGAGGCTGTGCAATGAGGCTGCTGTTCTTTTTTAAAGTGCTGTTCTTAAAGAGTTCTTAAAGAGGCTTTAGTCGTTACGCTCGCTCACCGACTAACCAGCCTCCGGTTAGTCGGTGAACGAACTTTGTGACTAAACCCTTTAGTCCGTGGGACGTTTAGTTGCTTGGGTAGACACCACCCCCGGAGACTAAACTATGGACTAAACTACGAAATATGGCTTAGTCGCTACTTTAGTCCCTCCGGTAGAGAGCGGCCTAATGTTTAAGTCATTTATTTCTTCACAGCTTCAACCACATGTATCATGGCGACAGCGGGGAGAAAAATATAAGCACACACCGATTTGACCTTGTTGAATCTGAGTCATCTGTATTTCTCTGACGCTTGTTGACAAATTCCTCCTGCCGTAGTGGTGCAATAATGCTTTTCATTTCAAGTTCTGAACCATTCGCTATTTGTGAACATTTTGGGGTGAAGAACACTGAGGATCAACATGAAATTTATCACCGCAAAAAGCTTTTCTTGACGTCAGAAAAGAAACATTTATTATTCGCTGAATTCCGTGGATCTGACGTGGTATTTGGAAACCATTAAAAGCTGTTTTTACCTTGGTTAGACGGAATAGTATGTGGCTTTGTGTAGCTGCTGGTACCGGTAACAGGAGGAATTGATTCTATTTGATGGATAACGTTCGAGCCTCGGCGGGTTCGGGTTGCGTCGTTGCCTCAGCCCGAAACACCTGCTGTTGCCCCTGGGAAAGTTCAGAGAGTTCCGGGACTCTGGCTTCTGTGGGTAGCCACGAAAAGACCCCTGAACCGCCGAATATGCGGTGCGTATGTATTGGTCACAGTTTCTCATTAATCCAAAGGCGAAAACGAAATCTTTTGCGCAACAATCAAACAATACCGGTAGAGGGCCGCCATTCTACCACTTATTACCAGCAAGCTTTTGACTTTGACCATGATGAACGTCCCTGCCCATATTGTCCGTGCCAATGGCACCGCCGTTTCCATGTTGATGGAGGGGCGCGAGGACGAGAGCGTAAAACTTCTCCATAAGACGCTCAGCGAATTGAGAGAGTTGGTCTTTTCCATGGAAGAGGACAACGATGATGATGAAGTGCTCTTGCCGCCACCCTCCGTCGTTCTCCAGAGCATCAAGATACCGTTCGATTCGTCGCCGTCATTGAATGTTGGTGCGTTTTCGTTCTTCAATCGAGCGATTGTCATGCCCGCAACAAGTGACGTGACCATGGACCAATTCAAGTTAGGAGCGATCCTTCTTTACAATGCAGGTTTTTGTTGCCACTTGAAATTGATGCAAACTGGCTTGTCTCGGGACTTGACAAGAGCCCTGGGCTTCTATCGACATGCCTTTCAGCTTCTGACCGACACGGATGCGATCTTGGGGATCAGCGACGACGACGCTCTGTTGGTTCTCTCCCTTGCCAACAACATGGGTCACTTGCATTCGAGCCTCTTTGATCGAACTGCGTCCCGAACGTGCTGGGACATGATGCAGAACCTCTTCCCGGCATCTGCAGAAGAAACGATCCTGGACGACGACGATGCTCTCTTTTTCTATCTTGCAACCTTTCTCGTCCCCTTTGACCACTTATCCGCTTCGCCTGCGGCGTAAGCTTACTGATACATACCATATCATACAGCCGGACCTCACGACCTCACACACCGAAGAACGCACCTCAGTCAAGCTTGCATGAATGAATATACCTTGCACACATCATACGCACAGCATCACAAAATCAGGGGCTGTTTCTTTTGATTATCTTCTCTTGTCTCTGAATTCCTCTTTGGCTTCTTCCTCGTTAGACTTGCAAATCCCCCCAAGTAACTAAAACTAAAACTAAAATAGACCAACACATACAAAGTAAAGAGCTTCGCCCCTTCTTCTTGACTACAGAACTCGTAAGGTACGCTACTCTCGCCATTTACTGGCTAGCTAGCACTAGTCTACTAGTCTAGCTAGAGTACCAGTATCTTTTGACTTGTCGAGCGACGATCACGTCTGTTTTGGGGGGTGCACGTACCGGTGCAGCAATACCGTTAGTCAATACCGTTATTAATTGCAATGACAAACGGCTCGCTGAGGATTGATCCATTTCTTTGACTAGCTTACAGAGCTTCCATGCAAGCACATCAAGCTTTCTTGGATCTTTTTTCCTAAACAATTGTTTTATTTCTGCAGTTTGGCCATGTTTGGAATAACCGTTCTGATGCTGGTACTGGCAGCGTCTCACCATCCTTCAAAAAACATGTTGTCAAGCACTAGCAGTATTGAGAATCTTGCCAAAGATGTGGAAGTCCAAGGAGGCTACGCATTGCTTTCACTGACAGAAGATCAGCAGAGAATCATAGCCAAAGGATTCCACCAAGGCAAACAAGCGTTGGATACCATCCGATCTGCTCCCAGTAACGGTACTACTAGTACCATTAGTACCAGTCCAGTGCCGTGCAAGTGCATAGGACCCACGGAAGACTCCGCCCATGCCAGTGGATACCACCCTGCCGCTTCGATCAATTCCATGTCTCGATACAACGCTTTTCGAGAAGGTTTTGTCTTTAGTGATGGAGACATGTTTGGATTTGATGGTGGTGGTGCTAGCAGTAGCAGTAGCAGTAGCAGTAGCAGTAGCAGCAACCGTGATTTTCTGCCAGCCATGAAGGAACTGCAAGAATGTCTTCATGATATTGCGAATGATGCACTGTCGGCAATTGAAGACAGTCTGGATCTTCCGCACAATTGGTTCCAACAGACGTTTCATCACCACGAAGATCACAGTCAATGGCATCTCAAACGATATGTCTGCGAGGACTCTACTAGTAGTAGCAACAACAACAACAACATCAACGATGATGAAAAGAAACAACAAGATGAAACAGTCATACTGCCACAGCATACGGATCCATCTCTCCTTTCCGTTGTCATACTCGACCAGCCGGGTACAAACCCTGGTGCCATGGGTCTGCAACACTTTCGAAAAATCCCTGACCAAGAAAAGAGAGAATGGACCGAGTTGCCTCTCCACGGACACGCGGTTGCCGCCATTTTCATTGGATCCGTGCTCTCCTATATTACCGGTGGAAAATGCCCCTCGGTAAAGCATCGTGTCATTCAAAAGGAACTGGTTCAGGAACGAATGGCAGCCACTTTCTTTTTGCGGCCCAAGGGTACGGCAGTCCTTCAAGTGCCACCGGCAAGAGCCTTGGCAGGAGTGACGCTAAAAAAGCAACAAGTCACATTTGATGCTTGGAGCTCGAGGGTCTCCAAAAACTATATGAAGGGAAAAGCAACCAACAAGCAGCAGAAGAATGGAAACAACAAGAAACAACCCGACAATCAGCAACAACAACAGCAAACGCGTTACTATCGAGACGAGTTCACCGAAGTATCATTATTTGGGTACAATGATCCAGAGGATGATGGCAACGATTCCAAGAATAAGAGACTAACGGGACGTGAAAAGTATCTAGGTGGAGAAATAGGATTGAACGGGAAAATCTACTGCATACCCGGCCATGCTAGTCGGGTCTTGGTGATTGATCCTTCCACAGATCCTCCCATCATCAAACATATTGGGCCGGAGTTCAAGGGAGAATACAAGTGGCTGAGAGCGGTGCGGTTGCCTTCGGGTATAATCCTGGGTCTCCCTTGTCACGCGGATAGCATACTCCGCATTGATCCCGAAACAGACGAAATCTCTACGATCGAATGGGATGACCACCCCATGGCACCCAAGCGTGGATTGCCATGGAAATATCATGGTGCTGGATTGTCACCTATCGACGGTTGCCTATACTTGATTCCACAGTTTGCCGAAACAGTACTCAAGTTTGACCCAACCACAGAGGCTGTAAGCTTTTTTGGCGGTCCCTTTCCCGGTGAAGGAAAATGGTACGGTGGCTTGGTTGGACCCAAGGATGGAGGTAAGTGAAGTTGGCATTCACCCAAGGTATTGTATGTTTGTCTTCACTAACCTCCGTACCGTACGGTATCCTCGTGATGCGCTGGTACAGCTATCTATGGCATTTGTCAGGTGCGTAGTCGAGTGTGCAAATAGAGGAAACCTGCAATTTCGTTTGTGCGGAACGTCCTGACAAAGCTGCTTCTCTCTGCTGTCTGCATACAATTGAATCGAATCGTCCAGAACGCCAGAGGCGTGCTTCGAATTGATCCAGCAACACAAACAGCAACAATACATGGTAACTTTGGGGAGGGAAAACACCTCTGGCATGGCGGGACGCTCGGAACCGACAATGCTATTTACGGAATTCCTGCAAACGCAGATACCTGCTTGAAAATTGAACCAGGCAACCCACCTATAATCAAAACCTTTGGCACGGTGAGAACCGGGCAGCACAGATCGGATGGAAAATACAAGTTCTTGGGCGGGGCCAACGGAGACGATGGAAATGTTTATTTCTTTCCATCAGATGCAGATCATGTTGTGCAGATCAACACCAAAACAAACGAGGTAAAAGAAGTCGGTCCTAACTTGCGTGATCTGGTCAAGATACACCAGAACAAGTGGCAGAATGGATTCACTGCCAAGCATGGATTCCTTTACGGCATCCCACTGGCAAGTGCAAAAAATTTTGCGTGTACCTCCCATGATGATGGCAGCATGCCGCTCACAGTTCGTTGTTTCTGCATCTCCAGAAAGGAGAAAAGATTCTCCGGTAAGTCCAAGGTTACAAGTTCTGGCGTATGGCTTTCAGGGACACTAATGTAATTTGTTTTCCAGTGTTCAAATAAAGCCGGGGGGTGATGTCGAAGTATCGACGACTGCAGGACCATTCAAAGGCCTGAATCTTTGGGAGGGAGGGGTGCAGGACGTGGTAACAGGTGACATGTATTGCATGCCCCTGAATTGTGCCGATGTGCTCCGCATTAGACCACTCGACCCTAAGACTTTGTAGAATTTTCAATGCTTCAGGTGATTGGTGGTGCAAACACCGGGAGGCACGTAGTGCAATGGCCTTATCATACCGTACGGTCCCAGGCGAGAGGGCAGAAAAGTCGCCTCAATTCCTCTCGAAGTGGTATGCTTTCGATCGAAAGACCTATTTACAGCCTGTGGGTAGCTATTTCTAGGAGAGAAGAAATTTTACTTCCACTTTCTGGGCAAAGGTGTTGTGGCAGCGTTCGAGGATTTCCCCTTTCGGTGCCGACATCAGCGGGAGGATTGTGTTTCACGATCTAACGCCATCCTTACCATACATCAGCAACGAGGCAGAATGGCATCTTTTCTAAAGGTAGCTATTTCTGCCATGGCTAATACCGGTATGGAACAACAATGTACCGCAAGAAGCAGTGCGTGCACGACCGTCCATCATTGTGGATCTGCCTGATCGTCTTGGCTGCTCTGGTTACTCGAGCATTGTGACCGTGCCCTGCTCCTCTTATGTTCGAATTTCACCACGGTGGGCACTCACGTTTTCGTTCAAACGCAGTTACGGCCACCATGACATCAGGCTGAGCAGTGATGCACTCTGTGCGGTAACCTTAGGCTCCGAGTCCGAAAGCATATTCCTTGATATCGAAAGGATTCTTTCCTTTTCTGGTAAAATGCTCTCCAGTAGAAGCTGCCTCTCTTGATCTTTCCCATCTATCGCCTTGCTCCCAGCTCGAGCAACTAGCGAATGCAGCAACTTCACGGAAGACAGTCGCACTTTCCAAAACTTTCTGTCTTTCCGACCCTGGTCTGCGCTTTCCACTATTGCAGAAGGTACTCTGTGGTCGCGCAAAGCCTGAGCGTGGCATTTTGAAGCCAAAGATGAAAGACACAGGCGCGAGGCTTCTCGGACTGTCCAAGCAGCTTGCTTTTCACCTCCTGCCGCCAGCAGCATTGTTGTCAACTTGAGAACATTTGCAGATGGACACTCTTGGACTTCTGCTTGTGTTCCCATCGATTGCCAAAAGCACACGCCAAGGCAGTCTATCGCTCTAGCAACGAGGACGGGAGGCTCGTCGGCCTTCTTGGAGCAATCTGCATTGGAGTCTTTGCCGTGCGGTATGCTGCACATGGATATCAGATTGGGAGAAAGGCTACGATATAGCTCTTTCTTGAGTTCTGTCCCCCGTGAACAAGTTTCGGATTCAACCAGGCTGGCCAGCATATCGCGCAAGCCTTTAAACGCGGCTACCCTGTAGGGGAGAAATTCTTCAGAATCCGCAATGGTCTTCGACACTTCACCTGGCATGGCCTGATCCAAAAGAAAGAGGCATATCCCAGCAAAAGTCGGAACTCGGGATTCTTTCAACGTTGCGGCCTCGGCATTGCCATTGCGGCCTTCGTCTTCACTGTCGAGAAGCTTGTCGGCGTCTTCAAAGTCAAGCTTTTGGCCTTCGGCACTGCAATCAGCATCAACTTCCATAGCGTCTGTCGTCTCTTGCTCGACGTTGTTCTCCACAGTTACTTCGACTGTGTTTTTCAGTCGAAACCAACCATCGCCGACAAACAGGTCTTCTCCGAAGCCGCTCAGCGTTACCGAAATTGGCTGGAACGGGCACTGGCCAGGGCCAGTCCAGCCGAAAAGACTTTCTTCGGTTGAATCCTTGTCAAGAATGGCAGAATTCCATTTTCCTGCAATGGAAACCACAGAATTGATCACCTCATTCTTTCCTGTCCATAGTCGTGATTTTGAAAGCAAATTGAGGCCAGTCGATAAGGCACGATTGGTTGCTTCTGCTCTTCTCTGGGATCGTTTGAGTGAATAGGAATCTGAGTTGCTTGTTGGAGAAGTGCTTCGCGGGCATGGTGACAGCACACCAGAGTTGCAAAGATCCACAAGAGCGGAAGCCCCCGCAACTCGACGTAGCCATGCGTAGCCGTTGAGAGCATTACAGCACTCTTCCACCAGATACGGCAGTAGCTTCTCTTCGGTCCCCCCAAAGCCATCATCACCTCCAGCTTGTGAGCTTGCGTACGACAAATCTATTTGAATGGACCCCTCGTCCCAGACCTCTCTCCAAAGGCCGGCAACTTTGTCGTCGTCGTCTTTCATCCCCAGAAAGGCAACTGGCAAAACGCGCCTCGCCCAGATATTACCGGGCCCGCCGTCCGAAAGCTGATTGGATGCTCTGACCGCAATGCTTCGGAGAGCTGAAGCACTGGCCCTTCTGGAAGCAGGATCGTCATTGTTGCCAGTGGCCGTGCTGTACTTATCGCATAATTTCTTAGCCAGCACACGGACACTGCTGCCCGGGCACAGGGCGGCCAAATTCCCCAGAGAGTGTATCATTTTGTCACGAGCTCCTTGACCACGCTCTCGTTCAGATGCAAAGTAGAGAGCCCGTAGCAGTCGGACCGAAGGATTCATATTTCCAGCGCCCGAGAAGTTGAATGCGTTCGGGCATGATTGTGTAAGAGATGCCACAGCATCAGCAGTGGCAGCTCTGCTGGCAAATCCCACAGATTGTCTTAGTGCGGCATCAAGCTGGGGCACAACCTGTTTTTGAGTCTCAATGCTCACGGAGGGAAGCATGCCAAGCAGCTTGGTCACAGCAGCTGCCAAGGGACCACTTTGCGCCAAACGGAGACGCACTCTTTCAAGATTTTCATAGGAAAGAGCAGAGTTAGCATCGTGTGAACCTGACCGTACTTGTAGATAATTCAACGCAGATGGCTCCAAGCTCGACATGGAGAGGAGCAAAGACAGCAGCAAGTCAGGAATGAGCGGTTGTAGAATCTTTGGTTGAACGACATCAATGATTTCAACCAAGCAGGAGAGGCAGATTCCGGTTGCCTCGGCACACTTTTGATTCAAACCATGCTTGATTAGCCATCTCAGTACAGTTGCAGATGCCGCGCTAGCATTCCGCTCGTGACTTTCAATTGCCTGCTTTCCAAGCCTAGTCCCATCCGGGGCTTCTTTCAAAGTGCGAGTGCACAACCTGATGGAGAGCCCTCGCATTGTGCGCGCGAGGGTCTCCCCCGCCTCTCGTACATTCCCTCGCACATCATCAAGAGCCCTCATCGCCACCCTAAAACGGACACACTAGGTTAGTCAGTTATCCCGGAATGGCAAACATCAAACATCGAAAAACGACATGACATACCGAAAGAGTCGAAGGATCCGGATCCCCGCTGTCAATCTTGACGTTGAAGCATGAATGTCATCATCGTTAATCACAGCTTTTCCGGAACCAAGATCATCCCATGATCGGCCAACAAGAATCTCAGCCAATGCACCACATGCCCCTGCTCTTGCTCGCCATAGCTTGTTGGTGGCATCTTCAATCAGTGTGTCCACAGTGGGGAGAAGATGTTCCGTTATTGCTGCACGCGACTCCGACCCCCCTCCCGTAAGTCCAACCCAGAGGGAACTCATTTGATCTCGAGTTTGCTTCTGGGGATCGTGAGTGGCACGAAGGATTCGGGGAAGAAGTTTCCCCAAGTGCGGTCTCAAAGCTTTGCGCAACTCTGAGGAGTTTGTGCGGCTTCCAACAATTGAGTCTTCGCCAAGAAGAGAAGACGCGTTGTACTTGTACTTGTTTGACCCCGTGAACCAGGCTGGATGGGATATTGAAAGAATCAACAAGGCATACAGGACATCAGTTCTTCCAAGGCTAATGGCCGCAGCTGCCATTTCCTTGTAAGAATTTAGTGCTGCTTCTCCAAGACCTGAAGCTCCGCCAACCTCGCTTCCTTCCCCAAATTGTTCCATGCCGGTGTTGACCTGTCCGCTTTCGCCACTTTCAGCTGCTCTCCGTTGCGCAGCCTGTTGAGCCGTCTCCTGATATGCGCTACCGCCATAATTTGAAGTTTGACCAAAGGCCCTCAAGAGCCTACTATTCAATTCCTCGGTACCCATGTCACGCACTCCTTCAACATTGACACTCTTTGTAAGGCCTCGGCACGCAGCCAGCCCGAGGCAACAGCTCTCCCGAGACAAGTGTTTGCTCTTGGGATCGGAGAGGAGTCTGATGAAAACAAGTTGGATTTCGCCCAATTGCCTCTTGATCTCTAAAACTAGACTTCTCTGCGCATAGCTCTCGTTCTTGTTCACCCCTCTACAAGCTCGGGCCACAATTCCCAGCATGGCGGGAGCACATGCCGTCCTCTTTTGGGGGCTATTCGATGGATAGATTTTGCGGAGAAGAGTGTACAGAACTTGTCCATGCGGGGGAAGTTCCCTTGCAAAATTCTCATCGTAATCGGTATCTTTCGGCCATTCTCTGTCTGGGGAGCTCCATACGGCGCCACTGTGGATCGCGTCAGCGTAGTTCCCCAAAGCTTCCCCAACAGCCAGTGCAATCTCTTCATCTGCTCGGAACGCGGGAGAGCCAAGAAGCGAAAATAGTGCTTCCACACACGTCAACCGAGCTGGACCAAGATCCAAGGAGCCGTTTTTGCTGTTGGAAACTACACCAGCACCAGAGGTTGAAGCGGCAAGACATATTCCAGCGGCCTTTACAATCTTTGCGACCCGCGGTGCATCAACGTGATCGATGCTACTGAACTTTTTCAAGCCACTCGCTAGGTTGCCGATGGCGGACGCACTTGCTTCGTACATCCGTTGGTCCAAAATGGGCGCATCCAAGGAATCATAGGCGAAAGCTGCCGCAAGCGCATCCGCACAAGAGTTGGCAACAATGTCATCGGAGTGCAAAACACCCTGCCCCAACGCAGCAACAATTGCTGATGCGTTCTTCCAGCACTCCTCCTCCGATGGAGATGCCTGTGTTGTTGGATTGGCGGACGACCTGAACGCACAGATGCACTGTGCACCGAGGAATGAGGCTCCATGGACTGCTCCCGCTCCAGAGTGATTTTCAATCCCTTTGAGTTTCGAGGCGCAAGTTTGGAGCGTAGAGAGCAGCTGAGTTCGTTGTAGCCATGTTTCCACACCAGGGGTACAATCCCCATCTTTAGCCTCGGTTGATTGCCATAGATCGGTGTCGGCGTACAGACGAAGACAACAGTTTGCAAGGTGACGACGGGCTCGCGATGAATTTACCGTCAGCGCCAAGAATTCAATGTCTTTGAGTGAGAGAGACACCTCGCCTTGATCAGCCGACGAAGAAGTCACAAGCAGATTCCGAGCGTACTGCGAAGTGGTCAGAGTTGCCAGGAGCCCTCTCGTTAATTCTTCTAGCAAAACCACAGCCTCCCTTCCTCGGGCCTTTGAACCAACAGAGGTCCCATCTGCCTTGGTTCCAAAGAGAACCAAAGTGTCGGCCAACGTTGCGACGAATACCTTCAGTGATTTTTCATCCCCATGGTACATGTCGCTGAAGAGGCAAACAAGGCCAAAGCGAATTGCAGCGGCTTTGCCGGAAAATGACATGTCCCAGTACTGAGGGCGCCAGTATGCGGAAGAAGATTTCTCGTCCCTTGTTGCAGGAAACACAATTGAAATGTAGTCACCAAAGCCGGGCAACCATTCGTTGTCATCTTTCGAGGAAGCGTCGTCATGGAGTAGGTCGTCGTCGTCAGAAGATGCGATGGATAGTTTGCTTGGGAGGCCAAGCCCTTCTCTAGCGATGGTGGACGCTGTAACATCAGAGTCCCCTGCAAGAAACACAAGAAGGTGGCAAGCGCTTGTTACATCTATCATCTTTATGAGGTCACTGGCCCACCTGGACGCGGCAACTCTCGATGCCTTTGCCGTTTGGCTGGCGCTGGCCGACCACAGAAGGGGGAGGAGTGATTTGACCACAGAAAGATTGTCCCGTTCTTTATTGTCGCTTTGGTGATTCCCTGCCGATGTAGATTGTTTCACGTCTGACACGGTCGCCCATGGATTTGAAGGAGCCTCAGAAACAATTGCAGCCCGTTCTTCGGGCTTGTCCTTAACCAGAAAAACGCGGCAGTATGCTCCCAGTAAGGCGTCCAGAGCAGCGACGGCCCTAGGTCGTAGGCGGTCAGCTTCATTAGTGGCACATCCAAATAGGAGTGAAGCAGTGTCAATGGATACATTGCCGCTAGTGTCGGAGATGTTCGGGTCACCGCGAGTAAAGATGTAGTTTTCTCTGGCCAGCACAAACTGAGAACGAGACAAAGAACACACCACTCCATAGCAGGCATCCCGAATGGTAATACTGCCATCGTTGGACACAACACCAGAATTGGACGTCCTGGAAACAGGCGTGGATGCTGGCGCCAAGACGAAACATGCCGTTGCCAATGCTCGTGCCATCAGTGTCAAGGTTGCCGATTTGAGCTTTTCTTCGGTATTGCTCTTTTCGTTCACCTCGTCTGTTGACAATACAGAATCGTAGAAAGTGGCTAGTCGGACACAAAGGACATTCAACAGCCCAGCAGCCGCCACAAATGGCCTTGCCTGTAACGCCGAAAGCCCTGAAGAAGTCCTCAGGTTGGATAGAGTTCGTTGTGCAACCAAGATTGACAGCGTTGCCATTTGCTGAACTTCCACTGCTTGCCTGAACAAGTGTGGGTTTTCTTCCAGAATCTTTTCCCCGACATACTTCATTATTGTAGCCGCGGTGGACTCCACGACCGCGCGCCGTTTCAATGAGAGGATTAGCTGTGAAGAATCTGTACTAGAGGATTCCTCTGGTGTCATCCCAAGCCATGCATTGTTGCGGCTATTGCCAGCTGAGGCCGAGGCCATGGCACTCTCTGCATTGGTCTGCCCGAGCGCTAGTGCCAACAACCCACAGGTGAGACGGAGTGGGTCCCCCACAGCAGTTGCAGATGATGTTGATGGATCTGATTCATTCTCTTCAGTCGAGCTGGAACCCCTTTTAGAATCATGGTGCATCTTCAGATATGTAGTCGCCCGCTGTGCCACTTCTGGATTCGGATCCCCCGTTGCCGCCACTAAAAGGGCCACGGTTCTGGATACACTTGTCGTGTTGGTGCTGGATGCAGCAAATATGGCCCACCGTCTGCTAGGAGCAATAAAATCTAGAAGAGCTAATTTGAACTCCATCAATTTCATGGATGGAGCCTTCTCGGCTGCCCAATCTCGCTCGCTGGTAGAGCTTCCAGACTTGAGGCGCTCGTGACCTGCTTGTGACAGCCCATTCGGTGGCACGTTGCCTGCAACTGTCTGATAGAGAATGCCATCTAGTAGAAGATCAAAGACAGCACCAGCCACCCTTTGGTCCTGTTCACATACTTTTCTGGCCAATGTCATGGAGGTATCTTTGGCAGGCTCATTTTGTGTTTTTCTGGACTTATTCATCCCCAACAAAGGCGACTTGGACAATTTGTTTTCGTCCTCCACCATCCATTCAATTGACCTTAGGAGCAAGTGTCCAACTTGGTTGGATTGCATCTTTTTGGCGGGTGTTCGAATAGCTGCGAGGCCTGAATAGTGACCAACCAGTGCAAGCAATGAGGGTAGCAATGCTTCTACTTCGTTGTGCGTGGAACTTCGTGGTAGCCCAAGCGTAAGGAATGCCAACGCCAAGTTGAGCGTGAACGGATCGACATTTGTTTTCGCTTTGGGTATGCTTTGTGTGTCCGCTACCGTTGGGGTTGTCGCTTGTTCCTGAATTCTACCAGCTTGATCATTGGTGGACATTGTTATTGAAGAAGTACCGGTAGCAGTTTCTTCTTCGAGCAAAAGTTGAAGGATATCTTTACAGGGCAGCTTGCAGGCTTTGTCATCTCGCACTCGCTTCATGGTGTGCCCCAGCATTTCCACCAACTTGGCGTGGATCTTGTCATGAGTACTTCTCAGTTGATTATCTGCAGAATCGCGAGCCAGTTTGAGCTGCTGTTGGTGGTTGTCGCCAATTCTCTTGAGTAATCTCGGAAGCAACTTTTCTAAAACCTGTTGCAGGCGCTCTGAGGAATCTACCAGGGCGAGTTTATGAGACACACGGCCCAGGCTGGAAAGCTCTGATGCAGCCGTCTTTTGCCTCTCTGCCAATGATGGCGGCTCGGCGGCAGCCGACGTCATGATCCCTTCTATTATCCAATGGATCGATTCAACGGATCTTTTCGTATTTCGTTTAGCAATGCTGGGAACTGATTTTAATGGCTACTAGCTAGTACTTCATCAAGTCTTACTCTGGAGTAGTTGCTTTGCTTGCTTTTCTTTTTGTATCGGTTTCCTTATTCATTGTGAAAGCTCCACGAAGGAAGACGATGCGGTCCGAACTTGTTTGGCTTTCAATGTTCGTCCTGTGGCTAGATCTCGTCGTTCAAAGAACCCCATCGAACATTCGAGTCAATCGAACCAAGTCGAACAACTACCCACTATTCAAACAGCTCTGCTGGGTTTATATCTCAAGCTTCGTGGAACAGCGGTAAATGGTAAATGGCTCCAAATTGGTGGGTTTATTTCAGTAAAAACGCGATTGTTAAGTTTATGCTTCCAATTCAGTAGGAATTTATTTCTTAGTTTAGAATCAGTCATTTATTTTACTCTTTTGCTCGCATTAACAACGAAAGGGCCCGAAATCAGGATTTACATGTAATTCTGCTTTATATTTGGGTTTCGATTTTATAATTAGGTTTCGATTTTACATTTTGGTTTTGGTTTGATATTTTGGTTTTGGTTTGATTTTACTAGTTATTTACCATAGTAATTTGGTTTCGGTTTTATATTTAGGTTTCGGTTTTATATTTAGGTTTCGATTTTATATTTTGGATTGGAATTGATCAATTTAATTGGATTCTTAAAATCCTGATTTCGGGCCCTTTCAACAACACTGCTACCGGTACGCTGCTGATCCGGTACCAGTACAATGTACTGGTACCAGCACCTCGCGGTAACAGGTGAAAAAGAGTAATTTTGTGAAAAGGTGGTTAAAATGACAGATAGAGGTAAGACATGCTTGCTCACTGTGGGAGAACTGTCTTATTATTGTCTGAAGAGAAGCCTTCTATTCATCAGACGATTTTCAATTAATATTCAGACGATTGTCAGACGATTGCTAAATCCTTGTCAGACGATCACTAAATCCTTGTCAGACAATTGCTACAGTCATCAGACATTATCCGGTAATGGGTACTCCAGTACTTGCTAGTACTTGTATTCAGTACTAGTACCACCGTTCCGAGTCATCGCTGAAAATCGTCTGACAGAAAAGGGCATTCGCCAATAATCGTCTGAAGAAACTGTCTGACGAAATCGTCTTAAGACAGTGGTCAGACGATCGTAAGTTAATTGTCAGACAATTATGGTCATACGATTTTAGCAAAGAGTGACTGGATTAAGTAAATTTTACTGAAACAGGTCACCAACTGCCAAATCGCTAAAACACAGGCTTTCAGCCTCTGTGGTAACTTTTCGGTTTTGGCGTGACTCTTTCATCTCCTCTGTGAGACTCATCAGTGCTGGGCTAAATTATATGTACTTGTGAAACTTTGGATTGTGTTGGCAGGCGCCGTAGATTTCGTTGCGTGTGCTGATCATTGTTTCTGGTGATTCTCGAGAACGTCGAAGTATTTCAAGTCTTTCCTTATTGCAAAGTTGGCAGTGTCGGGTCCGGAAGGTTTTGACACAGCTGATGGGGTTGCCATAGAACGCTCACTTCGACGCTGTTCCGCAGGAGCTCTTTGTTTACCGGTTTCATTCTTTTGAATTGGTCGGCGAAGTGTCTTGCGGATGAGTCCGATTTTTGGTCGTTGTCCATGAGGTTTATGACGTCTTTGAAGTGGTGTCTGTCTTATGGCTGTCTGATATGACTTTTAATGACATGCAGGTTCAGGAAATGGAAATCATCAAAATGTTGATTTTGCTCAAATAAACAAGCCAATTGGAGCTATTTCCCTCGAGGTGCAGTACTAGTACATGTGCTGATACCGGTACTAGCTAGTACCACCTGGTACGCTTCAAGCTTCAAGCGTTTCATGCATACAGCAGTACGAGTCGCAGATACCGGTACCACGAACCCTTGAGCTTGAAGTCTTTCTTTGATGGCTTCGATTGGATCCCGCACGTAGTAGACACAACTGCGGCAAAATGAGGGACGCAATTGTCTTTGATAATTCCAACCACAGCATTTCTGCTGTCGTGGTGGTTGGATTGGGCACCTTCTTCTTGGGTTGGAGATTGCTGCGACCGAAGGGCCGCTTCAATCCTCCCGTGTCAGAGGAACCGATCGATCTGCAAGCTAGTCGGGTCAACGTCGAACACCACGAGCAGTTGCTGTGCTATCAATCGGGAAAACTTAACTTTCCAAAACCACAAGGGAGAGCACCCTTTGTGGAATGTGGATCCTTCTTACCATTTTCGATTGAACCCCAGCATTACGAGACCAATGATAGTGTTGGCGCTACCCCACAGCCAAAGATTGCAATGCGAGAGTTTCTAGAAAAGCATGGAAAACCAGTTGAAGTTAAGAAGGCCAAAGTAAAGACTGTGGCAATTATATACAATGCATTCAGTGGAGCAAAGGTGAATGTACGAGACAAGATCGTTTCCACCTTGGCCAAACACTCCATTGAGGCCACGATTTTCGAAACCAAACATCCTATGCATGCTTGGGACCTTGCAGAGGAACTTGCCGGAGGAAACTATTGTGTCATTGCCGCAGCTGGGGGCGACGGAACACTTCATCAAGTTGTCAATGGATTGATGAGTTTCAGTAAAGCCAACAAGATGCGACCGCCACCCTTTGCCATTCTCCCCAATGGCACTGGCAACGACTTTGCAATGAACCTTGGAGTTTCTAACTTGGACCAAGCCCTACACTGTCTCATTCACGGCGACATTGTTCAAATTGATTGCAACCTGGTGTCTGTTGACAAGGAAACCGATGTTGACATCCCTAAAGATCAAATTCGGGACCGCATGAGATACAGCCTTGCCAGTTCAGCAGCAGGTTGGGTAGCCAACGTCAACAAGAAGGCAGGACCTTTGAAAGAATATATTGGACAAGTGGCATACTCAATCATGGGTGTCACTGAGCTCTTGTTTACGGGCTCCGCTCCCAGCTATACTCTATTGATGGAACAACACAATGGCTCTCAAGTGGTAGTCAAAGACTTGGAGATGCTCCTCTTATTTGTATCAAATGGCAAGTATGCTGGTGGTAAAATTGCATTCACTCCAGCTTCTCTCCTGAATGATGGGCTGCTGGATGTTTCTTACTGGCAGGGGATCGCAACGTTGTTTGAAGCGCTGAAATTTATTTATCAAGCAAAGCATGGGGGTTGCGACCATGTCTACGCTGATTCATATCATTCCTACCGAGCCAAGTCCATTGTTATCACAGTTGAGCCTGCTGGAACAGTATCGGCTGGGCAACAACAAAGTATGAGAGAACACATGTATCAAGTGGACGGGGAGCTCTTGGGTTTCAAGAGAAAAGTGCAGGTAGAGGTTGTTCCCAAAGCCCTTGATGTTGTTGTTGACTTTTCAAAGCTGATGCGTCGGGGACCTATGATTCGGTGATGTCTTGCTCATGTGCACTAGCTACTGATAGCCAGTATCGTCGTAAGACACATGGCAACTTTAGCGAAGCTTGGTTTTAAATCCGGAATCAAAAGTAGAACTCAAGCACTTCCATCGAGGAACACGAAGCCGGTAAACATCTGTAGCGTGTGCTAATTAGGAGCTCTAGCTAGTCTACGCTGCTGAACATTCTGCCACTACAGTGCGACCACATCATAGACACCATCTGTCTGTACTTCGGCACAGTGCCTTCCAAAAGCAGCTGTTGCCTATGGATGATATGGAGGAACGTCAGCTATAGCTGGCATCTGGGTCATTTCTTTCTGCCTCGATCAATCTCTTCACGTGAACAACAAACTTGGCAATGGATTGCTTTCTATCTTTCGCTTCAGAGATCTGCCCATTCTCGACGAAAGAGGTTAGCTCGCGGTGAAGCTCACTTGCAAAGTCATCACCAGCAGGATTCTGCTGTCGTATTTGGTAGATTCTGATTATTGGAGTAAGGACCTGTTCAAATTCTTTATTGACAGCCGTGATGTTCAAATGAAAGGACATGAGGAAGGAAATGGCTGAATATTGATCTGCTAGACCGGCGGCCGCCAGTCGCTCGTGAACAACCACAGCAAATGCATGACGCTGCAGCTGATGTTCACGGTTGCGCACATCCTTGTTTGCCAATTTCACATTCCGGATCAATGACCTGTATTTTTCCACATTGAATGAAAGACATTCAAAGCGAGCAAAGCATTTGCTCTTGGGCATTCTTTCGATATTCTCCAAAGCAGCCTCGGCCCTTTCATCCCAGGCGCCTGGTTGCAGCAAGGGTCGCCAGTGTTCTTCCTGCCAGCCATATAAGACACAATACAGTTCCGTTCCATCATCTGGTTCAATCAGCATATCTTTTCCTCCATAATATTGGTGCTGTGCAGTTTCGTTGTCTATCTTGATGAACACCTCTTGATCTCGAAAGGGGTCCAGTGAAAATTGCACCATCCCACCTAACCGGACCTCAAGCCCTCGGATTTGTGATAATGGGCAGTCCTTCTTGTGCTGCAATGAAGGGAACCACTGATCAACTCGACCTCCATATTTCCCCCTATTGAATTGACCTTCCGCGTATACGGGTGTGCCATTGGGTCCGGTGATTTCAACATGCATGATTTGATTGATCACCATGTCCTTTTGTTTCACCTCGTCCATCAATTCCATCACCTTGCAATCGCGTAAGACTGCTGACACCATGGGAGCCAAGGCCGCCACCGAATCGGACACTGCCGCCACCGAATCAGACACTGACTCCGAAGACTCTGATTGCATTGTTTTTTCTTCTTTCGCTGACCTTTAGCAATGAGCTACTTCTGGGTAGGTACATGAACAAACGCGCAGCATTATGTTCCTGGACTTTGGTGTCTTCCCCGGATGGACGATTTCACGTCGGCATGCTGGCTGCTGTGTTGCATCGCGGGAGTTATTGTCGTGGGAGTTGAACCGTTGGGGTGCGCTGTGCGCTGTCTCACCGTCCCTCGACCACTCGCAAAGCAATCGAATGCCAAATTCCTTCCCCGATCCCAATGCCACCCCTCTTGCTAGCTAATAGCCTACGGTAGCAAACCTTCTCCTTCGCGACGATGGTCGTTCCAAGCAAGATAAGGCAGATGTTATTACTGCTAACATGTCTGGTGGTTCTGCTGCCATTTGGAGAGGTTGAAGGATGGTCTGCTCATTCCGAGCTTTGTCGAAGAAAATTGCTCGCACGAACTTGTGCATCCTTCATTGCAGGAGCAACTGTCGCGACTCCATCGGCTTGTGTTGCCACATATTATGAGCCGTCTACCACTACCAACGAATTGCCATTGGCATTGCGCGACTTCACTAAATTGGCACCCCTGGGAAAGGAAAAGACAATCGACGGAGATGGAAAGACACTGAATCTGTCTCTTACGGAACTCGCGAAACGACTGGAAGAAGATCTCAGTCAAGGCCATACTGGTCAAGGTGGATATTTTATTAGTGCCGACATTGACGAGACGATATTCCGAGACGACTGTGTCTTTGTGGATCCCACCAACCGCGTGGCCAGTCTTTCACAGTATCGCAATGCGCTACGAATACTCTTTGATCCTAACCAATCCACCGTGGACCTGCTGGGTCCGATCGAAATCAATGAACAGGAGCGAACTCTAATAGCTACCATCCGTTCTCAGGGCGTCCTTCAGTTGCCATGGAAGCCCTCTGTATCTCCCTACGAATCCAGCATTGTTTACTCAATTGATGATTTGGGTCTGGTGAAAGAACAGTCCCAGACTTGGAGCAAATCTGCCACAAAGGCCCTACAAGAGAGCTTTACACCGTCCTTCTTTCGGGCAGCTAAAGAAAACTAATAGACTAATGATTATTTCCGCTTCAATTCCTCCATTGAATTGAATTCACCCTGTATGTCAATTGCCTGTTGGTTTTACGTTACGGTACCGTAAAAGTACCGGTACGGGAACACAGACCTACGGGCGCCTTGCTTTTAGCTCTAGCAAAACTACCGTTGTTTGTTGAAGCCAGCAGCGCTGTGAGACCGAGAGCCACCGATCGAGACAAATGCATGTGTCCACCCACAGCATGCAGCATTGAACCGATCTTTCATTATTATAGCCATCTATCATCATTCATCGCTACCTAAAACAATGAAGAGCAACACTGTCCTCACCAGCACAGAGCATATCTTGAAACATGGTCGCAAGATTGTGTGCATTGGCCGTAACTACGTCGAACACGCCAAGGAATTGGGGAACCCAGTTCCGAAAGAGCCCTTCTTTTTTCTGAAACCCACCACCAGCTACATTCGGTCTGGATCCATCATTATTTTACCCAACGCCACGGCCAATGTTCATCATGAAATAGAACTGGGAGTGGTGATTGGTAACAACGAGCAAGCTTGTCAAGGTGTCTCGGAAGAACAAGCCATGAGCCATATCAAGGGATACCTGCTGGCTCTGGATCTGACCGAACGGACATTGCAAGGACAGGCGAAAAATGCTGGCAAACCATGGAGTATGAGCAAGGGATTCGATACGTTTTGTCCCATTTCGGACCAAATGATTGAGGCGACTGCTACTGCTACTGCTTTGGATCCCTCCACCAGTCTCTGGTGCAAGGTCAATGGACAGACACGACAAAACGGACCGATCGGTGACATGATCTTTTCGATACCTAAGCTCATCTCTTACATCAGTGATTGCATGACATTGCAAGAAAACGATGTCATTCTCACGGGAACGCCACAAGGAGTTGGCCCTATTGTACCGGGTGATGTCATTGAAGGAGGATTGGTACTTGGCAATCTACAGAATGCCAACGAAAATGCCAACAATGAAGTTTTGTCAATGAAATTTGAGGTTGCAGCCAGGGATGCTTAGCGTGACATTTATTGCGGGCACACTCTTCTTACCAAGGCCAAGCATGAGTGGGCACTGAGGATGTTTCCTCCAACCCAACCAGATACAGTCCTGTTTCGCCGTGGCGCGATATTGGCTCCAATGAAGAACAGAAGTTCTACATGTATACTAAAGGATACAAACGGTATTCTGTTCGGAGCCAATAATTCGCAGCAGTTCTGTGTGGATGTAACGAGAGAGCGACATGCGGATTGGTTGCTTTTTATGTTGAATCAAATCCTCATTCAAATCAAATCTATTCCAAGCGGATGCATACCGGCAGCCGGAAAAGTTTTCTTGGATCGATGGTTGCCGCAAACGTTCTTCGACTGATGCTTCATCCATACCGGTACATACTATTTGGGGACGAGGTGCTAGCAGTCCGGGAGCAACATCGTACCCTACAAATAATTACAAGCTTTCAGTGAGATTGCAGTTTGGGCCGGAACTTGGATTCGATTCCCAAGCTTTCTTGTAAACGATGTTTAAGAAGCCAATGTTGAAGGAACACCACAAGAGCCGAGCAATCTCTATTATCATTGATTGTGATAATGTAGTGAATGTAGGATCCTTATACAAGATTTTAGATATGTATTATTAGCACAATGGTGCGGTCTCGGATGAGGTTGCACAGAATCGGTACCTGATACTCAGTTGACGCTGCACAGAATCGAATCTTTCCCAACAAAGGCATTCCTCGATTCGATTTCGAAACCTTTTTGTCATAGGAGCCAATCACAGTTGGCACCCCTCCAGCAACAACGGCGACTGCTTTTCCACCACCCCGCAAAACGAGAATCGGTTCGTTCAGTATCTTTCTTCTACATGTAGCTAGAAGTATTCCATGGAATGAAGACAGAAGCTTGAACGTCGCTGCTCTTGCTCTTGTTCTTGCTTCAACCAATCCATCTTCTTCTTCGTGGAGGCGGCCACTTGAGGCGAAGGTGGAGTCTTCAAGAGTTGACTGCTTCGCAATTGATCGAGAACGAAAGATGCAAGTGTCATGGTCGTTTGCACAATCAGAGATAGATAAGAGATATACGGAAGAATCTTCGTTGTTGTCTGCAAACTAAACTATGAGACTTCCAAAGCTACAGATATTCGGAAGTGGATGGTGGATAGGTACCAGGTATTGTTCTCGTCAACACTGCACTGGTGCACAGTCCAATCATTGAAGATACGGTCGATACGGTCCCAGGTCCCCCCTTTCAATGCATCCAGCGTTCTGAAACATCGGCGTTGAATGCAGCCACATCGCCCATGCATAAACCAGCGCGTCTGCGTACCTCGGCTGGTCTAAATGATGAAGCCACTTTGGAGCGGTGTCAACGAAACGCACGTCGAAACTTTTTCATTCGTGGAAATGAACCAGGGCTGTTCGGTCACGCCTTTTGCGGGGATGATGTTATAGCTACGGCTGTACACGTACTACATGTATGTACCGTACGGTACTTGGTACCAGGTAGAGCCGAGTCAGAGGTTCAGGTATCGATGTACATGGGTGAGCCAAGCCATAGAGAGCCATTCGGTAGGTCCAAGGTCCCCCGAGAGGCAGGAAAGGATTGTGTGGATAGTTGTTTCTCGGATGAAGCAATGCAGCAATTAGTAAGCAGAATCGAATCCAGAATCATGAGAGGTCGAGCTGTGGAAGGTGCTCTGCGCGAAGCAACCTGTTGCAGGTTGGAAGGTACATGCAGGCTCTGCTTTGCCTGCCTAAAACCTATCCTCAGAAGTGCCGAGTGCCGAGGATAGGTACGGAATGCAGCCTTTCTAGCTGGCTATAGCTGGCTTGGGGATGGAATGACTATGCCTTGGGGCTCTGTATTACATTCGTTGCTGTACTACCCACAGATTTGACCGGTCGGATTGTGATCAACCAACCAGGAATTGTTTAGCATGTGCACAGGCAGATGAAGGAAGAATCGAATTATTCAATCAATGATGCAATCAGATTGGCACATGCCGCCTTTGATGCATGTATACAACACACGTGGATCGTCACATACCGGTACGGCACAAACCTAACTCCATAGTTAGCGTTGCTGGAATGCGTTAGCTCTTCTGAGACACCGAAAATGGCATTCTTGGTACCGCAACATAGCTTCCCACTAATCTTTTTAAATAAAAAAGGTAGCAAGATATTCAAAATTTCTTCGTATCATTTCCCTCTAGAGATCTATCTGTACCGGTCTATCCAGTTTGATTGGCCTCACAATCTATACCCTTCATTATGCACCTCATCGCCTCTCCTCAAGGTGACTACTGGGTGCCTCTGCTTCCATGTACCCGCACACCCGCACTCGTAGTCTACATCTACTACCGTCTAATACTAAATTCTTCAGCCGCTCATTTGCCTCCTTCATCAGGGGTGTAGTAAACGGTATCAAGTATCAAGTAGTGGTACTCGACGGTACTCAGAGCATACCGGTACCGGTAGCCCTCATCTCGGGGAGCAGGCTAACCACGCAAAGACACCTCCGTCCTATTTCGAACGACTGCCTTTTCACCGACTGATGAAGCCTTCAAAATGTGCACGCATGGCATTGCATCGGCTTCATTTCAAAACTGGCGCCTCTGAAGCCGACGCAAAGCATTGTACCGAACGTCCGTCCTTCCGAGCCCGCTGGAATCCGTTGCTAAGTAACACTAAGCCAGGCCAACCAAAAAACAGGTTGCGAAGGAGGGACGGTGAAATCAATGACAAGTTGATTGTTAAGTCTTTGTAACCCGCGGCAAGGTCGGAAGAAGGAAAGCCGGCACTCGAAGAGTGAATCACACCGGGTCCACTGTAAAGATTTCAGTACTCCCCTTGCTCACTGTCCCCTTTCAGTAAAGCCAGGCGATCCTTCGTAATTTGAACGTAGGCGCCTTTTTTTGGCGTCTTGGAAGCACTTCTCATTCGATCGACCACCACCGTGACAATCACTTCCTCATCTCATCTTCTCACAATTTCGATCTTGGCCATCAACAAAAGCCGCAACAACACAACAACAGCAGCTACTCAACTCAAGCATTAACAATCGACAAAATGAAGGTTATTCAAGCTACCATTGCCACTTTTGCCCTGCTTTGTGGCCCAGTTGAAGCTGATCGCACTCTGCTTCGAAGATCCATCAAGACCGCCGACGCATCTGAACCACAAGAAGATGCATTCACTTGGTCCAACTTTGTCAACCGTGAGCTTATGTTCTTCACACACCGATACTCCGATGAATCCATGGACAACCACGTTGGCGCCAGCAAAGGATCCAAGGGCAGTGGCGGCGGCAGCTATGTTGACGACGATTGGATGATTGGAGCTAGCAAGGGCTCCAAGGGATCCAAAGGAAAAGGCGGAGGTTATGATGACGACTACATTCCCGCTAGTGGATCCAAAGGTTCCAAGGGCAAAGGTGGCGATGGAGGCTACTCCGATGATATGGGCGGCTCCAAGGGCTCCAAAGGAAAGGGTGGCGACGGAGGCTACTCTGACGATGCTGGTGGATCCAAAGGATCCAAGGGCAAAGGTGGCGATGGAGGCTACTCTGATGACATGGGTGGTTCCAAAGGCAGCAAAGGAAAAGGTGGAGGCTACTCTGATGACTATGATTATGCCCCAGCTAGTGGATCCAAGGGTTCCAAGGGCAAGGGTGGTGATGGAGGCTATTCCGATGACATGGGCTCCGCTGGATCCAAAGGCAGCAAAGGCAAAGGTGGAGATGGAGCCTACTCTGATGACATGGGTGCCTCAAAGGGCTCCAAAGGAAAGGGCGGTGATGGAGGCTACTCTGATGATTACGATTATGCTCCTGCTAGTGCCTCCAAGGGAAGCAAGGGCAAAGGTGGCGGCGCATACTCTGATGACATGGGCTCCGCTGGATCTAAAGGAAGCAAAGGAAAGGGTGCAGGTGCTTACTCTGATGACATGGGTGGCTCTAAGGGCAGCAAGGGCAAGGGCGGAGGCTACTCTGATGACAGCTCTGATGACTATGCTCCTGCTAGTGGCTCCAAGGGAAGCAAGGGCAAGGGCGGTGGTGCTTACTCTGATGACATGGGCTCTGGATCCAAAGGAAGCAAGGGCAAGGGAGGAGATGGTGCCTACAGTGATGACATGGGCTCTGCAGTGGCTCCAAGGGAAGCAAGGGCAAGGGAGGAGATGGTGCCTACAGTGATGACATGGGCTCTGCAAGTGGCTCCAAGGGAAGCAAGGGCAAGGGTGGAGGTGCCTACAGTGATGACATGGGCTCTGCTAGTGGCTCCAAAGGAAGCAAGGGCAAGGGTGGAGGTGCCTACAGTGATGACATGGGATCTGCTAGTGGCTCCAAAGGAAGCAAGGGCAAGGGAGGAGATGGAGGTTACTCAGATGACATGGGCTCTGCATCCGGATCCAAAGGAAGCAAGGGCAAGGGTGGAGGTGCCTATAGTGATGACATGGGCTCTGCTAGTGGCTCCAAAGGAAGCAAGGGCAAGGGAGGAGATGGAGCCTACAGTGATGACATGGGCTCTGCATCAGGATCCAAAGGAAGCAAAGGAAAGGGTGGAGGTGCCTACAGTGATGACATGGGCTCTGCTAGTGGCTCCAAAGGAAGCAAGGGCAAGGGAGGAGATGGAGCCTACAGTGATGACATGGGCTCTGCATCAGGATCCAAAGGAAGCAAAGGAAAGGGTGGAGGTGCCTACAGTGATGACATGGGCTCTGGATCCAAAGGAAGCAAGGGCTCCAAGGGCGGCAGCTATTCTTATGATGATCACTACTATTCTGATGATGACTACAGGAGAGCATAAGAACCCACAACGGTTCCTGAGATCGATTCATGCGATGAGGCGAAAACAGTTCCTTCCATTCGATCATCTCTTCCATGCTGTGCTGCTCTGATTCCATGAGGCGAGAAGCCCCGTGGTTCGGTGCCATTGATTGATGTGATGAGGCGAGACGCTCCGTCCATTGATCTATTATCCGCCTGTATATATATATTCGTCGTCCCTTAGCATAACTAACCTAATAACTATAGTAAAGAAAGTGTCAAAGAAATTAACCCTGCCTTGTGTTTCAGCTACTAGCTAGTTGGCTAGAATACTAGCCAAAAACTTTCTATAGACTACTTACTTGCTTGTGTGCCACAACCTCTTTCGAAGTGTGGGACAGCGTAGGCAGCCAGCACAGGGACTAGAGGTCTGTACCCAAAATCAAAAATGCAAACACCGAAACCAACAACCCAACACTGAAAGGGGAAAACTTTTGTAAAGTATCATCTCCCATAGAATAGTGCAACCTGGAGGTGTGCAGCCAGCCCCAATATGTGCTACCGGTAGCTCAACTGGCTGACAGAGGAATTTCGCCTCACAGTCAGGCCGAAGCTCACGGTGTCCACGAAGCATCGGAACTCTTCGAGCTACGTTTCCGACCAAACCAAGTTTCGAGACGCATCTCTCTCCTCGACCACTGTCAGCCAAACGTTGACTGCGGTTCTATACTTGTGTCACTGCTGTTTGAAGCCCCAATAAAGTTCTCGTCACGGCCAAACCCAAGAGGGCCACGGTAGTAAAAATGACAACGGACCCATAGCAGGGTGGGCTGATTGAGGAATATGAAACGGACACAAGGACCCCAGCCACGATGGGACCAGCTCCCTTGGCAATGCTTCCGCCTAATGTAGCCAATCCATTCAACGCCGCTCGTTGGGTTGCATCAACAGTTTTGTTCAGAGCAATCGACACACTGGAAAAGAACATGCAGCAAAACACTTTGGACACTGCCATGATGATCATGAGAAACAAGAACGTTGACCATTGCAGGGCTGTTGTTGTTGAGATTCCATCTGGTTCTTGTGTACCATATCCGTAAGGGCTTTTGTTCAGGCCGAGTGAAAGGGGTATGAATAAAACTGGCAGAAATCCAACGGTACACCCAATCCAGAGGGAAGGATACAATCCAAATCGATCGACGGTTTGGACGTAGATTGCATATTGAGACAACGCAAAGAATAAGCCTGCTGTAGACAAAATCTGACCAATGGCACCCTCGGACAGTCCGAGTCCTCCTTTTGCTGAAATACAAAAGAGCGGGAACGATTCGTCGAGGCAGACAACAGCGAAGGAAAAGAGCCAGTAGGCAATGAGGTGTTTTCTCGTCTGTGTGTTCTTCCAAAGTCCTGTCATGGTTGTGTCGTTGTTGCATTGAAGATCGATCTGGTTGTCGTGTTTTGGTGGATCATCGTTGGAAGTGGTAGTATCACAGGCCAACGAAATATTTTGTTGAATTGAGCTGTTTGCTCTGTCCTCCACAGGTTTAGGTAACAGTGGAGTATCTTCCTTTTCTGAATGATTGGATGGTAGAGATTTGGAGGACGTCCCGTCACAACAACAACAGCTGAACTTTGACTTTAGAAACGTGAAGCAGTCTTCTGGAATACTTCGGACACTACGTCGCTTGTCGTGTGTCAGTGTTTCATCGATTGCCGCTATCACTAGCAGTGCTGAAAAAATGCACAAGAGTGCGCCCACAAGATTGGGCAAGATGAAGGGGTATCGTGTCAGCCATGGCTCGAGGCAGTGTAACCTACTACTGCTCCCGTGGAATAGATATGGATATTGTCGTATTGGTTCTGCCAACCAGCCTCCAATGGCTGGACTAATCAAGAATCCCCAGGCTCTCATTCCCACGACCATTCCCATTAGGCGAGTTTCCAATGATGGTGTCTCGTTTGTTTCAGGTTGTTGTTCCGCCGCCAATTCACTAACAACCGTCTTGACAGTCCCCACGATACCATTGCTGAGTCCGAGCAGGAACCTCCATAGCATGGCCATTGCAAAGCTTTGATGCGACATGCCAAATAGAATACTGAAAATGGCCGAGAGTATCAAACTCAAGACCAAGACAAAGACTCGCCCGTAGACATCTGCCATTCTTCCAAAGGGATAGGCGCTGAAGGTCCTTCCTGCCATGAATGCACTTGCCAACATCCCTGCGTAGGGACCCACCGTTTCCGTCGTGAGGGATGGTATCAATGTCATGGCCATGTATCCAGAGTAGGGGAATACACTGATCAGGAGAAATGCGTGAATGAGGGAACAAGTGCACAACGCAATTGTGGCCAGGACAGTCTCGGAAGACCATAATACAGGTGTAGGTTGCGCGTTGGAAGAATCTTCATCATCATGTTGGCTGCATAGCACGGCGGTTGTTGAAGGCAAAGGTCTTCTATTTGATTGTTGTTGTGATGGCAGCATTCCCTGATGATGTGCGTTGCTTTGCTTCCTATACCAAGATAGAATCCTATCATTGCCACCGTCGCTCGATCTTGTCGACGTGTTGTCAAGGGTGGTGGGATCATCCAAAAGACCTGTGCCCAGTTCTCGAAAGCAGCTCTGCTGTGTTTAAAATATTAGCAGATAGAACCGTACATGTATGTAGTATGTAGTCTAGCTAGTCGGGGTAAAGGAAGGTTTTTAACCTACCAGTATCAAAACAAGAAGTACGAGAGAGAGGGAGACGGACCACAGTACAGAATGTGGTGGTGGTACAGGCCACAAGGAGGGATGCCAGTAGGTCTGTCTGTGATTCATGCAGCAGGCCTCTCTATCTGGTCCGCCCAGATGCATTGCCTTTGCCTGGAACATAGCTAGTCTGGTCCACAACCTATGCTCATATTGACATGAGTTTGATATCTTGTACGGTACCGGTAGCTCAGCTGCATTACATTAGAATGCCGCTCCTCGAAGCAGACTTGAATGATTGGATTCCGTTCAACCATTCCTGAAAATCATATTATGAATGAGCCGTTCAATCAATCAATTGCTTGAATCGAAGCCAATCCAATCATTAGGCTCTCCCCACGACTCTAAGCAGAGCAATGTAAGTTAAATGCAGACTCACATTTGCTTTTGGCATATCAAATTGGTTGCCACTGAAGATAGTGACCGTGTTAGTGTTGAGCAGCAGACTTGGCATCTGATCCTCTCACTTGCTCTGATCAACAGCCAGTTGGAAGGATCGCCATGGTGCTTTGGCAAAGCCCATCACCCATCCCTTCCTGCGGATCAGTGCAGTGTTTGGGATTCGGCAGTTAGGTGCAGATCACCCAATTCTTTTCCCAATCCTGGCACTATCGCGGAAGCTGAGGCAATGGTTGAGAGTGGAGGTGTAGAGGTAGACTTCAAGTCGTACAGTACTACTAGTACCCTCACGACAGTCAAGTCAAGCCAGAACAATCAGAACAAACAGTGGTTTCCAAGTGCCAAAAGAACAAAACTGCGCGGCGGTGGCGCCGTCAGATTGTCATTGTTTTCTGTAAAAGAGGAAAAGAGAATAGAGTGAGTAGGACAGTGATGTTACTGGTACATTTTTACTACCCAGTCAAGTACACTGTACCGACAGTACTGGGTTGCTACGGGACCCTTATATCGGTACTCCTAGCTAGAGGGTACTAAAATATAAAATGAGAGACCCTGAAACGCACGCGATGTTACTCGTATCACTCGTATCACTCGTATCACTCGTATCACTCGTATAACACGTATAACACGCACGCCAGCCAGCCACCGTGACCGTTCGAGTTTCGCAAAATGACTTGACTTGACCAATCTCCACCAACTCCAATCTCCACCACAAAGAACCACCATCCACCATGACAACAACCTCTCTTCTCTTGTTTGTTTGAAGGATACAAAGGTTTCTCTTGTTATTTGAAGATAGCACCATCATTGTGGGTAAGTAGGCAATGTGGTATGGCTTTGTTGAAGCCAAGAAGACTGTTCCTGTGGAAAGATAGAATGATTTCTCTTCATTCAACTCATTCTCCATTTTTCTGCCTCCACTCTCTTCCTCAGGCCCTGTACAGCCTTCAGGACCATTCTCTTTGCATTCATATACTTCTGAAGGCTCACTGACAAAGCCTGTGGAAGATCTGGCCTTGAATTCTACCATTGTCAACCACTTCCATTGTCAACCACTTTCTGTAGGGACCAGTACTGAACCCATGTAAGTACCTCAGTCAGCGCGCAACACGTGTTATGCATGTTACGCGTGTAACACGTGTTATGCATGTAAAACGTGTTATGCATGTAACGTGTATTATATGTATCACCCGTGTTATACGTGTAACAGGTGTAACATGTATTATACATATCACCCGTGTTATACGTATCACCTGTATTATACGTATTACCCGTGTTCGTTGTCTCACTATTTTTGTTTTCTTGTTTAGTATTTTCGTTTAGGCATCATGGTGGATTCTGACGATGAATCTGGTCCGCAAGACGATCACGGGGCAAACGAGAATGATGCAGAAGAGACGAAGGCTGAGGAATCTGAGGAGGAGATTCCCTTTGGCCCTGACAATCCTGTCCCTTCTTCCCTGAAGATATCACTCCCCGGAACTTTGTTTCATGTATTCAACAAGCCATTCCGATGACCGCGAAGCGCCGAAACGAAGATGGATCTATCACCCAGCATCCTATCTACCATCCTGGACTGTCGGCATTTTGTCACGAATGCTTTGAGCCCGGTGTTGCACAGAGTAATGCCTCAAAAGCTAACTCCTTCAAAGTCCGAAAGCTTGGTCCAAGCATGTACAATCATGCTAGAGCTCCAGGCGAAGATGGATTGGTGGGAGGTGGAAGGTCTGCGAGAAAGGACATTTGTGAAAGGCGATATGATAATATCGCACAAAATGTTGCTGAAGAGATAGCTGCAGAAGTCGAAGCACAACGACGTCAGAGGGAAAGGGAAGAAGCTGTGATGGCCGAAGCCAGCACCTACACTTATCTTGGACTGGACCCCAACAATCCTGAGCACAGGACACACGTTGAAAGTCTCAGGGCTTTGGGTTCCGCAGTTCCAGCATCTGCTCCAGCTCCAGCAGCCGCTGCAGCACCAGCAGCCTCAGCAGAATCTACCTCTGAGGACGATGAAGGCAGCGTATCAAGGCGGGTGAAGAGAGCGAAAAGGGGAAAGAAGAAGGGCAGTTACTAGATTATCTTCCAGTACGATGGTGTCCTCAACTTGATTTTGTCCAGTGTCTCGAGGAAGAATTCCAAGGGAGCATCGCCTTTTCCAACTTCTTTCCAGCTTACATGATTGGGTAAATCGTCGGTAAGTAGGACACCAATCTTTTGACTTGGATGATCCCTCAGTCTTTCGAGTCTTTCACTCATTTCCTGTTTTGTCTTGTCACCCACATACATTCGATACAGTTTGAAGTTTCTGATTTTGGCATCAGTTTCAACTGGTTTCCTCTCCATGACTTTGTAGATATGGCGACAGGCAATGGAGTAGCCGGTCCAGTGTCCACAAGAACAAACCAGGAACTTGCTTCCTTCCGATACCACCACGGTTACCTGCCTTGTCTTTTCAAAGACAGGGATGACGTAGTTTCGACGAGCAACTACATTCTGTTGGTGACTTTGTTGTTGATTTTCCTCGGTCATTGAGTCTTTGACATTGAGTCTCACAAAGAACCTTTCTGCTGAGTGTCTATAGGCACTGTAATTGTCTCTGGCCTGCCACTGCCGAATCAGCTTGCTGCTAGCCTCTTTGAGCAAACCTTGGCAATGTAACTCCCTTTCTGCAATGTCAGTATGTGTTGAGGTCAGATTATGGGCAGCGGCCATTTCCTTTTCACGGTTTCTTCTGGCTTCACGTTTCTCGATACTTTGGTGTGACAAGTCGATGTCGTGGTAAGGCTTTGGACCCATTGAATCCCCTTTCATTGCTGCATTCTCAACTTCACTTATCGTACTTGTGATTTGTCCAAAATGTGCTTTAGATTGTAGGTGGCTGGTATCCAAAAAATAAGTCCTTTTTTAGGAAGAAAGACTCTACCAGGAACACCTTCAGCTTTCCTATCAGTTCTTGTCCCAATCTTCCCCTGTGGAGATCCTCGTCTTCGTCAAGGTAGTTTGCACTACGCTAAAAGCTAGTGTAAAGATCTTTCGAGTGTTTTGAGTTTGAGAGAATGAAAGTTATGAGAGGATTAGAAAGCTATGAAAACTAATCAACGAGAGTGATCCACAATCAAAGGATCGTAGATCTGAACTCCCGCGGGAGACTGTAGAGTGAGATAGAGTAGGTTGCGGTAGCAATCCTACTCGCTCCACGATCCAAAAACGGAACGCGTGGAAGATTCGTCTAGCATTTATCTAGTAGCGTGGAAGTACTCCACGCTGGCTAAATATCTAGAGCGATGTTTCATCATCAACCTAGTATGACTAGAGCGGTCATTGAGAATTCTGTCTCCAATGACTATTCGCGAAGGACTACGTCATGAGTCGAACTCAGACCCTATCTAGGATCGAGTCGCGAACAAGGCTAAGAGTCGTGTATTGCATTGGCTAAGAGCCGTGTATTGCAAGTGCATGAGCAACTGCTGAGACAAATCTGCTTCTTCTCTTGTCTGATATCGGGAAAATTTCCATAGCCAAGACACGATCATCTCCCACTCAAATTGTCTGATTCGAAGAAGACCGGAGTCAAATGAGGCAAAAAGAACAACGAACGATTTTGTTGGATCGGATTGCAATCTGGCAAGTAGCCTATCTGCTGCTGTCGCCTCCTGATGTGATACTTGAGAGATGGTACCGTCTGGCTTCACCAAAGACAAGACCACTCCTTGATGCAGACTCTTCCTTAGAGATTCGATTTGTTTTGAAGTTAGAGATGAGCCTGTTCGTTCATAAAGTAAAGTCTTAACAACACTTGCACTTGGCGAGAGATGGTTCTTTAGGCATTGTTCCGCTAGTGTAACGCTTCTGTGCCAAGATGAGTACTTACACTTTCACTTGTGCCTCTTCCAGTTGTACGTGCCCACGATGAAGCTTGTTGCCTGTCTGGAACTTGGGTAGATACCATCGTCTGTGTTCCTGGCTATATAGAACATTGAAAGAGAATGGACATTTGACACCCTCCCCTCAACAGGAAGCTGAGTCTGGGTGTTTTGTTGCTCTCCTTTTGGGACCTTTGTTTGTAAAAACGACTCCTTGGACAACATATGGTAATGTGATTCCGCCTCTTATCGAATCCCTTGTTTTTGATGACGGAATCCAGCAGTCTTGCAAGAAAGTACAAAGTATGGCATCAAAACTTCTTTAATATGCGCCGAATCACAAGATTGATACATCGAAGGTAGCCATACACCGTCGTTTTCTCCATTCGATAATTATCGAACCCCAGAGTATCCATAATGTTTATCTCCTTTGGTGTATCATCAGTTAGTGAGGTTGCTACATTCACAATGATTGAAGCAGGAGTCCATTCTTCATCATTGATATTGTATCTAGCAACATGGGAGAGTTCAGATAGGTAAGAGTCCATTTTACTTGATAAGCTGTCAGGTATTATGGCCTGCAACAGTGCATCTTCCTCTCTACCTCCCAAACACCTGGCAAAACACCTTGCTAAGAAAACACCTGGCAAAAAAACTTAGCAAAAATTCGTCGCTATGTATTATACGTAAAATACGTACAACACATAATACATGTAATACGTATAATATTGTTCCACTTGTGTTATCTGTGTTGTACGTATGACTTGTCTAATACATATTAAAAATGTTATATGTGTAATACGTATGATCGGTAGAATACATAGTGAAAATGTTATACGTATAATACAACCCCGTGCGTTTCAGGGGCTCTCTACTCCGTACTGAGTAGAAGCTTTCTGAGGCTGAGACAGCGGCTCAGGATCGTTCCTAACCAGTCATTTTGACCTCTTTATTCCTCCGTGCATACGCGAAATCAAGATAACTGTTAAAGTCGGCTGGCTTTCCCTCTTTTTTCTCATTAATTTTGGTACGGCGTATCTGCAATTTTGCATTCTCAATTCGCCGTACCAAAATTAATGAGAAAAAAGAATTCGCGTAGGACCAATCAAAACGCTCGAGTAAGCCGAACTCAGTCACGGTCACAAATCACGGTCACAAATCCCCAACTCTAGCGGGTTTCGAAAATCGAAAAGGTCAATCGCTCGAAAATCGAAAAGCGAGAGGTAGTAGTACTACTAGCTAGCTAGTAGCTTCGATCGAACGATGCTGTTTATCCCGGCTGATTCGATTCGATGATTCGATTCGAATTACTGAATCGAATCGGATCATTCGGTGATTTTCGTTAGAGTTGGGGATTTGCGGTGGTGTTTCTTTCGCGTACCGCGTATGTGTGTCACATGGATAGGAATGAAATCTTGATACGTACGCCTAAATAAATCGATGAAAATAAATGTGTTTCGCGTATGCACGGAGGACACACATGGAGTTTGGTTAGGAAGGCACCTCATGTCAACAACTTAGCTTTCGGTAGATTTGGAGGGGTGAGTCCGATTGATAAGAGCACAGCTATTAAAAGTAGATAGAAATTCATAGAATATAGAATCCCTTATCCCTGTTAATGCTTTTTTGGAACTTCTTGTTCCAGTAAAACTTTGTGACGACGTGACCCTTGCACTCACGCGACGTGGGGAACGCTGTGAATAGATAGATATTCAATAGATAGATACTCTGCACCGTACGGTACCGGTAGTACTAGCTAGTACTGGTAGCTCTTTACGATGGTACCGGTACCCGTAGCCTTTTTCAGGTTGCATACATTATTGGAATCGAATCGAATCCAGCCCTCACCTTTCTTTCCCTCAACAACAACAGACCTAAGATCCCTGGTGTTGTTGCTTTTGTGGTCGGTGTTAGAATTGGGATACTGTAGCCTTCTTCCGGTACCATAAAATCGTTAAGGATGACAAACCTGCGACGCACCACCACACGTGTGAACGGTGTGGTACAAGTTTTGCGACATGTAGTATTGCTGCTTGTACTACTACCGACAAGAATGATAACAGCATCAGCATCATCATCATCATCATCATCATTGGGAGAAGGAGAAGAAGTGAAGAAATATCGATTCGCATTGGTCGCCAAATGGGCGACTCATCCCTTTTTCGAGGCGGCCCACGAGGGTTGTTTGGTGGCCGCCTCTGAGTTGGGTGATACGGAATGCGTGTACGTTGGCCCCATGGATTCACCCGATGGATACGAACAGGAACGGATCGTCCGCAACTTGATTTTCAATGATACCATTGACGGGATTGCCATATCGGTGGGATTGCCCGATGTGATGCGCGAGACCATCCATATGGCTATGGACTCCTATAACATTCCGGTCGTTACGTTTGATAGCGACGATCCCCAATCGGATCGAATCGCTTATATAGGTACCGACAATACCTTTTTTGGAGAACAGTTGGCCAAAACCTTGATTCAATTGCATCCCAACGGTGGTAGCTTCGGAGTTTTGGGGAGTTTTCACGACGCACCCAATCTAGCGGAACGAATGGTGGGATTGCGACACACCCTAACGAACCGCAATCATGGGGATGGAACATGGATCGAGGTGGAGGGGAGTCCCTTCGCGTATAACGCAACCGATATGGATGCCGCTTTCGCACAAATGGAATTCTTTGCCCAACAAAACGTTACGGCGATTGTTCCCGTCCAAGTTGGTCCTATGGGCGACGGGAGACGATGGAAAGAGTTTCGACGACGACACGCCAACATCACATTGGTCAATGCCGATGATTTAGATTTTCAACTGACTTTGTTGGCGCATCGGTACGTGGATGGATTAGTCGGACAGGTGAGTTACTATACATGTAGTAGTACCGGTATAATCAATGAGCAAGTCGTGGCTACCCCACAGACAGAGCAACACACTCACAATGTCTGTTCCATCTCCTTTCACTTGTCCTCCCTCCTCTTTCTATTCTCTAGTTACCATTCGAAATGGCGTTATTGTCCATGAAAGCACTACACCAACTCGTACAAGGCGAAACCCTCGAGTCCGATGTTATTGGGACCAATTTATTAGTCCACTTGAAGGTCCCGTTGGTACTGCCGGGATTGGTCGTGGACGATGGTCGAATCGATCAGCTGCGGATCATGGGATATACCTTTTGTGCAATCGCCGTAACGGCGTCGTTGGGGGCATGTGGATGGACTTTTGCCAACAGGAAAGTACGGGTGGTCATTGCCAGTCAACCCTTCTTTTTGTACATGGTAGCCGTGGGGATCTTGATTTTGTCCAGTACCATCATCCCGTTGTCGTTTGACGATGGTGGGCACCAATACGACTATCGTGAGAATTTAGATCTTTCGATCACAGCCAACCAAGATGAAACGAAACGGGTTGCCATTTGCATGTCGGTGAGTTCGGGCCACTATTTGGAAACTCAACTATGGCTGCTTTTGCTTCGACCCACTGATCTTAAATTGTTGCCTGTTTCTGGGGGTTAGGTGCCATGGTGTGCTTTGATGGGCTTTTCGATAGGTATGTCAACTGCTATTGTCTCAAGTAATAGGAATTGGATGGTTCACTACCAATGCGCACTCTTACAAATGTTTTTTGGTTTAGTATTTGCCTCGCTATTCAGTAAGACATGGAGAATCAACAAGATCTTTCGATCGCAGACGTTCACACGAGTGCAAGTCACGGCCCGTCAGGCCCTGACGCCGAGTATGCTCGTGCTCGGTCTGAACTTGGTTGTTTTGATATGTTGGACAATCCTGGATCCATTGACGTACACACGGCAGGCCCATCTGGGGACCGATGGATGGAACCGTGAATTGAGTACCTACGGTTCGTGTCAATCCAACAACGTTGCAAGATTCATTGTGCCCCTGTTCGTTATCAACCTCATCCTGTTGGCCATTGCCAACTGGCAAGCCTACGAGGCGAGATTCATCGAGAGTGAATTTGCAGAGTCCAAGTACATTGCTGCCTGTATGGCGAGTTTACTGCAAGCCATTGTGATGGGCGTTCCGATCTTGTACATGATTCGTGACAACCCGGAAGCGTACTACCTGATTCTAGTTACCACGATATTTGTCGTGTGCATGGTAACCTTGTCGGTGATTTTTCTTCCGAAGATGCTCTATGTGAGAGAATTCTTGTCCATGAGTAAAGAATCGCAAATGTTTACAATGAAGGATGCCATCCAACGATCATCGGTCACTAGTAGTGCTAGGAGGTTGTCTACTACCGGGATGGATCGATCGCCCGCGAGGAGGAGTCCTGTCGATCTCCAATCGTCTCTTCGAAGTCGATTCTTTCGGGTGAAGGATCCCAACGAGGGACAAACGGCGGCATCTGGTACAATAATGAGACAGCGTCGTGCATTGAATGATTCATCACGACAGAAACAGGTGGAACGACTTCCACTCGCGGCAAGCTCCATCGCAGAAGGTGCTGTACCAGCCTTTGACATCACCGATGAGACAACGAGCAATGACGAGTTAGAAGAGGGACAACAAGATGGATTACGACTCTACCGTCGACGAGAGCCTGTCATCTTGAGCGTCGTTGATGACGATGTTTCGAATTGTGAATCTGATGGAAATCTACGACATCATACTAAATCTTCTGATGTGGAGGGTGGGGAAGGGGCTGCTGCCAAAGCTATGGCGGAGTGTGATCCAGTCACAATTGTACCGGATACAGAAGAGAAACCTGAGGAAGCCTGTTAGGATACGGTACAGTACACAAAATACACGAGAAATTGCAAGCCATGCATGCGCATAGAAATGAGACAACAAGAACCAAAATTTCGGCACTACGTACTGTACAAACAATGTTGAATGGGGCTAACTACGCCACTGTACATTATTATTGGCTGCTCAAAGATAACTAATGCATACTGGTACCGTACCGGTACGGTACCGGTACTGGGAGTACATACCGTACCAGGTACCGGCTCATCTTGCAACATCATACGATTTTACCAAAAAGTGACTGAATTAAGTAGTTTTACTCTTGACCAGCACAAACTGCCGAATCGCCAAAACACAGGCTTTACTCTGTGGTAACTTTTCGGTTGTTTGACTTTTTCATCCCCCTTGGGAATCATCAGTGCTTGGGCTATTGTGGTACTTATGAAATCGAGGTTTATGTCCGCATGCTCCGTATATTTCGTTGCTGGAGTTGATCAGGTTTTCTGGCGATTCTCTGGATCGTTTCAGTATCTCGAGTCGCTCCCTGTTGCATAGGCTGCAGTGTCGTGTCCCGAAGGTCTTGACAGTGCTGATGGGGTTGCCTTGCCATAGGATGCTATTTTCGATGCTGTTCCTTTGAATGTCCCAACAATCAAAAACTTGTTTTGATCTTGGAGTACGGTGCTGGTAAGCCTGCAGGGCTACTCTAGCTAGTGAAAGATCCAAAGATCTTTCTCTGACGTGGGCATATTTTTGTTGCAGCGCCTAAGTTTTTCTGGCTCGTCAACCACAAACTTTGCTTGACTGATGCCATGCAATAGCGACTCGTAGCCTACTACTAGCTAGAGTAGAAGCAACCGAAACAGACCCAACAAAACCAACATTAGTTAGTAACAATGAGTGAGGAAAAGGAACGTAGCACACCGGCCCGAAGTTGGTCCTTTCAGCTTCCCGACAACGAAGATAAGGAAGAAGGAGATGGCGTGGATGTCCCGGAAGATCGACCTCTCTCCGAAGCCGACCGTAACCTCCAGAATTCACATCAGGTTCCCTTTTACAAGTTTGTTCTCACGGGAGGTCCTTGTGGAGGAAAGACAACTGGTTTGGCTCGAGTTTATTACTTTTTGAAAGAGAGAGGTTTGTGAACACAAAGAACTTATGGATTCCACTTTTCGTCTCTGGATGGTGTCTGATCGTTTTCTCTCTCTTTCTTGGTAGGCTTTGAAGTAGTCAATGTGGCCGAGGCCTTTACCATTTTGGCGTCCAATGGCATGTCGGGAGATTTTTTTGCCACACAAGGGATGGACGTAGTCATTCAGCACACTGTGATGGATGTTCAAATGGGATTGGAGGATGGCGTCGAACGCATTTTGCGAGCTCGCGGACGTCCAGCCGTCATGATGTGTGATCGAGGGACTATGGACGGAGCTGCCTACATGGAACGAAAGGACTGGCATGCTCTGTTAAAAGATCGAGGGACCACCGAAACGGAAATTCGCGACAATCGATACAATGCTGTCTTCCACATGGTGTCGGCAGCCGATGGAGCCGAACCACATTACACGCTAGAAAACAATCAAGCTAGAACCGAAGACGCCGAAGCAGCGCGCATGATGGATCGCAAAACACAAAAGGCGTGGGTCGGTCATTCCCATTTGTACGTATTCGACAATTCAACCGACTTTGAACGGAAACTCGAGCGACTCGTAGATGTCATTGCAAAATTGGTAGGGTTGCCATCCAATCTCAAAAGGAACAGTGCCAAGTTTGTACTCAGAACACCACCCAAAACCCAAGATTTCCCAGAAGATATCGATTATCACATTTTCTCGGTGGAAAAAGTTTACTTGACAACGAATGATGGCGATGATGATACCTACAGCTTTATTCGAAAACGCACAAACCTTGATCCAACGGGAAAGAAACAACTAGGTTTTGTTTATCAGCTTACAACGGTGACAAGAACACCGTCGGGAGACACAATAGAAGAAAAACGCATCATCACGGCTCGAGAGTACAGTTCCGCTTATCTGACGCGAGATGTTTGTCGGCACATTGTCCTGCAAAAACGAATCAGTTTCTTGTACAAATTGCAAAGTTTCACCATTCATGTAAGTTCAGAGGCCAACTAACTGTCTTGGTTGCCGAGATTTTGAGGCGTCTCTCATCATGGAACCTTTTCATGCCCTGCTGTTTGGGATGTTGCCGTTGCAGATTTACCAACAACCTGTCAGTGACATTTGTATTTTGCATGCACAAGTTGAGGCCACGGAAGCAAGTACGGAACCAAACGTCGACTTGCCCCCATTCTTAGATGTCGAAAAGAGACTCTCCGACTCTAACGAAGAGGATGAAGAAAAGTACAGTGCATACAACATTTCACTCATCAACAAAATCCCAGTCATCAAAGAGGAAGAATGATTCGAGCGATGAATGTCTGGTCACTGGTATTTGGAACACATTGAAGCACTTTTAAAATCAAATCAATCCACAACTAACTGGGAGAGTCACATTGGTTAGAGTAGAGAAACAGGGGGAAAGCACATTGTACTGCAAATACCCAGCGAATGGCATGAGCACCGAGAATTACTGGTGCCTTGCTCGTTGGGAAGTTTGATTCACTTTTATGGATAGATATGGATGCGACGGTTTGGCTTCTAAAATATTGAAATCACTCATTTGTACAGTACAGTTGTGGTCATCCGGGCTGCCAGTACGGTCGCATTGAGCTCCTGTGAGCTTCATTCCGCTATAAGCCTGTGAGCTTCATTCTCCGGTGTTGTACGGCTGAACATGATGTACCGTAAAAGTACGGTAGTAAAAGAGATGCCAATCTGGCAAGCGCGAAATTTCAAACAGCCTTGCTGGTTATCTTTAACAGCTGACTTCAACCCTGCTTTTGACACCTTCAAGGCGGCGAATCTTCGTCGGTCTTCTTGAGAGATCTCTCTCTCTTCTTCGGATCTTTGGTGTCCACCCAGAGCCGCTGTGACCACTCAATTGGGAATATGGCAAAAATAAGAAGTATCAGGCTAGCTACTAGTAGACTTGACGAAAACCTAAGCAATCAACAATGCTGAGAATGGCTCACTTAGGCACCAATAGTAAGGGTATCCTCGACTCGTCTCATCGATTGGGCCGTGTGTTCCTGACGGCGGCAGCAGCTCTCTCCACATCGCTTCCCGCTAGAGTGGACGCTTTCTCCGTCGTTCGACCATACCATCATCTTCCAAGGCCCATTAAAAATGGCGATTTTGATCGTTATTCGCCCAGTCAAAACAATCTGCTGGTCCTTCGGCATTCCAGGCAAACTCGGCTCTACTCTTCTCCTAAAAAAGACGATGGAATTTTGAAAAAGGTGGCCAAGACTCTTCTGCCCAAGAAGTGGTTTCAGAGCGAAGAAGAAAAGAAAGCAGAGCTGGTCCGACAGCAAGCGAGAGACAATGTGAAGGGAGGCATCAAAGAGATGTTGAAAGGTGCTCCACTCCCTGTTCGGATGATGGGTAGCATGGTTGCCCCTTTGCTATCCCGGGTAGCTTCGGATCTATCGGAATCCGTGGCTGAACAGCAGCGCACAATCGAAAGCGTGCTGGAAGATTCTCGTGGCTATATTCTGGGAGATGATGTGGCTTGTCAAGCTCTGGGAGAGCCTATTCGAGTTGGCTCGCCCTTTTCGCAGAGCTCGAGCACCAGTATTATTAATGGACAAAAGACAGTCAATATTATCTTGGGATTCCCAGTCGAGGGGAGCCGATCATCAGGGGTGGCTCAAGCACAGGCAAACGAAAACGGAATTTCGCAATTACTCCTACAAGTCGATGGACGGCAAATTCATGTCAGTCTGGCCAAACGAAAAAACGCAATCGGCAAAAACCACCGATCTACCAACAAAAGCTACTTTGCTGGAGATGACGATGACAATATCATTGAAGCAGAAATCATTGAAAAAGATACCAAGAAATAGAGACCCAAAAAGTGTCAGCTCGTCAAGTCGATTCTTGGCATCAGCTATCCTACGACCAACCCTTCCGTAAGATTAGATTATTAATTAAGATGGGCGCATTGCCATCGTGTGATTTGTACATGTAGCAAAACATCTGCAAACGCATTTACCGTGGATCAAGCTAGAATATGTTGACAAATTACCGTGTAGCTACGGAGAGACATACAGGCGTCCGCATGCTGCAAACAAGCTGCAGACAATGCCAGGATTCGTCACTGCACAAACTTTTTCAGAGTCTTGCGTAAAGCAACATGTTGAGGTTCCACAGACTCGGGCGCAGTCGGATAGATTATCACTGGTGCAAGCCTGGTTGACTGCATCATCGGCGAGTGGGTAAAGTACCAAACAGGCACTGTACTTGTAGCACGGAAAATCACCACAGTACGTTCCATCGAGATTGTCGGGGTGAAAGCAACATTCGCTGCCCTCGCAAACTCTAGAACACACATTGACTACACTGTTGTCGTGGTTCAGGCAAGCATCATTGATCAATGCTTCTGTGTAGTCTGCAACGTCTCCTGTGCTGGACGGCTGGTTGGTTGGTACCGGTAGCATTCCTCCGACGTCGTTGTCAGACTCAGAAAGAGCTTTGCAGGGTTCATAACCAGGGCATTGCTCTGCATGAACTCCCAGGCACGTCATCGTCTTCCAGCAACACTCGCCTCGTCGGCACGCATCCGCACAAAGAACAGCACCTTCGACGTTGGCGACAATATGTGGTGCACATACATCTGCCAAGTAGGACGCGGCTTCAGGCAACGGTGGCGAGCTGGTTGTTTCATTCAGTGATAGTATTCCACAGAATACGTATCCCTGGCACTTTACTGCTTGACTTGCCAAACAGCTGTCCGTCTTCCAGCAACATTCGGCACGGGCACAAAAGTCTTCGCAACGGGACACCCCACTTGAACCAATATCTCCTTCAATGGCTCCCACAGTGCAATAGTCTTCCAAGGCTTCGGGCGCAATGGGAATTGATGGGTCAGCAGAATGATTGGTAGGGGCTTGGGAGTCTTGTCCCAGTAGGACCGCACACGATACATAATCATTGCAAACCTCGGTCTGTTCGCGAAGGCATGTCCCCGTCTTCCAGCAGCACTCAGCAAGACGACATGCATCCTCACAGGCAGTCAGATTTTCACCGTTGCGCAAGCAATCATCATTCAAAGTAATTGGTGCCCAGGGAACCGGGCTGTGGGTTATTGTGGCGTTTGCTGGATCCAAAATGCTGCACACCAGATAGTCATCACAAAGAGGATTGCTCGCATTACAAGATGTGATAGCCGGGCTTGATGTCCTCCAGCAGCAGTCAGCAAAAGCGCAGGCCAAGTCGCACTGTGCCAATCCTTCCAAGGTACTGAGATTGCCTCTCGAACACAATCCACTCAAGCCCGGCGGTGCTGGTGGGATTCTGTCATTTTCCAAAGCTGATACGAGAGCCAAACAATGCAAGCACTGAAAGCAGAGGCACCAATATGTAACCAAGATGCTTCCCTTCGCAGAAGCTGAAGACATGGTCTCCAAATGAATTAAGTTGGTGGTGAAGGAAGCAGAGAAGAGCCTTTGGCCAAAAAAAGAGGGTGGGTGCCAAATTTGGGCTTTTCTGGTGGTTCAATCTTTCGAACTCGATCTCTTTCGCTGAAGCGGTACTACGTTTCTGCAACAGTAGTTGCACAGTGTCAGTATGTGCTTCCCACTACTTACGGTACCGCTGCCACTACCCTTCATGCGATCTCTCGCTCTGAAGAGCACTGTTCCCGCCGGACGATACCGCAAATTTCAGGGCCTGGCCTGAACCGGTTCATGTGCAACATCCGGTCCACCGTAGTTGGCTATCGTATTTATGAAGTGGCAAATCACTGTTGTCGGGCTCTTGCCCAATACATCTCGTCAGTGCCAAAAGCGCTCAATCGCAGCACCAAGAAAATACATGGATTGACAAGTTCGCTAATAACGTGCGTCTGCTATCCTATCTATATCTGATAAACATTTGCCATAGTGAAACCGGCTTCGGATAAGTTTCGGAACAACTTTTATACTTCAACACGTGCTTTCTTCACAATCTTCAGGTCATGCATGTCCTTGCGTATTGCGCTGGCAAACCTATGATGTTCCAACCCGTTGTCTTGATATATTTTCAGGGCAAACTTGAAGTAGAATTTTGCGGATTGTGCCTGCCTTAGCTTGACATATACCAGTGCCAAGGCACGGGCCGAAACTGCGCAACATGGGTGGTTACTTCCAAAGATTGCCTCTCTGATTTTGAGCACCTCGTAGTGGCAAACTCTGGCATCTTCATAGTTCTTCAATTTTGTTTGGACACGACCGATCCTGCTCAGAGTGGAGACAGTATCCACGTGTTCGGGTCCTTGCTGTTCGTAGCGGACCAGGTAAGCCTTTTCAAGGCAGGACAAGGAGTGATGAAGCATTTCCTTGTCTTGTTTGCTGACGGTATACTCTGCAGCTCCTAATAACTCGAAGGCTTTTGCTAGTCTCAAGTCCGAGGCCCCAAAAATACTTTCTGACACTGCGACCGCTTCAGTGAAGTAGTTTCTTGCCTCTTCAAAGTGCTGCAACACGCGAAAAATGCGTTGGTTAGTCAACAACGTCGGTAGGCTTTTGGAGTTTTCAAGGATCAGCAACCTACCTCGCACTGTAAGTGTGTCGATCCCAATTCCAGCAAAAGGGCTGCTGCCTTGGGGTGCTCCATTCCCACTCTGCAGATTTCTGCATCCATTGCTTCTTTCCACCGAGCAAGCTTCCTTCTCTCCTTTTGCTCAAACTTCTCGGATGCTATCGATAGACTTCCCGCTTCAGAAAAGGTTTGTTCAGAAGCGGACGCTGTTGCTGCTGTCAAATGCTCGTCCGAGGTTGTCGATGTTGCCAATGAAAGCCGGGGTTTGGACGACTTTTCTGCCCTTGGCCGAAAAACTTTGTTAAAGACCCCATCCTGTGATAAGATTGAGTTGTCATCGTCGTCAAGATCCTTGGAGGGTACGACGACGGCAAGCGGCAGCTCTACGTCAGTGAAAGTACTTTCTTCTAGCTTGGAGGTCGCTTGGTATTTTCCTCGTTCAGGCGGGACGTACTGGGAATCGTCCTCAATAAATTCTACGTCCGAAGATTGAGCGTCCGAATCAACAGCTTCTTCATAATAGACAGGCTTCAAAGGAGCAGCTTTAGGGGTGGACTGTTGGGCTTTCTTTCCCTCCTTTGACTTCCTCTTGAAGCTGAATCTCTTCCCGAAGACCATGGCCTATTCCTCTCTTCTTCCCCAATCGTAACGAACAGCTTATCTAACAGCTTGAAAGCAGCTCTTGTTTGTCGATGAAGAGTTACTTGTCTGCGGCTGTTGTTGCTGTTAGAAGCAGCCTCTTTCAAGCAGAGCATGTGCTTGAGTGGAAGGAGGCACCACGATGGTACATCACCAGAGGCACTCCTTCCACAAATTTGGCTATTGACACACATATTTTGTGCTCTCTCTTTTGTTCCCTCTCTTGACAACGTAAAGAAAAGCAACGGTCAAACGGGAATTATCGGTGGTGGCACGCGGGGCGTTTCCACATTCCTGCACGGATGCAGGTCCTGAACTTACAGGTGCGGGAGTTAAATTGAGCTCTCAAAAACTGGTTTGCGAGGGAGCTCTCGGAAACGCGAGTGAAGACGAACCCCACTATGGCATGCTTGATCCAGAGATACAGTGATAAGCGAGAGTGCCTCTATCGATTCGGGTACTATCTAGCTAGATGATATGTTCAATAGTACTCCCATCCAGTGGTAGAGCTTCTGGCCGAAGCCAGCAGCCGCGGCATTTGCGTACGGTAGAGGAAGGAAAGGCAGGTTGTACGTTGTACAAGCATACCGGTACCTGACCCAATGTAGCAAAGCAGAGACCTACCGTCGGTACAGTCGTACCATTATTGCTCTACTAAAAATGAACCAGGAAAAAAGAAATGACCAGGAGCTTGCGTGGCTAATTCGGGTTTGCTATAGCCGTAATTATTTCAAAAGGCAAGCGAAGTATCCTTTTGGGGGGACCTCAATGTCACTCTTTTCCATTTTACTCTTCTAGTCCCTTCAAGCTCTCATTCGACAAGAGAGTTGCACTGCCTCTTCTTGACAGAGTAACCCTCCTTGGGCCCACTTTCTCTTTCATTAGATGTAATAACTCTGCTAGTAAGGCGCTGGCGGTCGAATCGGCTCCTGCCGACGGACCTTGGATGACCAGAGGATATGTCTCGTGCCTGTGAGTAAAGAACCTGACTGTTTCGCAGGAAGGCGGCGTCAACGCAAACACATGGGTGTCGGGTACTTCCACAATCCTGATCGAAATCCCTCGGTCCCGAACGTTGACACTAGAGATGTGCCGAAGCACGCAGCCCCTCTCTCGAGCGGCGTCCACTCTCTTTTTTATTGCCTCGTCCATCGCCCCAGATGAAATGTCTTGGTAGTCAATCTTAGCACCGTCTGGCATGCACACTTCCAACAACTTCTCGCTAGATTCCTGAATGCTCGCGGCAGACACATTCTGTTCGACCCCAAGTTCCTGCGCCAGAACCATTAGATTCCTTGCCGTGTAGTCATTGTTCAAATCAAGCGAAGGGTCCTTTTCCATCAATCCAAGCGACACTGCCTCCTTGATGGCTTCGCTAAAGAGACAGGGTTCATTACTGTGCGTGTCGGCCCCAAATGCCCCCATGGTAAACTCTTCATCAAATTTGTAACATGCCGAACCACGAGGTGGCGGAGATATTCGATACATGATGAAGGACATCGACACAGACATAATTCCATCCATTCTTCTAATCCTGTCGCCAGAGTCGAGGAGACTGTGCAGAGTCGTGATCACAGGCAAGGCTCCGCCCACGGTGACTTCACGAAGGTAATGCGCGGAAAGTTTGCCGTACAGTTTCTCAGCCGCTCGAATCTCATCCAATTGTTCCTTAGGTCCCGATAGACCCGTGTTGTTGGCTGTGACAATGTTAATACCCGAGCGCAACCAAGCGGCATGCATTTTACCGACTTGCGGGTTACTCGTACAGTCAAAACAAACGTGATGCGTGCACTCTTCTTGAAAAAGAACACCATAAAGAGACTCCAAACCACCAGCTTCCACAGTTGCAATTTCGTGTGTTTGTCCCTTGAAGGAGACAGCAGAATCTTCCATGTTGGAAGCATCACCACTCATGGCATCATTGTAGGCCATGTTTGTAATGGAATCGTTCGTGCCTGGCTTGTCGACAGTCAAACGAACAATACGGTCGGCTGTGCTGTTGGGAACCACTGCAACGACTTGCAAATCAACGTCGAAAATACTGCGTAGCTTGTCGCGTTGTGCTTGTAACAACTTCAACAGGGAGGTTCCAATCTCATTGTTCTCCAATCCAACAATGCCCACACGAACAGTTGTATGCGAGAGCCGAAAGGCGGCATGGATAGCTCGCAGGGCACGTGTTGATTCTTCTGTTTTGACGACGGCGGAAATGTTTCGTTCGGAGCAGCCCTGACTAATGGCGAGTACATTGATTTTGGCTTGACCGAGGGCCGAGAAGAAGCGCCCTGACACCCCGGCAACATTGGACATTCCATCGCCTACAGCGGCAATAATGCTACATGGCTCTTTCACCTGGATCTCCGTGATATGGTTGGCATGAATCTCTCTCCGAAACTCTTCTTCCAGTGCTGCCTTGGCCGTGCCTACATGATCTTGTCGTGTTGCAAATGTGATGGAATGCTCCGAGGATGCCTGTGAAATGAGAATGACATTGACCTGCATTTTTTCCAAGGTTCCAAAGAGACGATTGGCCACACCGGGGACTCCCATCATTCCTGTACCTTCCACGTTGATCAAGGCAATATTCTCGATGCTGCTAAAACCGCACACACACTTGTCCCCGTCCCCACTAGCCGTGGTGGACACGGTGAAGATTCTCGTTCCCCGAAAGGTTGGATTGAACGTGTTTCGGATAAAAATCGGGATTTGTGGGTTGGAGGAAATTGCTGGTTGCATTGTTTTTGGGTGAATAACCTTGGCACCAAAGTAACTCAGCTCCATTGCTTCATTATAGGATACCTAAGATGTGGGCAAACAGAATGTGAAGACAGCATGAGATTAGGAAAGTCTTGCCGTGTTGAAGAGATGCGGGAAAAATGACTTACATCCGGAATGACATAGGCACCTGGCACTCGCCGAGGATCTGCCGACAAACACCCTGTCAAGCGCAAAATAAAATGAAGTAGGCGACGAGACAATATTAGAGATTGTTGGATCTGACCGCACATATAATATATATACAATGTGCCATCCTTGACTTCTCACCATCAACATCGGTCCATATATTGATTTGTGCGGCGCCGAGCAAGCGTCCCAGAATAGCCGCCGAATAATCGGATCCATCTCGTTGCAAGGTGGTGGCTACCCCATTTGTATTGGATGCCACGTAGCCAGTCATGACCAAATGAACCTTGCTCTTTGGATTTTGTGCCTTGGCGCAGGCTTCTCGGTACACGTCTTGCAATTTGGTTTGACTAATATCCCAGCATACGGCCCCAGTTTGGACGGCATCTTCATCAACAATAATCACTCGTCGGGCATCGACATAATAAAACTCATTCGTGGCGTCAATTCCATTGTGGTCATTTTGATCATTGGCGGGAGATTCATCACTATCTTCGGCATCCATGGACAAAGATTCTGATTTGTTGGGGATGGTAGAAGGTAGCAAATAAGCATCTTGATGATTGTTGCCATTGGTTGGAAGTGCTTGTTGATTTTTGGTCTTGGCAGATGCTCTCATTTGCAGCAAGGCAGCCAATATTTGTGTGGACCAAACTTCTCCGTAACCACTGACTAATTCACTGATCCTTGCAGCTTGCCATTTCATCAATGACACAGTCTTTAGAATATCCAGAATGTCATCAATATCTTTCTTGACCACACTGAGCAATCTTTCCAATTCGGCGGGCAGTTCGCTGCCAAACAAAGTTTCCAAGCAACTCGTGTGTTTGTCCAGAATTTTCTGAATGGCTGCTTGAACGGCAGCATCATCCCGTGAGGCTGCGGCCGACACAGTGGATAATAGCAAATCAGTCGTCTTGGGTTTGCCGCCCATGGCCGATACTACGATGGCAACGTTCTTGGTATTGTCCAGAGAGTCTTCAATAATCTGAACCACTCGCAGAAAACACTCCGCACTGGCCACACTGGTGCCACCAAACTTGTGGACCAACCAGTCTTTGCCTGCAAGCGGAGATTGATCAGGGGCTGACATGCTAATGCTGCTCTTTGCCTGTCCACAAAATAAATAAATTATGAGAGCAGATCTTGCAAGGGTATCCAAAGTCCTCTGCCGAGAAAGGAATGAAATGGAATATGGAACGGAACCAAGTAACTGGTGCAGCTAGTTGCTCTGTTTAACCAACATCAAGGCAACCTCGCAAAGTTGAGAATGATAATGAAAGGAACGGATTGATGGGGACCTCTCTCCGAACATTAATGATGGTGGGATCCAGATCTTGTTGATCAGCCAATGACGATGATCGTGGACGAGAATTATTTGTGATTGACTAGGCTTGTTCCGCATAAGTGACCGAAGCTGTTTTATCATTCTTATTGTATCTTTCCTTACTTCTTCTTTTATTTAATGAATGTTTCCTGCCAGCTACCCTCATCCAATCTTCTCTCTTTCAGAACGGAGGTTGAACGTACTCTGAGTAAGGTTTCATTAATTTATCAGCCGCGTCAGACTGTGGTGTTCCGAAAGAGCCAATCGATTGCTCTCTCTGTGAGGTCCTTTAGAAGGCATATTGGGTAATTATTTGATGGTTTTCACAAGACCTGTCCTGCTAGCTAGCTAGTATGCATAGAGCTGTGCATTTATCTTAGCAGCAAAACCTGTCCTGTCCCTAATTAAAAAGTATAGGTATGGTCCTGATATCCACTGCATGGGTCGTCAGAGTCTTGCAGGAAGCTGTATAGTTTGCTTGTGTAAATGCTGCAGTGTGATGGGAGCCAATGATGTTTAAAAACAATGGTCTGTCAGTCGCTCAAAGCCTCTATATTTGCATGGTATCAGCTTGCCTTTACTATAGTAATACATGTACTTGTAGCGCCTCACTCCACTTCTGGGTGCACTTGCTTCGTGGTAGTCTCGGAATGGGAGTTCAACGGCCTTCTGCAGGTCATGCTGAGGCAAGCAAAAGATCTCATTCCGGGCCAGCAAGTTGAAGAGTTTTTGTTTTACCCCATCTCTCAAGAATACGGCATGGCCTGCTCGACTCCAAATTGGGCTGTTCGAGCGTTCGAGCCGCAGGACAGCAATTGCAAAGCGACAATGGAAATCACAACCGCACTTGCGTATACCGTCCACGACAATACATCAGCAACACAGCGACAATTGACGCAGGCAATTTATCGGTTCGCCACTGTGGTTGTTGCATTGCATGGTTGCAGAGGACTTGCGTCATCTTCTGAAGGAGACCAGGATAGCTGGCAACTTGTAGAAGAAAACACAAGAACAAAAGAACGCGCTGAAGAGAATCGAATCGAATCCTTGCGTTCCATTGTCACGCTGAGAAGTCGATAGTAGTAGTTGACCATGACTCAGGTGAGCGTTGAGACTGCTGCTATGGCGTCCACTACCAGTAGTGAGGTACCTTCCACCGCAGCAGATACAACAACCGAAGAAAGCGACAAGGACAACCACAATCGATCGCGAGATATGACCGAAACCACAGAACCAGCTTCTATTGAGTCCACTTCCTCCATGGTGGCGGCGAGCAATCCCCCCAGTACTGAGAAACCCATGATCAATAATACACGAGGCGACGATGGGGACGATGCAGCCAACCTACCGGCGGAAGAATCACTAGCCGACACGGAAGTGGCGAGCAGCAGCAGCACTGGACCCACAGCGCCCATGTTTTATCGATTGAATGCCTTTCGACGAGATACTGATGACGATGAAGACGACAACAATACGGATGGATTCCAAGCGATTCCAACTAAACAGTGCAAGAACACGAGAGAAGACACTGTCAGTACCACTTGCTCCTCCGCGGCTGGTATTTCTTCCAAATCTCGTGGCGTTCGCTTTAAGAACGTGTGTATTCGTGAATATGAGATTACCATTGGTGACAACCCCTACTGCTCCTATGGAGTACCCATTTGTCTTGACTGGAATCACGGAGACGATGAAGTCATTCCAATCGATTTTTTCGAAGCGTCACACAAACGAAGGCGTACAGCTCGTAGAATGTTGCTAAACTCCTTCCAAAGACGCGACATGCTGTGGCGATCGGGATATCTATTGGAGGACATTGAAAAGGCAATCAAAGCAAACGACAGAGAGAAATTCAGGAGGTCCGTCACCCTATACTTCCTACCACTATTCCATGTTCAGGAACTTTTATACTTTGGCGCCGAAAAAATCCTGGGAAAAGACAAACGCAATGAATCTCAATTGGTCCAGGAAATGGTTCAGAAACAACAAGCGGTTGAAATACAACACCGACAACAGGACGTAAACGCTGCCGAAATGGGAGGAATGACGGTGGACAAAGAATACGACGAAAACTCGGAAGATCCTCCACGCCGACGATTGTCCTTTCGATCGACGTCAACCCGCGGTGGGCCTGTGCCCTACGGCGTCGATGACTCGATTCGATCATCGAGTGCTTATTCCGATGTTTCTCATGAACGCGATGATCCGTACGCGGCGTCGGCGAACTCCAGATACAGAGAGTATTCCGTCCGGGTCGACCGTGGACAACACGACAAGGCAACTGAGATTATCCTGTGCAATCTGCAACGACCACACATGCGGGCTTTTCATGCTGCATGGTTCTCCTTCTTTATCGCATTTTTCAGTTGGTTCGCTGTCACTCCGCTCCTAGGAGAAATCATGGAAACCTTGAACTTGACAAAGGAACAAATTTGGGTCTCGTCGTTGTGCGGGACAGCCGGGACCATTATCATGCGTATTATGATGGGCCCGCTGTGTGATAAGTACGGAAGTCGACTCTGTATGGCATTCATCTTGGCCAGTTCCGCCATTCCATGCGCCTTGACTGGGCTCGTGGAAACATCGCAGGGCTTGTCCGCTGTGCGCAGCTTTGTTGGTATCGCAGGGAGTTCCTTTGTGGCTTGTCAGTATTGGACTTCGCAGATGTTTACCCGTGAAGTCGCAGGAACGGCAAATGCTTTGGTCGCTGGATGGGGCAACTTGGTGAGTGCGGACGGTGATCGTAGGCAATGGTGACAAGAACTGAGTTCCTAACTCGTGATTTCTGCCTTTCTAGGGAGGAGGTGTGACGCAGCTTATTATGGGCTCGGCGTTGTTTCCTCTTTTTAAATTGTTCTTTAGTCACGAAGACACTGACGATCCGAGCGATGGGACAAACAGCTCTGAGATGGCATGGAGGACTGTGTTCGTCGTGCCTGCTCTAGTATCTCTGATTACTGCCTACACTATCGCCTACCATTGCGATGATTCCCCCAAAGGAGACTACAGAGAACGCGTGCGACAGCAGGAGATTATGGTTGTCAGTCCCTCGGCTTCTCTATGTGCTGCGGCTCAAAACTACAATGTGTGGCTTCTGCTGCTTCAGTACGCATGTTGCTTTGGTGTCGAGGTGACCATGACGAACGCGACGGCTCTGTATTTTCGAGATGAGTTTGGTCAAACAACCGTGTCAGCTGCAGCCATTGCCTCTGGTAAGCAGCGTCCCTTTCGTGTTTGTGTTAACATGATCACGATTGTCATCTGCTTACGGCGAAGTGTTGTTTCTTTCGATGTGTAGTCTTTGGGTTCATGAATTTGTTCGCCCGTGGTTTGGGAGGTTTTGGTAGTGACCTGTTCAACGCCAAGTACGGGATGCGAGGCCGTGTGTCATGGCAAGCAGTCACCCTTTTTATGGAAGGAATTGGTGTGGTTATTTTTGGGTTTGCAGACACCCTAGCAGGTTCCATTATTGCCCTGATCTTCTTGTCTTTTATGGTGCAAAGTGCGGAGGGTTCTACGTTTGGTATTGTAAGTATCAGCAATCAAACCGCAATGCCTTGTTGGTGGTGGCTTTTGATCTTATGGTATTTGTCTAATGTTTGCTTGCTTGCTTGTTTGTCCGCTGCCAACTGCAGGTCCCCTACGTTGACAGAAGATTCACAGGCAAGTTCTCGTAGTGTTTTGGCACCGTGATTATTGGATGTTGGATTTTCAAAGCCCTTCCACACTGACCTTTTTCGGTTTTCGTTGCGTCGTGAAGGGTCCGTTGTTGGATGGGTCGGCGCTGGAGGCAACGTGGGCGGAGCCTGCTTTTCGGTGCTCTTTATTAGGTTTGAATACGAGAGAGCTTTCCTGTTCATGGGGATTTTGGCTTCTGCAAGCTCGGTTTTGAGCTTCTTCCTGAATTGCAAAACGCTTGCACGGAACGCTGAAACCCTTGCAAATGAAGGCAAGCGAGATGAAGGGGGCCATCATCATCTTCACAACGAGGCGATTGGAATGACACGCGACACAGCAATAACTTTCGCGCAATTGGAAGGACACGAAAAAACTCATCATGATGAAATTGTGGCATGAAGAGTCTCTCTTTGTCAAAGAGAACGACTTTGGTGGACGCCATGTCTTTTTCCAGGGTTTGCAGTTTTCCATTTTTGAATGCTTCCATTCCAGATTGCGCACAGCCTTCTTCGTGATGTTTTTGCACTCACGAAATTTTGTGGCAGGAGACTACCCCTGACAGTGTCATGCTATGCTGTAAGGTTTGGATGTTTTTTGCATGAGCTGTGTTTGCGTTTGTTTTGGGAGCCAGTCCTCTATCTACACCAGTCAGCTGCTGGTGCAAGTTTTTGAATTTCTTTGCATACTACCAATTCTGCGTATAATTTTTACATAACATTTTTTTTGTCTGCCTTTGGGAGGTTTGTTGCATCCTATTGCCCTAATGCTGAGGGAGAAGACGATAGGGAGTCCAGACGTGACAAACAGACCCCGACGTTTGTTTCAACAAGTTGACCGGTCTAGTGCGACCATTTTCACGTTCACAACACCAGAAGCCTTTGTTCCTGGTTGGAAGTCCCTTGCAACATGGCCACAAACCTTTTCTTTGACAAATATTACATTGACAGTCTGCTTGCTTTTCATTATGAAATCTCCCTGCGCTGCTGTGTCTCGTCCGTGCGCTTTCCTCTCTTGTTCCAGCCCTTGTATATCACGGGCTTAATACGTCGGGGCTTGATCGAGTCGTTCCTCTCTAAAAGTGCCTTCATTCGCCCTTGGCCAGCACCCTCCTCCTCTGTGCCCAAGGTTTCTCGTTCATTGAGTTTCTTGTTTTCCTTGCCTTTTCGCTCCTTCTTGTTGCCCTGTTCCTGGTCTCGCATTTTGGACTTTTGTGCTGCTTCTACAAAAGTGGCCTGCTTAGTCCTGGTCATTGCTGCCTTCTTCATTGTCTCTTTGTTCTGCTCCTGTCCAGGATCCTCTTCCTCTGTGTCCATGATTTCTTTTTCCTTGCCCTTCTTGTTTCCTTGGCCTTTTTCCTCCTTCTTCTTTTTGCGGCCAATATCTGGTTCTAACAGACCCTCTTGCAATGTTTCCTCAACTGCTGCAATCCTTTCCTTTGTTGTCTTCGTTTTGGAGGTGCTGGACTTCACTGCTTTGGTTGTGACCGATTTGACCGAACCCTTGTTCTTGGAAGAGGCGGGAATTTCTGGTTTCAAGGAGTCAATGCTGTCCAGTTCTGACGTTTCTTTAGCGCTGAAAAAATCCTTCAAGTTGCCCATTTTTGCAGAGCTCCTGCTGAGCCTGGCCCGATTTATGAGAGCAGTAGCCTTGGCAATCCTTTCTTCCGTGCTAATAGTCGTTTTCGCTGTCCCAGGCTCCACCCTATCAGAGGTGATTGTTGTTTGAGATAGTGGCTCCACCGCACCCACAAACTTTTCTTTCGCGGCGGCTTTCTTGGCCTTGGATTCTTTGTCATTGGTACCAGTACTCTCCTTTGTCTTTGTTCTTCTGTTGGCGCTCTCGTCCTTGCCCTTGTCAGTGGCAGAAGCAACCAAATCATCCAACTCTACATCGTGCTTTCTATTGTTGCTGTCTGCGTTGTTCGTTTCGACTTTCTGCTTCTTTTTTTGCTTCTTGCTCTTGTCGTTTGTGATCATGGCATGCTTGTCCTCTCCAACGCTTTCATTGTCAGTCTGTAGCTGTACAGCTTTCTTCTTCTTGGAAACTTGTGTCTTTGGATCAACAGTGGCGGATGATGTGACCCCTCGCAGGGATGCATGACTTGGCTTGGAATTGACCGTATCCACATTGGCAGCATCAGACTTGGAAGCTTTGTCTAGACCATCATTTTTCTTGGGAGGAGTGGATAGGTGCTTCTGAGTTTTCTTGTCGACTGTAGCCTGCGCCTTGTAGGTTTTTGTCTTTTCCAACTTGTCGCTTCTGTTTTCCGTGTCCACAGCGGGTTTTGCTCTCTTCTCAATCTTTGCTTCTTCGTTCACTTTTTCCTTTGTTTTGGTACTTTCCTCCAGACTCAATCGTTCTTCCTTGAAGGCTTCATCCAATTTCTTCTTCTTCTTCTTGAGGTTGGTTTGCCTCTGCTTTGTCGGCTCAGACGTGTCTTTGAGGGACTCCTCCTGATTTTCCAGAGCCTGCCGTTCTAGTAGGTTGCTACCGGTACTCGTAGCGGTGCTGAATTTCTTTTTGGGCTTCTTGTCATTTCTCTTCTGCGCTCCTTCTTTGGTGTTTGGATCTTGCTTCTGCCGCTGCTTTTCCATGTTGGCACGAACCTTGGCGCGTCCGTCCCGAAGCTTGTTTCGAAGATTCTTGTTGGTCAATGCGACTGGTTGACTGGATTTGGATGCCCTGGCAGCTTTGACTGCAGCCATCCTTTGGTCCTCTGGAGTGATGAACGGATTGTGAATGCCCCAATCATTGGCAGTGTGCCACAAATCCAGTTCCGTATTGGTGATACTGGCCAGGGCCGACCGGACTACATCATTCTCCAGATAGAGTTCAAAAGCCCCAAACACCATCAAACTCAAGAACAGGAACTTGTAAGCAAATCTTCGACCACATGGAAAGAGTGCCATCTTGGATGAATGAATAGATTCCTCGAACTAGCTACTTCTGTACCGGTACTATCGTATCAGGTGTCAACCGCAACCTGAAGGAGATGTGCGCCTGAGCTTCATGGTCTCAGAGATTTGGATCCTCAAAACTTCTCAACCGTTTCGCCGTTTCAAGCAAGCCGTCTCGAGGGTGCGCCAATGACAAAATAAGTCACGAATTCATACCCAAATGAGTCACGTTCATGTAAAGTTAAGGCTAGCTAGAGATTGGATCCTGAAAACGGCACCGCGTAGATCGTCGAACCACCAACACATGACAATTGAAAGACGATGGCTCTATTGAGATCAAGATGTCCTGGATCGGCACTGCCGCTGATGGCCAAGTTGCTCCTTTTATATCTTCCAGTTTGTTCTCCGTCTCCTGTGGAATTTGACGCCACAACTGATGTGCTGGCCGGTATCCGCGATGAAAGGGGTTTGTCATCTGCCTTTACTACGCGACGACAACCACAGCAAAGGCTCACAGAAGCCATGATTCGGTCCGATTGTGTACAAGAAGAACAAGAAGAGGATCTGATGGATCTGCGGATGTATTCATCCAACGATTATGACGATGAATTTGACGTTCCAAGTCCCTTGTCGTCATCCTTGTCATCCAGTCTGCAGAGAATGCGTTTGCCCGAATCGTTTCAAGATCCCCTTTTCTTGGTGGACTCACCATCATCTGTTCCTCCACACCACCACAATCACCTACCGAAACAACAACTTGGAGGCATCAAACCCACACTCTTGTCCACGGGAACTACCATTGCCGGGGTTTGTGGAATTGATGCGGAAACGGGAGAGTCGTTTGTGGTCCTGGGAGCCGACACTAGAGCCACTGCAGGCAATATGGTGGCAGATAAACGCTGCCAGAAAATACATTGTCTGGCACGGAACATGTGGGCATGTGGGGCAGGGACTGCGGCTGATTTGGATCAAGTCACACGCCACTGTCGCTATGCCTTGGCCTTGGAATCCTTGAGGAAACAAGGTATTGCCAACAATCCTCAGCGATGGGATCCTCCTGAGGAATACAACAGCAAAAACGATCTGGAGGAAAAACCTGCCACGCATGCGGCATCCATGGCGACGGCCTGTAGATTCTTTCGTGACCTATTGTATGAGGCACGAGGACAAACTGGCGCCAACTTGATTGTGGGAGGAGTTGATGAAGACACTGGAATTCCACACATTCGAGCAATCCACCCTCATGGATCGATGGACACATTGCCATATGCAGCCCTTGGCAGTGGAGGATTGGCGGCCATGGCGGTGGTTGAAAGTCGGTATCAGGCCAATTTGACATTGGACAAAGCCATTGAAATTGTCACAGAAGCAATTCTCTCGGGCATTCGGAATGATTTGGGAAGTGGATCTCAGGTCGATTTGTGCGTTATACGTGTAGCAAATGGCAGAGTTGTTTCGAACTACACAAGGGCTGCCTTTCCAGAAGAAACAATACCCGAGGAACAGGCGTTCAACAAGAGAAGTGCCGAAATCACAAATGACGGGAGCAGCAGTGCAGTCGCAAGTCAATCTACTCCTGGTGTCAACGGCTTTGGAAACTACCCTTTCTTGCTACGTTCGAAACGATTGATTGTACCTAGTCGCAAAGCCGAGACAACAGATCGAGATCGACAGTGGAATGAACTCCTTGGGATCGTTCAAGAGGATTGAGTGGACCCTCAGTCGTTTGTCATGCGAAAGCTTGGAGCCGTGGCGAACATTTGCTACGTACATTCATCCGTAAATGTGCGTCCTGTGAGGTGAAGCAGCCAAGCACGCGTCAACAGGAATGTGGACGTCATGGGTTTCTAGAGCTAGAATATGCGCGATTGTGTGCCAATCAGTCGAGAATTCACCGTTGTGAACCTGTCTGTAAACTGTTGAAAAGTTCATTGACTTATTTTTGTTCGCACCGAATACATGGTGCTACGTCGGACACCGATATTGGCGTGGGTACCTTGCTATACAATATACAGGCCAATGTCTCATAAATGGATCGCAAGCACTTTTTTCGACTTCAGTCACTACCTAGGTAGAGGGCACCATGGGAATCAAATCCTGTAGATTGGTCTCAATTTCAAAACAGTCTTGTCCCGTCACTGCTTGGTGGAAGTTCACTTTCTTTGGCCTCAATGATGGGGCTGGTTCTACTGCTCTTTCCACTGCGAAGTCCTTGGCTCCCGGAGAGGAGGGTATTGGAACTGCAGAGGCCAGTGGAAGCTCATTGTTATTGCAGCCAGGCGATCTTTCCTTGGGCAGTTCTGCCAAAGCCACCGATGCTATCTTTGTGGATGCTGCTGCAGAAGTCAGCCGAATGCTTGACCTGGGAATTTCGTCTGGTAGGCCAATCTTCAATGGAATCTTGATGGAAGGCTGCACACCGTACGTGTCTGTAATGAACTTCGCTTTGAGATAGTGTCTGATGTCCACCAGTACCCCAGCGTAGGAATCTTTAGCTCGAATTGGGCATTCCAGTTCCACTGAACTAGTCCCCGAAGCCAAATTGTCGTGCATAGAGGTGTACTTGGCAATCTGTTCTTCCATCGTTGGGTGGTTGACCTCCACAATGTTGGACTTGTTGGCGTTTTCCCTCTCCAAACCTGGTAGTTTGAGGTCATCAATGTTGGCAAGTGTGGTCTTGTTGACCTTGGTCTTGCTGTAACCTTCTTTCAATCCCCAATTCAAAAGTTCCACCATTTTTACTTCTACACGTTGGATCTTGACAAGAGAGTCATTTCGACAAGACAATGAAAGACGAAGCTGTTCTCCCTTTCGGATATGAATGTTCTGGACACTGGCCGCCACGCAGATAGAGCCGAGGTTCTTTCCCTTCACGGATATCACGGGTTGAGTGACAGGCTGCATGACAAAAGGTGCCCGCTGATGCTCGAGGGGCGCAGCGGCAATCGCCACTGGAATCGACTTGTGACAACTTCCCATTCGGGCAGTGAGCTTGTATTGAATGTTAAAGCCCGCATCTCCGACTCCAAGTCGGTGCATACTGGATGATGGCAGAGAACCGGGAAGATTGACCGAAAAGGGAAGCCTCATCTCTCCTGGATTCAACCTCGATCTGGACAAGTCGGAAACGGGCACTGTAGCTGTAAAGAACACATGGTCCTTGCACCTAGGCGAAAGGAATCAATGAGAGAATCTGATGAGCGGCCTTTTTGACAAATCTCAGCCTCCAGTGATTTGTCGTAACTTACAAGTCCATAGGCCCCTTCTTTCGAATTGCTTTTTCCTTCCCCACCAATTCGACCTCTATCTTGCCTCCGGTTGACTCCTGATCTACTTGAAGGACAACTGTCCCTCCAAGCTCGCATCCCGCTCTGGCGACTGACAACGGAGACTGTCATTGTTAGTGAAGGATACAGTAGACGATAAAGATACGGTTGCCCCTCTTGTATCACTCACCGCCTTCTTTGTCGTTCAACACGACACTGAGGGTACCATGATCAGATCCGAAAGCACGGGTCAAAGCGTTGATATAGCTTGTCATCTTTTCTTTGTCACAAAAACTTTAGTTGTGAAGGAAGCATCGCATTCCTCACAGATCGAGAGAACGACTTCCGGTATTGGGATCAAGATGCATTGTTCTGCGCCGGGACAGGACGCAGAAAATCGGCAAGTGTATTGATGTTCCGTTTGGCGTTCTGTTGGATCTATCATCCATGCAATCCCGTCCCACGCAACGGCCAAAAAAATGAGGAGCGAGGAGTTGATCCGCCCAGCTCTTGCCGACAAATGGCAGAGTATCATCGACGAAATAACGGCAAACGTTGAACCCAATCATGGCTTGGATCTTACTCGAATTAGAAATGTTGAGATAGCACAGCTGCTTGACACTGACTGTGATTCGAAAGTACCAGTACTGGGACCAGTCTCGGTCGTCCGTACGGAATTTGGCCGCCGCCTTTCGTTCAGGCTACGGTAGGGTGGAGGAGACCTCACTGGTACCGGTACCAGCACTGTGCAGGGAAGAGACAGACCCGAAGGAGAGTCTGCCTACAGCGTATGTTGGAACGGATGCTGAGGCAGGCTTAGTGAGGCACCGGATAAGAAATTTTTAAGAACAAGTAAGATGAAGTTCAAGCCAGTAAACTAAATGTAAGAATATCATGTTCTGGCTGCCGACGATCCAACCGAAAAGGAGACATGCGATGCTGCATCAAACCCACAATGATTGTTGTGAGTCTTGCTGTGGGGTTGCTTGTCGCGGTGGCGGTGAAGGCTGCACTACGTTCCCCGCCGGAGCTTGCGGTAGAAGATGCTCTCCTGGTTGCTGCTGTGGGAGTCCCAAACTGCGTGCAGTGATGATCTGGTCCCATTCGTTCAGTTCAGAACGAATCAGATGATAGTTTTGCTGGAGGTCGACGCAAGAGGGAGCGAGCCGTTCAACCATGGTTGGCCGGTTCCATTCGGTGGTGCCCTTGACAGCGGCAGCACAATACTCACACGTCAAGTTCTGGCCACCATTGACTACTGGCGACAAGATTGCAGCCACCCTTGGTTGATCAAAATCAACATTGACATGGGCAATGATGCTGCCAAACTCAGAAGCAGATATGGTGGAAAACAGAACCCTCCAAGCAGGATCCAGAAGCTTGGCCTTGATGATGTCGTAGTCTTCCACGGACAGGAGCATCTCACAGAAAAGACTACTCAAAGAGGGGAGCGCAGGAGGGGTTTGACTCGGAGGAATGCTGTTGTAGCTAGTGTTGCAGTAGTCGGCTCCTTCCCCGAGGACGATGGCGCCTCCTCCCAACACAATAAAGCTTGGATCAATAACTGTTACGGGAGCATCCTCGGAATTTGACGGGACAGGCACGGCCGAAACAATCGTGGCCTGGACGTCTTCAAAGAATGGAGCAGAAGGACTTATTTCAGGTTGCTGATATGTAGGCCAGGTGGGCATAGATGACGTGACCGTCGTCGCTGGTATCGCAGCCGGAGGCAGACTTGGAAGAGAAGATGACATGGGCTGTGGGGGAGCACTTGGCCGGGGAGCACTTGGTGGAGGATCACTTGGAGGCGGGTCGATTGTGAGTTGTGGTGTCATTGCTGGCAGTGGTGCGCTTGGTGGGAGGACGGGTGTAGATTGAGTCATCGAGCCGATGTTGGTTGTCATCGGGGGGGGCAGTGGTGCGAAGAAAGTCGAATGAGACTCATCGTTCGAACGACTTCTTGTGAGCGGAGCACGTCTCGATTCCGCGGTGGTGGTTGCACGTTCAGGAACCTGTGTTTCTGGCGGGGCTATCGGCATCGGAGGGGGTAGGACATCCAAGGAGGTCAGGGCAATCGGAATCATGAGCTCCGATGCCGATCTGTTCCTTCTGAGATCACATCGTACCGACCTTGAGCTTTGCGACGCGAGGGTTGTTTGCCGAGGTACTGGAGGATTGCCAATTTTGAGCGGAATCACTATGGAAGGGTTGTCAGTGACCGAGTTTGTCATCAGTTTGACCTTGATGAAGTGCTTAACATGGAGGAGCTTTCCCTTGTAACTGTCTCTTGCTTTCATAGGACACAGAAACTCCAACAAGAATTTGTTCTCTGCCAATTCCGTGTATATTTCTGCGAATTGTTGCGCTTTATCTGCCTGCGACATGCTTTGTGACTTCCGGACTTGTTCGTTGGTTGTTGCTTTGTGAAGCAGACCCTTCAGATTCGTCTCTTTCTCTGTATACAGAGTCTCTTTAAAGGTTTTGCTCTCGTCGAAGTTACCGTCTTTCGCTCGCTGTGCGCTTCCCGCAACAACTTCTTGTACTTTGACATCGACTCGTTGTATATCGACCAGTGAATCATTGCGACAGGACAATGCCAGTTGAATCCGATCCCCTCTACCTATATGGGAATCCTTGACCTGTGCGGCCAGAGAGATTGTGCCTTGTTCAATCCTTCCGAGAGACTTGACAGCCTTGGTAATAGGATGATGCACACTAACAATTCGTTTATCGGGTAAGGGTGCTGAAGTCACTTTGAATACGTGTTCCGTCTTCGTGGAATACCCACGGGCAATGAGTTTGTACTGATGATTGTTGCATGATATTATATGTTTGAACCATGAATGGAAATGGTTGGTTTGGTTAGTTTGCATGGATTGGATTGTGAATTCTCAGAGCAGTCTTCCAATCTATAACAGAATGACAGAATGTTTCCTACCTCGACTTGCAAAACTCCCTCCTTGCTTGGCATCTTGAAGTGGCACGAGGCAGGCAATGATGCTGGTAGCTTGATGGCAAAGGGAAATACATAATGACGGCGCGGTCCCAATCCTCGACCACGGAACTCATCTAGTCGCTTTTCCATGCGACAAAACTTTCTTTCCGCTGTTTTTCTGCAAGGACGCAACATGAATGAATGAACAAATGTCGAGATATTGCATACAATCATGCTACCAAAGAAGCTTACCCATCCTTCAAGGCAGCTAGTTCCCGTCCCGAAATAGACAAATCAATGGATTCTCCCTGAACGATATCCTTGGATGTCACTTCACAGACAACCTTTCCTTTCAGAGCTGTTCCAGCTTCAGCAGCTACAGATACGGAAGAACAGAAAAAACGGAGAAAAATGAGGCAAACTGCAGAGTCGAGTCGAGTCGAGTCTAGTCAGACCAAAGTTGTATGACAGACGTACATCGATGATTCAGGTAGATCTTGAGCTTGACAGGGGCACCCGTTTGAGAGCCAAGCAGTGAGCGCATCATGGTGGATTAGATATCTCTTTCTAATAGATCCACAGTGGAACGTAACAACGCTGGCTGTGAAGGTCGAGTGGAACGTAACAACGCTGGCTGTGAAGGTCGTTGGCCAGTGGCCAGTCGCAAAACAACTGTTGTGAGAATGGTTTTCATCATACCGGTACTGTACCTGATGACTGATGACTTATTCGGCTTTTTCCCCTTTTTCCCCTTTTCCCTTTCTTCCAACACTTAAAGCCTCTAACCTTAAACTTGCACGACGGGGCGGCTCCTCGGCGCTCACAAGATACAGTCGTACCAGGTGTTCACCCGAGCGCAAACTTTCAAGATCTTTCCTCTCTTCTTCTTCTTCTGAAAGCTTGGATCTTGGATCTGAGGAAAGGCATCTTCTACAGTTCAGATTTGATTAGTGTGATGCACATGACAACATGTACAGTCGTACTTTGCTGCTGCTTGTCGCGATCGCCAACCTCTGGCGGGACAACTACCAATTGGTAGAAGCATCACACAGGTGGCAACCAAGCCGATCAAATCACTTCTACAGATATCCTACCGGTAGTCGACACAGTCTATTTGGAACTTGCCGTCGTTGCCACGGCAGTGCAATAACGAGGCGCACCAGTCTCAGTCTCCGTGGTGGAAGTGAAAACTTGGACGATCAAAGTAACTCCTCCCTTACATCTACAAATAAAACCACAGCCACCTCTTCCTCTGCTTCGACTACTAGTACTAGTACTGGCGCTAAATACAATCCACTGGCCTTTTATGCCCGCTGCATGACCATTGTCCTTATCTGGATCACGTCCGGCACTCTGTTTTATTCCTATTGCAACAAGTGGCCTCTCCCCCAATCGTTTTTTTATGCCGTCGATGCTGGAATGTCCATTGGATTCTGTACCGATGTCAAAGAAACACTCCTCATTTCCAAGGCATTCACAATCTTCTACATTCTTCTGGGGGCATCCATTGTGGGAGGAGCTCTGGCACTCTTTATTCAAGATGCCATGGAAAACATTTCTGAGCCTGCCGTACAGGAGTACCAACTCTTGTTGGCCAGGGAAACCTTTGACAAGGCGGATGTTGGTGACGATGGCGTCCTGAGTCGGGATGAATTTACCGCACTGATTCGGCAAGGTATGCCACAAATTACAGAGGAAGGCATAGGTCGACTATGGAACAAGTTCGATCGTCTCAAAGACGGTGTCATTCACTTTGAGGAGTTTGTTGGCTGCTACCGAGGCATTGATCGACTAGTCAAGGTCGTGCAAAGAGAGAATATTCAAAATTCTAAAGATATCCATCCACTCAAAAAGCTGAAATTCTACATTGGCTTTCGATTGCAGCAGTTGTGGGCATTGGAGCATCGCATTTATGTCGTATTTGTCCTTTGGGTTGGTGGCGGAATCGCCTGGGGCATTTTGGATCAGCACTGGGATCCCATTACAGCAACTCATTTTGCGGTCAGCGCCCTTGCCACTGGAGGCCTGACCGGTCCTGATGTCAACGCGGAAGGCATTCTGCCAACAGACCCTGCCATTTTTTGTGGCGTATTTTGTTTGTTTGGAATACCTCTCTTTGCTTTGACGCTAGGTCATTTTGCTCAGGTCTTGGTGGCGGGGCACGTAAAAGCCATGGAAACCACTGCACTCACAAGGCCGTTATCAGAGGCTGAGTTCGACCTGGCCAAGCACTTGACAACCCCCAAAGATTCACTTATTCATTTGAGTGATTTCATTGTATTGCAGCTGCTGAGACAAGGTAAGAACGCGTTGTACTGGCGTTGTTGTGGTGTGTCTGCAAATCCAACCATCCACTCATGCCTCTATTTGACTGTTCAGGCCGGCTGTCGTTGAGTGCGGTGGAGGTGTTGAGGCACAACTTTGATCTGCTCGATAGAGATAGAACTGGAACATTGACTTTGGAAGAGGCGACGGCCCCGATAGTGCCAAAGCGATAGATGCTCCACATCAGAAGTACCGTAATGCAGAATTCCACAGCACAATAATCCACAAACGTACCACCATACGAACGCATGCTTCACTGAGCGGGCATAACGAAGGGGCTCTGCACCAACAAGTTGCAAAGCTTTCAGAAAGACGCGCCTTGCTTCTAAAAGCGAATTCCCCGTGTATATTTGCCACGCGGTGATGTCCTATAGCTACAAGCTGGCTACGGTACCAGCGAAAGTCATCCAATCGCTGGATCATCTCATGAACAGAACAGGATTACCAAATTTCCAACCAAAAATAGTCTCCAGGCCTGGAACGTGCCGGTACGAGTAGTCTTGCAATCAACCCCGCAATAGCTTCGATGCAGATTGCTTTATCGTTTTGTCCAGTTGTTTCGCCGATGGTATGACGTAGTACTGTTCGAATGCCAGCATTTGTTTGACGGGATAGGTTTGCACCAAGGGGTATTGCCTGTGTTTGGTGTAGGAGTGATGTCGATGAACGCTGCTGCCATCATGATTATTGTCATTGTGAGCTTTGACCAACCGGACAAAGAATCGTGCCACATAAGCCGAGAATTCTACTGCTTCTTCCGAGTGATCAATGGCCTTGTACGGAATATTGGTTCCAGCATATGTGCCATACTCAAAAGCATTCTTTTCTGGGTGGTACTGTACACCATAAATTGGCATGATATGAGGATTTCTGGGTTCAATCGTCGATACAAAAGGTCGACCATGGCCATCCACATTCACAGATGTCACTTCAAAGAGTTTGTTCAGATTTTCATTGTTCCGAAATGCACTTGGTTCCACTCCCATATGGTGGGAGTTGGAAGTAACATTTTTCTGTCTGACAATCTGATAGATTCTGTCATCTTGATAGAGCTGCCGCCGTTGAACATTCAAAAGTGGCCAACTATTGTTTTCGGCATCAAATCCATCCGTGAGAACCGGCAGAGAGGAATTGGATGATAGGACTTGTACCAAGTATTCAAAACCGAGACAGGTACCCCAGACGGGAAAAGACTCGTCCAGCGCAAGATTCAACAACTGGTGGACAGCGGGAGGTACAGCAGAGCCTCCTCCTGGCAATAGCAGTCCATTGATCTGACCAAACAGATCCTTCACCATGCCTGGACCAGCGTCATAAGGAATCGGGATACTGCGAGCCCCACCAGATTCCAGCCACTTCACATAGCTTGCAGCAATTACATATTCTTCCTTCTGTTCCGTGTTTTGATCCGTCTTCCTGAGACCGATGGGTTGACTCAAGATCCCAATCACAGGCGATGAAGTCTGTTGTGCCGATACTGAAATTGCAGCATTCACACTCAAGCCGAAGGAGAGAGCAATGCAGGAAGACCAGAGCATGTTGCAAAGATAACACTACGACTCAACTCTCATCTGGGGTTTCTTCTTTTTCGCGACCAGATCGTCAACAAATGGCACTGCAAAATTAAGATATATCTGGTTCGCTGTCCAATTTACATATTTTTATCACCTTGTTGCAACCCTCTCACATTGTAGTTCCTTCGGCACAGGCTTGCTGTATGCACAGAATGTTTTTAGCAGCTCAGCCATGCACACTATTCTAAAAAGATCCGAGACGTCTCTTCTGTCACCTCCCACTCATCAATGAGCTTCAACCCTCTACCCAGTCTATGTCAACCATTTCCAGCATATCGGTATGTCAAAGTCAAAGTGGTGCTCTCCTGGCTCTAGCTGCAATTGGAGTGTTCACAGTAAATTCAGTCTTCATTTATTACTTATATAGATCCAGCTGTCCCCTTTCCAGGTGGAGAACGGAATCGAATCCAGTGTCATTGGCGGCATCCTCCCATTGCGTTGGGAGGACAAAGGGTGGTTGGTTTAGATGTCAATACCTTCATTTGTATTTAACATAATGTGGACAAACAATTTCAAAGTGCCAGAGGTTAAAATCGCCGGCAGAGGGACTGCAAGAGCAGGGATTTTACCGAGGGCAAACAGCACAAGATTTAGAAGTACTCCTGCAATGGCCGTTTGGATCAAGCGCTCTGTAGTCAAGATGAGCTCGAGGCGCCCCATCTGAATCAATGGTTCACGGACCGCCCACTTCAATTTCACCTTGGTGTAGGGATCCACGTCCCAGTTGGGAATCCATCGCGAGATTCCCCACCCAACCTCATTCATTCCGAGGGTAGAAGGCAATGTCTGGTCTTGGTAGACCAGCATTGGATGGCAGATGTAAACACTTGAGTTCGTAGGATCTCCAAACGCTACTTCATCCACCATGAAGTTGGCTTTGTATGCTCGTCGCAAGAGCTTTTGAGCGCCGCGTTTTGACACAACATAACCATGGCACCCTTCGGGTCTGTAGGGGACATGGATCCTGGTAGAATTATCAATAAAGCGTGGTTTCCGAGTTCCACCCACCAGCATGGCATCTAATATGTTCAACCCATAGTCTTGCTCTGGATGGACACAAGCAATGCCGCCAAGCATGAGAATATCCCACTGATCTCTCGTCTCTCCATTGGATTCAAGTTCTTCCACAAGGTCCTGGATCCTTTCTGAAAAGTTGTTACAGGCAATGATGGCATCATCTTCGAGAATCACTTGATAAGGAAACTTGGTTGACTTCAATACTTTCATCCAAGCATTCCGATGAGAAAGGAAGCAGCCGATGACCGGACGAGTGCAGAAGATTCGTGCCAATGGCGTTGTGTTGGCAACCAGCTCTTCCTCTGAAAGAGCCTTCCCATAAACAGCAGGAAATCGTTCCACAAGCTGTCCTCCTTTATTTTGTAGCTCAAGGATCACTTTGCCCCATCGTGCCTTGTCTTTATCAAGGTTGATGACATTGATCGGCACCACAGGCTGTTTGCTGGCATTTGTAAGGACTGGCTTTTGGTTACCGTCTGCGATGGTTTTGGTCGGGAAGGCTCTGTCCTTGTGGTGTCCATTGAGGGCGAGAGGATCACCGCCACCCATACTGCGATGGTTGTTTCGGTGGTAAAGGGATCGAAGCAGCATGGTTTTGGTCTTGGCTTAGCAAATTATGTTGCTCCACAAACGAGATTTCGATGGAGTGGAGACGGTACCGAGATGAGATCATATAGTGTAGCTTCCTACTCCCTCTGTCGCGATACCAGGCACACACTTTGAAAGAAGTCTTTGATTTAGCCGAAGATGGATGCTATTCTTGTTTCAACGTCTCGAACCTTGTTCGGCTATGAACCTGATCCGAATTGGTGCGATAGTGCCATTCATGCATTCAAGCCAATGACAATGCATTTTTCGCGTCGCAGATACACCCGGACACCACAACTCTACAGGACCTCTGTGGAAACGTCATTCGTGGCAAAATACTTAAGAGACGATACACCGAGGCATAGGCGACGATTGAAAGGATTTATGAGACGAAAGCAATCCTCTCCTATATTTAGGAGACGATTCAGTAGGAGACATTCCAATTAGGCGACGATAATTTCGAAATAGGAGACGATACTAAAGATTTAGGAGACGAAACCATACAGTTTACATGGTACACTTAGGAGACGATCCGTTGAGAATAGGAGACGATCCGTTGAAAATAGGAGACGATTCAAGAGGAGACGAAAGATTTAAGAGACGATCCGTTTCGTCTCCTATTTTTAGGAGACGAAATCCATTAAATAGGAGACGATCAAAAGGATTTAGGAGACGATCGGTTGCACGACTCAAGTTTCCACAGAGGTCCAGTCCGTGGTGATTCAAACCACGCAATGCAATTTGCTTCTGGGATAGGATATATGTACCGGTACCAGCGGTACAGTTTTTTTTTTGCGCACCCTAAATCCTGCTCTTGGAAAGATGAGGGGGACACGTCTGAATACTTGCCAAAAGATCTCGAGCTGTCCCTGCAAGCTAGCTGCTGCATCTATCTGTCTTCGTAGTTTGTTTTGCTTCTAATAAAGAGTGAGTCGATCAGACACCCCTTCATCTGCTTGCCCACCGATCGATCAGCCAAGCCTCCACCATGGCGGAAACGCCGCATCAGTTTGTCGAGCAAGTGCTAGTACCAGGAAGCCCCGAGGCTTTGCTGGTTGGTCACCTCATTGCAGGTAATAAAACATATGCGTAGCCTGCGTTGCAGTATCCAACTATCTTATTACCGTCATTGTCGGTATTCTACCGATGATTGCTGCCATGCGTCCTCACATGCTTCCTCGACCTTCATCTCAGGATTTCCGCTCGTCCTTGCGGGTACCGGTACCAGTACCAGTCTGCTGCTGCTTTCATTGAAGAGAGCTCGTCCCCTATAGGACCTTTGCCGAACTACACATCCCGGAACAGAATCTCCATGTTCTCAGCCGCGTCGCCAAGGGTACAGTCATTCTCACATGCGGTGGTGTGCTTTAAACGTCGGGATGGCTGTTGCGTACAACGACTATTTCTTGATGCTCAATCATGCCATGCCCTGGTTTTGTTTCTTCTGTGTCGGTGTTGTCTCACTGTTGGAAGCACAACGAAAGCTGCCTCCTGATTCATACCGCCAGTACCTTGCCCTTGCCTTGTTTCTATCCTTTGCCACGCTCCACGACCATGCTGTTGAAAAACATGTAAAGACCATAGTCAAGTTTCACCTCTACGTGGCCTACATCCATTTGGCAAATGCCATGGTCCTGGCTTATTCGGCCAAACATCCAGAGAACATTGTCGCCTACATTGCTGGCTGGGCATTGTTGCTGATTCAGGGCCTTTGGCTCTATCTTATCGGGTTCTATTTTTGTTGTGTCGACGTCAAATCCTTCCGCATTGGATCCTACTCTAGCCTTTTGGTATTGCTTGTCACGCTGACCATAACTGTATCGGTGGCTCTTTGGGGCCAGCCCAATCGCACAGGCACAACCCACAAAGATCGAAGGAATGACAATGATGTCCGGGGGGTCTCACAGTGGAATCCAAATGGTGATGTTGGTCCCTACACCAGGGTGAACTTGAAGTGGGCTGCCTGTGCACCCGTAATGAAGCTGGGAGGCTTTGTTTTGACCACAGAACTCTTTGTTTGTTTGTCATTGCAGGAGTGGTTCTAAGCCTTGTGCTGTTTGAACTTGGTGGTACCGGTACATGTAAGAAGGTGCCTGCTTCGCCCCTGCCAACATTCCCCCCTCTTGCGCATTGAAAATTGTTTGTAGAGATGACGTTTTTAAACATTTAAAAATACAAATGAAGCTATTGACATCTAGCTAGCCAGCTAGCTTGGTCAGAAAAATTTTTAAGCTAGAAGTTAAAAGGATGGGCTCCCGCAGGGGGCTTAGAAGTTTAAAGATTGGGCCCTTGGGGCCCAACCACCAAGCTAGCTAATGGGAGTGGAACACATGGCCTTCTGGCTGGCCCTCAAAGCACTGCAGCAGAACCTCTTTCATCTCTGGCTTTGTCTTTTTGATGGACTTTCCCAGGACCCTGGCCCAATTCTTCATGTCTGCGAAGCTTGCGGAGGAGTCCAACAGCTTGGCTTTGGTCAGACCGCCTTGCTTCGGAGCAGCCTTTCTCTTTCCAGTGGCATGTTGATTGATGGCGGCCATCTGAACCAGCATACCCCCCTGTCTGAGCAAAGCTTTGGCATGCTGGGGCCTCAACCTACCCCTGAGACCAGCGTTGCCCTGCCCCATCATGTTGAAGTGCATTCGATCGAATGATTCGGCAGCGAGCTTGGGAAATATTGCTGCAGATGCCGATCCAATTTTCCGGCAACTAGAGGAGTCCTGGTTTTCGCAGAGGCACGCCCTTTCTTGCCAACAGCTGACAAGAACACGATGCCATTGTCGTCTACCTTGGGGAAGAGTCCACTGGAGTAAAAGTTCCGGATGTAGTGGTCAATACAAGCCGGAGCCTCTTTCGTACTCGCACTCATCGTCGTCCTTGGATTCCGTTGAATACCTCTGCGGCTATCCTTGGCTTGCGATGGATACCTCTGCGGTAGGATGGCGTTGAATACCTCTGCGGCTATACAGCTTCCTCGGATTGCGATGAAAGCAGCTATATCCTCGGCGTGCGGTAAGTACCTCTATGGCTACTATTACGGATGGGATGACCTCGGTTATACTGTCTTGCTTCACTATCTCGCTCAATTTGAAATCCTCTGGATGCATGCTCCGTCGGTCTTTCGAAAACACACGAAAACAACACCACGAGAGACTGATCGAGCTGACACAGAGAAATTGGAAATGCGAAAGCACGACTGACGTCAGCTTACTGACGTCATCGAAAAGATCGAACGATTGATTCTGATTGGCTAATATCCTCTACAGCGGCCTCTACAGCGGTAGGCCGATGTCGGCACGACGGTCCCGCTGTACTTTCTGTACCAATCCTTTTACCTTCTGTGGATCGAAATACCGTGGTCAATAGAATGTTGCAAATAATGACAACATGACAACCATGCCCATTTTTGATGCTCAACTGACGCAATAAGTCCTTACGGTACACAAAGCGAATGATTGAATCGAATCATTCAATCAAGGACTACTGTATTGAACCATGTCATCACACATCATCGCATGATCTTGTTGTAGTCTAGGATGGATGCATGCAGCTGCTTTTGGAATCAAATTCTCATCGCAACCAAATCCAATCAAGTATATCCAGTATTGGAAGACAGTTTTTGCTAGTGACGAGGGGTGCGTCTTTCCCACTCAAGACATCGGGTTGGGGGGACGGGGGACGGAGGTGGTTGAGGGTTTCGTTAGGGTTAATCCTATTTAACCAAACTTAACTGACGGGAGCAGATTTTCAACGGTCTAGTTACCAAGCGACGAGCGTCTCACAAATTCTAGTCGTGTCACGCTTGTTAATACCAGCGAGGGCGGCGCGACTTAGCTCGATGAGGTGCTTTCCGAAACGACTGCAATGACGTCGGAGAACCTAGCTTAACTCCTAGGGGAATCTTAAAATAAGGTTGGTCCACCTCCTATAAATCTTTTTAAAATTTACTATGGGAAAAACAGTAGGGGACGGGGGATCGAGGTGAGGTAATACTACGGATTCGGATTGAACTGTCCTTTCCCATGCTCGGAAGCGGATTTCCCAACCTCGGAAGGAGATTTTCCTTCCCCGTACTTAGGTTGTGTACGTTTCTACGTGAGGATTAATCGGCGTGCCAGTCGATCCTTAAGTTTGTCTCATGCAACGGTCCGAGTCGAATCCAACAGCACTGTCCCTTAAGTAAATCTCAAGGAAAATTCCCTTCAGAGGGTCCGAAATCTGCTTCACCGGGTGGGAAATCAGCTTCCGAGCAAGGGAAAGGACAGTTCAATCCGAATCCGTAGTAATGGAAAATCTCACCTCGGTCCCCCCCACACTCTTAAGATATTTGTTTTTTTACTTTGCACTCGTGATTAAGAAAGTAACGTGGAAGCAAACTGATGGAGAAGCTACGGCGGCGTGAGTGGTTAACGTGGAAGATCCGAACCACGCTGAGGTCGTACGAAACTGGCAAAGTTGGCGAGTACCTGGTAACGGGAAACACAACTTCACAAGGTCGACAAACAAACAACAACAAGCAGAGACTATCTCCGATTGACAGATCATTTCTGAAACCTTCAACAGCAAGCTAACATGGCCCGAGTCAACTTTCGTGGAATCGACCTTGTTTTTTTGGTATCTCAAAGTGATCTGTTTGAATCTTGAAGAGGCGGTAAAGTAATGGCACCTGTTGTTTGCTGGATCCAGAGAGTCCAGCAAGTGAAAATATGAGGAGAATAATGCACAAGTTCGGTATGCTCTCGTCACTGTCGTAACCGTTGACTGTTGTCTTCACCAGTGAATTCGAACATGACCCAGTTTTATCTCAGCGGGCGGTTCGTCACGTTCGCTGGTTAACACCCCAAGGGGCTTGTAGTTGACTACTCGTAGTACTTGGTAGTTTGATGAGTAGAGGTCATAGGGCATATGTAGAATTTAATGCTCAACTGACAAGTAACCCGGAGATTGTACTCAATTGCTACACCCATTTAGTTCACGATGGAGGTATTTGAGTTGAGCTAATTTTAATTAATTAAAGCGATCTTCGCACAAAAATCAACTATTGTACAGTAAATGTATAGTAAATAAATCCTCTGAACCACTCTTCTTTAAGTGAAACCTGTAAAAATTGACTCTAAAGTGTTCTGGTAGATATTCAACGCAGGGTTCGGAAACCACTTAGGATTCCTTAGTGGTTCTGGTTCCGGTTACGGAACTAGATAGCCAAACCCCAAGTGGTTCCGGTTACGGAACTATTTAGAAAATACTTAGTGGTTCTGGTTCCGGTTCCGGAACTAGATAGCCAAAACCTAAGTGGTTCCGGTTCCGGTTCCGGTTACCAAGTGGTTCCATAAATAGTTCAACGTGTATTTCAAACTTTACTGTAGAAAAATTACCTTTTTCAAACCGAGGAAAGGAGGAGGTGGATTACACACAGTAGTAGACTAGTCATTTGCTGCGACTCTGCTTGCACCCCAAAGCAATCAAGCACTCTTCTGGACCGTCCGACGGTTTTCGCTCAGGCTTTAAAAACTGCCACGACTGACTCAAATGCTGGTTCTGGTTAAGAGGATGTAAGAGGATGTGAAGATTTAAGAGGATGTTTAAGAGTGCAATACACGGCTCTTAGCCTTATTCGCGACTCGATCCTAAATAGGGTTTGAGTTCGACTCATGACTGAGTCTCTCGTGAATAGTCATTTGAGACAGGGTTCTCAATGACCGCGCTAGTCATACTAGGTTGATGATGAAACATCGCTCTAGATATTTAGCCAGCGTGGAGTACTTCCACGCTACTAGATAAATGCTAGACGAATCTTCCACGCGTTCCGTTTTTGGATCGTGGAGTGAGTAGGATTGCTACCGCAACCTACTCTATCACACTCTACAGTCTCCCGCGGGAGTTCAGATCTACGATCCTTTGGTTGTAGATCTCTCTCGTTGATTAGTTTTCATAGCTTTCTAATCCTCTCATAACTTTCATTCTCTCAAACTCAAAACACTCGAAAGATCTTTACACTAACACTATGCCATTGCACTCCCGAAGGGAAAGCACGAGTACCAGAGGTTGCCAATGGGCCTATGTAATAGTCCCGACATCTTCCAAGAGAAGATGGGAACACTAATGCACGACCTAGAATACGTCCGTGCATACATTGATGATCTACTCATCCTAACGGACGTCGATCTCGCAGATCGCGTTGAATAGTAGGATGACCTTTTCCAAAGACTTCAAGAAGTCGGGATTGAAATCAACACTACCAAGGCCTTCCTCGATAGGAAGAACTGGAGTATCTAGTATCTTAGACAATTGGACTTCTCGAGGAAGGAAGCCAACCCTTAACAAAAAAGATAATAGATGCGATCAGCTATCGCTCTTCCCACCAACAAGGAAGGAATCGTAGATTCATTGGACCAATGAACTACCAAGGGCTGCTCCAAGACAGCAGACGGAGTAAACCATCGTTCTGAAACAGACGTGGTTACCAGTATCCATGAGACCGGTCGTCATGGACAGAGAACGTGAGTCCCGCGTAGAGGTCGAGAAGACTCTCCGGGATGAACATGGACTTCGTCGCAAGTTCACGCGCGTCAATCGTGACAAGACTCACCCAACCGTTTCAAAGCAAACGGAAATACATTAAGGAACGTCGCCAACGACTTATCCAGAAAAAACCCGATAAGGAGAACACGCACGTTCCCTCATCAACACCATGTCAACGATAATATGATGATTCATCAGTATCAGAACCGTTCGTACGGTCAGCCCACGCACAAAGGTCCTTACCACACACAGACCGAGTCAATAACAATGGCACTGTATGGCTCCGACATACTACCGCCAATAGCGGCACAGTCTACCAGACTTGGAACATAAGGTATATTCAACCCATACAAGGCCTGATCCCCTTGTAGGATTGCCATCGTGGACGCACATGTCTACATCCAATTTCCGGAGAGTGCCCCGCACTTTAATTCATATGTTCTCCTTGTCCGACTGATGTCGTGCCTTCGTGACCCTTGTCAGGGGGCGAATGCAAAACACGCTCTTAGCCTTATTCGCGACTCGATCCTAGATAGGGTTGAGTTCGACTCATGACTGAGTCTCTCGTGAATAGTCATTGAGACAGGGTCTCAATGACCGCTCTAGTCATACTAGGTTGATGATGAAACATCGCTCTAGATATTTAGCCAGCGTGGAGTACTTCCACGCTACTAGATAAATGCTAGACGATCTTCCACGCGTTCCGTTTTTGGATCGTGGAGTGAGTAGGATTGCTACCGCAACCTACTCTATCACACTCTACAGTCTCCCGCGGGAGTTCAGATCTACGATCCTTTGGTTGTAGATCTCTCTCGTTGATTAGTTTTCATAGCTTTCTAATCCTCTCATAACTTTCATTTCTCTTCAAACTCAAAACACTCGAAAGATCTTTACACTAGCTTTTAGCGTAGTGCAAGAGGATGTTGAATATTTAAGAGATGTTGTTAATTAAGAGGATGTTTATTTAAAGGGATGTTCATTCGTGATAAGAGAATGTTCTATGGTGTTTCAATGAAGGCTTAAGAGGATATTTCGAAGCTTTAAGCGGATGTTGTTAAGAGGATTATTTAAGAGGATGTTTAAGAGGATGTTTTAAGAGGATGTTTAAGGGATGTTGAAGATTCAAGAGGAGTTAAGAGGATGTTTAAGAGGTGTTGTCAGTGGTGGAAGTTTGAAATTTTTTAAATCCTTAGCGAAAACCGTCGGACGGTCCTGGACTCTGTGGAAACATCATTCGTGGCAAAATACTTAAGAGACGATACTCCGAGGCATAGGAGACGATTAAAGGATTTAGAGACGAAAGCAATCGTCTTATATTTAGGAACGATTCAGAGGAGACTTCCAATTAGGAGACGATCGTTCGAAATAGGAGAGATCAAAAGATTTAGGGGACGATACATACAGTTTACATGGTGCACTTAGGAGACGATCCGTTTGATAGGAGACGAATTAAAAGAAGACGAAAGATTTAAGAGACGATCCGTTTCGTCTCCTATTTTTAGGAGCCGAAATCCATTAAATAGGATGAGGAAGATCAAAAGGATTTAGGGAGAACGATCGGGTTAGCACGACTCGAGTTCCCACATTAGGTCCTTTTAAGCGATCGCTTCTCAGAAGAACACGGTGACTTCTCCACAATCACACTGCACAGCAATGACGATTCCTTCGTGATGGGATTCCTAGGGCTTCGTATAGTTCTCTGTTGGCTCTGCTCTTGGGAAGTCCCTCCACTACTGTCTGGTCACAAAGGTTACGGTCCGTGACCCTTCGCCCTGCTCCCGCCTCCTCCCGCTGTGCTCTTCGTTTTGTCCTCCGCAACCATTTGATAGTTAACCGGATTCGCGTGCGATGCCGTCCCTGAGTTTGCTGGTACTTGGAACATTGATACGAGTCAGTTAGCACTGCCCGTGCTGACCGAGTTTAGTCAAATGTAGCCGCAAGTTGCGATTCGAGCAAAAACAGCGCGAGGACGTAGGATTACGCTGATAGGTAAGGTGAAACTGTGCTACAATCAAGGTCGCTGACGAGTCGTTGTGAGTATGGGAAGGGCGGAGGTGTACTGTGGTCTCGCTGTTCAAGTCCAAAGATCTGGCAACCGCTTATGCTGTCGTGGCGGTTTCTTGCGTGAAGTGCAGTTAGACGGACTCGGTGGCCAGGATTTGTGGGAGTTCTATTCCGCTTATGCTGGCGTTGTGGCGTGTCAGATTTCTCTCTTGGTTCGTGGATGTCGACACGGATGGGCACGTATGTTCATCACAGATCAACAACAACTGGAAATCGACAGTCGATGAAGCTGTGGTTCTCCGCATTTTTGCCTTTGTGGGTGCTTCGCTTGTCGAAATAGACCACGCAGACTTTGATCAAGACATGGGCCCCGATGGTCATGTTTAGCAGGTTGCCCGCGGCGGGCCAGGACAAATCATCGGGCAGTGCTCCGGCTCTTTGTCCTAGGACGAGCATGGGAGACAGCCAATTATTGGGCAATGGCAGCGATCCCAAAACTTTGTTGGGGAGAACGGCCCAGTGGCTCACCTGCGGGATTACCGAAAATATCTGTGTTCTCATTGTGAAGCTCTACGGCGACGTTGAAGAGGATCCGTCCTCCGATGGCACGATGATGGCCTTGATCAATCGAGAAGGCGTGCAATGGATTCGCTCATGGGGCGACACGGTCGAAAAGGATGACCACTGTTGGCGCGTTTTCCTCAGGTCAATTAGCGAGGGACTTCTGGGTGGCGCCAACAAGGCGGCCAACAAGGGCAAACCCCAAGCCGTCAAAGGACGGGCGGGATGGTTCTCGTTGCCACATTTCGATGAGAAACCACTTTCCGGTTTTGAACCAGGAGAGCCTGCAACGTTTTGTGAGTTTGCTCAAACAGGAGGTGCAAGGTGGCGTGTTGGGTGGCGCTCCGCCGGCATTCAACATAACACTGGCAGCTCTGACGCAGCAGGCAGGCCTCTTAGAGGAGGGTGACCCCACCGCAATTTTTCGAGACGATGCCACCATCGCCATTGATAGCGACTGCATCTATGAGAACTACCAGGACTTGTTTAGCTGAAAGACGTGCCGAGCAAAGGGTCAAACGTCAGAAACCCAACCTGTAAATTTGATATGTGATGAAAGGGACCACCAGAAGGTAGGTGTACGATGGATCTGTGCCACGGTGCCTATTTATTGATTAAGCTAAAGCCTTGTGTTCTCATATCTCTCTTCTTTTTTTTTTTTTT